CAGCAAATTCCCACCGGCGCGTGGGATACTAACTGTACGCAAAGAGTACGGAAGCGAAGTTGCATTCCCTTCCAGAGCTGTCATCTGCCTCATTGTCCTCTGACCACCCCTCAGACACAGTGTCGACATTAGCAAGAATCAAGAATGGATCTTGTTAGCCAGCTAAGAGCTAGCATTTCTTCCCCAAGTGTACGGCAATCAATTGCGCTGTTGCTATTACTCTTCATCGCTTATGTGAGTGCACCCCCGTGTCAACCGTCTAGCTATTAACATGGAATTCTAGTACGTCGTGGTCATCATCTACCGGCTCACCCTTCATCCGCTTGCCAAATATCCAGGCCCCTTCTTCAGCAAGATCTCAGATTGGGCGATTGTGTACCAAACGGCGACAGGCAACCGGCACCTTCGACAGCTGAAGGAACATGAGACTTATGGTGAGCCTGAGCATCACAGCGTGCTACGAGGACTCTACCTGACACATACTGACAATCCTGACAGGGCCCGTGGTTCGAATTGGACCCAACACCGTTTCCATCAACACCGTCGCGGGCTTGGAGGAGATCTACGCCAACAGGAAAGCCAACGTGAAGAAGTCAGACTGGTACAGGTCTACCGCTGCAGCTGGCCATGCAGGCTCAACCGCTCAAAGTACCCACACGGAGATCGACCGGGAGCGTCATGCATTCCGAAGACGTGTGCTGGGCCATGCCTTCTCAGACAGCGCAATCAGGTCTGCCGAGACCTTTGTCCTCGCGAATATTCGCACATGGTGCAAGCATCTCAGCGAAGGAGCACAGCCGGGAGAATGGACCCATGAGAAAAACATGGACGAGTGGTGCACCTATCTCGCTTACGATATCATGGGTGATCTGGTCTTTGGCAAGCGATTCAACGTCATGGAAAATGACGAGCACCGCGAGGTTCCAGCAATCGGCATGAGCGCATTGCGCTTCATATATCCGGTATGCGCCCTCCATCTCCTTCGCAGAAGGAAGTCCCACCACTTCATTGTTTGCTCACAATCGCAACCGCACAGGCAGCTTACGCCCCCCTCCAAACCATCCTCCGCCCCATTTTCGCCAGTCCTCTGATGCTCAAACTCGGTGGCCGAGCAGCCCGCGACGCCCTGCGCTTCATCGAATACGCGCAATCTCAAGTCGCCTCTCGCAAACTCGCCGAAGAGGCCACCTCCAACGGAAGCTCGGACAAACCTGCCCGCAAGGATTTCATGCATTACCTCCTCTCCGCCCGCGACCCCAAAACCGGTGCTCCCTTCCTAACCAAAGAAGAACTTGACGCAGACAGCGGTCTTCTAATTTCCGCTGGTGCAGACACCACCGCGATCACCCTAGCAGGGCTTTTCTTCTACCTAATCCACAACCCCGGTGCCCTGAAACTTGCCACGGCCGAAGTTCGCCGCACTTTCGCCGACGTCGAGGAGATCGTCGCTGGCCCCAAACTCAACTCCTGCGTTTACACCCACGGTTGCATCGACGAAGCCCTGCGCCTATCTCCCCCCGTGACGGGGCACCTACCGCGGGAAGTACTAGCCGGCGGCTTGATGATCGAGGGCGAGTTCTTCCCCGAAGGCACCATCGTCGGCACATCCGCATACGCCATCCATCACCATCCGGACTACTATCCCGACCCCTTCTCGTTCAAGCCCGAGCGCTGGATCTCCAACCCTCAGGAATATATCCCTGACGCTGGGACCGCGACCACAGCTCAAGATGTCGCAACCGCCAAGGCGGCATTCTGTCCCTTCAGCCTCGGCACGAGAGGCTGTATCGGAAAGACGCTGGCGTATCAGGAGATGATGCTCGCGATCGCCAGGGTGTTGTGGCTGTTTGATGTGAGGAAACCGCAGCTGAAACTTGCTGGTGCTGGTGCTGGTGGTGCTGGTGAAGATGCTTCGGCTGTGCGGGTGCCGACGGGAGAAGGGGATCCGAAGGCGGCAGAGGAGGGAAGAAGGAGGGTGGGAGAGTATCAGTTGAGAGATTATTTCTTGGGTATCAGAGAGGGACCCGGAGTGGAGTTTAGGAGGAGGGCCGCATGTTGACGTCTGAACTCGCGGACATAAGGACCACTATTTTTGCCATGTTCACTGGTTGTCTCGAGGGCACGTTATGCGTCATGAAGCATGTATTTATATCTCAATATCGGCGTCAGGGTCTACCACCAGAGGAGGAGGCCGGATGGTGTGTGTCTTGTATACGAACGCTTCGCGTGTATGTTTAGTGACGACGATCTTATGATGGGTTTCAATAGCAGCATCTCAATACCAGAAATATCCACTCTCACACCTTCGACAAGTTACCTGCGCAGCCTGCAGCCCGTCCCTTCACATCCCGAACCTCCATCCCACCGCCCCATAATGCCAACCAACTCTTCTGCACATCCCACGCGGTAGCCCTTCCCCTTCCCCTTTGCGAGAAACAAGGCCATCTTTGAACCAGACCATCATCCGGCCTCTCCCCTCAATGCGTCCTCCACCATCGGCACGGTAAGCAGCTGCCTTTGCACCTCGACCTCGACCTCGCTCTCTTCCTCTTCGTCTGCCTCTTCCTCCTCCTCAGTCCCATCAGGTCGCTTCCTCACCAGCTCCGCAAGGCGTGCATACCTGACTGATCCTCTCGCCCGCCGTATACACGACTCCATTCCTGACGGGGTCCCATTCCCATTCCCCCTCCGTCCGCACCAGCTCCGCCACAACCGTGGCGATATCAGCCATGTCCGTGACCGTGACCGTGACCCTCGTTATCCCCAACTCCCCAGCCCGGTCACGAGCACCTTCTTCTTCTTCTTCTTCTTCTTCTTCTTCTTCTTCTTCTTCTTCTTCTCCTCCTCCTCCTCCTCCTCCTCCTTCCTCCTCTTCTTCTTCTCCTCCTCCTTCCTCCGTAGCCCGACTCCATGCAAATCCCAGCACAAACCCCTCCTGCTCCAAGAGGAAAACTCATAAACAGCCCCGTGGTCACGATGAACCACTCTGTCGTCTGTTGCTGGCGCAACATTTCCCGCACGTCGAAGCTGCTCGTCAATGACATGCTGCCCGCTCCCTCTGCCCACGGCGTTGTAGTCAAACGCGAATTGCCAGGGGATGTAGCGCTTCACGCCCGCGGCGATGACCGCACGGGCGAGGTTGCGTTGCGTCCATGGTTCGGTGGGGAGGCTGACGCAGGAGATGTGGGTGTGGTAGGGGCGGAGGAGTTCGGATAGTTTGGGGAGGGAGCGGACGGTCAGGTCGATGCGGATGCTGGGGATGTGGAGGGTGGAGAGGGCGGCGAGTTGGGCCCGGTTGGGGCGGAGGAGGATGGTGGGGGGCTGGAGGGGCCCCGGCGATAGCGGGGTTCGGGTGGAGGTGCGGTTTGTGACCGAGGCGGAGATTTGCGGGTACGCGGAGAGCCTTGACGACTGGGAAGCCTAGTTCACCGGCGCCGAGGGGACGAGGATGGGCTTGTGGAGGGAGTCGGAAGACGTTGGTAGGGCTGAAGTTATATAGACAATGAGGACTTCTGGTAGGAGTGGTGTAGGGAGGTGGTTCGTAGTTTCGACGAAGTTCTGTCAGAGACACCTTCAGGTCAAGCTACAAGGTCGTAGTGATAATGGTACTCGAGTAGCGTCCAGAGAATACCTAAAAATGTTTAAGAATACCCTTCAACCTCGCTTTCTCATATCATTTCACCTGCTATCGGCCCATTCTCAAAAAGGATCGAGCTTAGTAAGCCAGGGGGACTTACTACTAGCCTTCAACCAAATCCATCCAGGCTCACTTGAAGCTTCGGCCGAGTGGCTGAATTGGAACTTTTCTAATTGGCTCCCTTAGCAGTGAAAGGCTTTTTCCAGACCTGGTTGCTGCGCGGCTTCGAGCTATTGTTGAGGGAAAGCACTGGCGTCCTGACAGAGCCTCGTCCAGTTAGGCCTCAAATTGAATGCTTGGTCTTTTGTTTGGCGAAGACGTAGAATTTCACTCTCTCAGATCTTGCGCTCAGCCCATCCTTGCACGAGTGTGTTGTGCCGTTCGAGTGTGCGCGTGTTCGTGACTCTTTCGCGGTGCTACCATATGCAGTGGCTTGAGTATTCGTTCGGAAAAGGGCCCGTACTACATCTTTCTTCAATGAGCACAGCATAGAAAGACGTCAGACCCGCCGCCGATCTAGTCCTTGATCAGGCGCGTCTACAACAAGGTACAAGTTACATACCTGACATGTGACTGCATGCACTAGCAAGTAACTTTGGTCTCGGACAACTGGAGTAGAAATTTCACCACAAAGATCTCTTTCTTAGGTCCATTTTAGCTGTAAGTAAAACTTCTTTGCTAGGTCGTGATGCCTGGCCTTCCGTCATCCAAACTCCCACTCACAAAGACAACAAGAACAGCAGCATATGCTGCCGACGCGCCAAAAATTTCTGAGCGTCTAGCGTTCGTCACTAGCGCGATACAGAGCGCAAAGGCGGTGGTGAAGCCAGCTATAACTCCGAGCTTGACTCTGTCGCGCTGGATGGCATAGAGCACGTAGATTGCGCCAAAGAGGAAACTAGCTGCAAGTAGAACGGTGATCGCGCTGACCACGAAGGAGATCAGCTGCTCGGAGCCGTATCCTAAAGAGGAGTTGCAGTTGGTTCTCCTCTGAATCCGATCAGCGCTGGCTCCAGAGGCAAATATAGGAGTGCTTACGCTAAACAGCAAAGAGCAGCAAGTCCGCAGGAAGACAGTGAGACGATCTTCTTCAGGCGCTCTACGTAGTGCTGCGAGATCGTTGCGGTCATCGTACAGAGTTTCGCTGCTGGAGCCCAAACAGGGCAACGGATCTTGGCTGGAGCCCAGATTGTTGAAGGTGTTTCGGAATGCCTTGTGTGTCTGTTTGGACGGCTTTCGCAGGGACAGAATGGCGGACTCCAGCATCATGGCTTCATCTTTGATTGATTCAGGCAACGGCCATCCAGAGGAACAACTGCGTACTCACGGTACTCTTTTATCTTCTTCCGGATTTTATATGCGAGTCGCATACGGGACCGAAGTCTTCCATCATTTCTTGAGTTTTCAACCAAAGCGTTCCAGTCTCTGCTGCTTTCGCGAAGCTTATGCCAGTCGTGTGAAGTGATTCCGGCCTTCAGATCGTCGTCATCGTAGCGGTCTTGTTGAGCTTGAAGCTCGGCTAACTCGCTTTGAAGATACAGGAGATTACGGGCTGCTAATCGATCAAATGTCTTAAATATCGCAGTACTGTGATCGGGGTCACTCGAGACGAACTTTGCAAGTGAAGCATAGCTGGCGAGGTAGGTAATCTTCATCCCATCCTTCTCGAGATCTGAAAGGCCTGGCATTGCCAATTTTGCAATCCCTGCGTTAAGCCTATCAGCTTTTACAACGAAGTGATAGATTAAGAGGCAGGATGCCGCGGTTGGTACATTGAAAAGCACCCAAACAGAATGATCTGAAAGCAGCTGCCAATGATATTAGATTATTATTTTCTGAGAGCTCTGTTGTTGACCGTCAGCCTTGCCGGCAATGAGTTAGAAGGCCCGGAGGTCCTCCGTGACTCCAGTCTTCGCAACGACACCGCACCGCCCCAACACTGCCCCTTACCGCCAAACGGCTACAAAGGTTGGACTTGGGCTTCATACATGCTTTCGATCTCATCTTACTTAGGATCCTTAGTCCGACATTATTTTGCAAGCAGACATTGGTAACCTGTCCTCATGCATCCTCACAAGCACTGACAGCTCACAACCCTTCAGTACCCCTTGTTTGAAGCTCGGTTCCTAGTAATGGTGGATCGAGAGTACACTTGAAATATCAACGTTCTGGATAAAAGGCATCGTGGGTACAAGGACGACTCGGTTACCCAGTCAATTTTTTTGGTCAGCAAGAACATTACTTACTGAGCAGGAGCACTCCGCACCCACACCTTCGGCACAGCACAGAATTCCACCAATGTCTCCGACACTCTTTTCAGATATTGAAAACCACTCTTACGTTAAGGCCATCCCACCGTCACGGGGGGAAAAGCTCATATCCGTTGTGAAGAGAGTGAGAAGCTTGATGCGTGAGGTGCGGCCGGCTGAAAATGTTGGCTTTAACGCTCAGGACACCACACCTCCACCGTCGGCACAGCGCAGAATTCTTCCGTTGAGATTCAACAACTCAACCTACAAAGCCGTTCCAGACTATGGGGCTGGTGAAAACGTCATCGAGGAGCCCCTGGCAATGAAGCTTGGAGCAGATATCAACTATAGTGCGGCAGCACGAACTTCTTTCATGAACGCTCAAGGTGGCACAATAAAGTCAATTGGTACTGCGACCTTAAAATGCTCCTTCCCGAATGAGCCTCGGAGGGAATTCCAGTGTGTCTTTCGCGTCCTAAGAAAAATGGTCGTTCCTCTTATCATGGGCCGGAAATTTCTTATTAAGACGAAAACCCTCTCTGATCATCCTGAGCGTCTACAATATGACACAAGACTTTCCGACAAGTTTTGGCGTTTGTTCCATCTCGCAAAACCGCAGAGCCTGCTTCGCTGCTCTGTTGACTCACAGGAGGTTCTCGCCAATGCAGATACAGGCTCTGATATTGACCTCGCGTCCTTGGAGTTCGCCATTGCAGGAGGATATACCATTCATCCGGCTCAGCAAGGTCGAGACAGAGTATTATTTGCAGACGGCGAGTGCGTAAAGCTGCGTGGTACCATTGACGTTGAGCTTGACATCATGGATGGTGCCACACAGCAACCTTCGCTGCTCAAAAGCCGTTCGACAAGGCTGCATGTACTCGAAGGGCTGACATCGGATATCCTGTTGGGCGACGAGACGCTCGTCTGTCTGGAAGCCTTCACTAAATACCAGGAGTCTTTTGTCGACATTGACAGTACGTATCACTACACACAACTGCAATACATTACCTGGTACAATAGAGTAGAACGAAGGTTGGCATCTGCTTTCTCCAAAAGTCAGAAGCAAGGAGGTACGATGACCAACTGACCTCCTAGGTTCCTATTCAAAGACTGATGAATTGACAGACGCTTCACCCTCCGGAACACTGACATCATCACCCATTCCTGCAATAACATCAAAACCTTCAACCTTTCACAAGCTCCTCAGAAAACATGGAAAACCTGCAGCTAAGAACCTATGGGTCAACGAAATGGACTTCGAGAGACAGCTCGAAGCCCGCGACCTGCGAGAGCAGCATCGTCGGACGCGTGCTGAACGCAACATCCAAACGCTCGTGGGGGCCGAGAGTGCGGCGGCCCGTCAGCAAGAACAGGAGTCGCAAAGGCGGTATGATGATGAGAGGAGGGCAATGGTTCGGAGGCAAAATGATTTGCTCGCCGAGAGGTTGGACAGCGGTACCGGTACTGGCACTGACAGTGGGAATGCAGTTGAATCATCAAGATCTGTATAGAGGAGCCATGAATTACATAAGGTTTGAGAAGCTTCCAAGTGTACATCGTGAATGGGGTTCGTATGAGGTACCAAAGTCTGGGGTCGGCTGAATTTGGAAGCCATGATGATGCGTTGATGACATGCGAATGCTAAACTAAGATAGATGGATTCTTACTACATCTTTCTCTAGAGAAGTAGCACAATTTTGACCTGGTCATCAAGGTTGATCATCCATTCTCTAGAAACATGCAAAGTCGTCATCGCATTAAAGGTACCGAAGAGGATCTTGATATGCTACCTCGATTCGAACCACTCCTCCACCCTCTCCACAAGATCTGCTTTCTTGCCTGTAAGTGGCAGCTTCTTCGCTCCCAGCCAGTCCTTCAGATGGGGCACTGTCATCTTCGAAACCTGGCCTTTCTCCCAGAGCTTCCTGACCTCGGCATCCTCTGGCATAGCTCCTGGTTCTGTCTTTGGTCTCTTGCTAGCAGCTGCATCTCCATTCGCTGCAGGTCTCTCTCTTTTCGTTGGCATGGTTTTGTCATCAGGATTGCTGATCGTGTGCTCCTTATACGCCCTTTCAAGTTCTTTGCCCCAATCCGTCACTTCATTGCCCACACGTTTATCAATCTGCCGGTATTTTGGGATCGTTTTGTCCTCAGGCTTCTCTGGTAAATCTTCGTCTAAAGCGAGCGCCTGAAGAATGCGATAGTGCCATTGCAAAGCCGGGTTTGGGTACCGCTCTGGATCGTATATGCCTTTGGGCAGGGTCAATTGGCCAATAACTGGTCGCATTGCATCGATCAAACTGTCTGGTGCACGAAGTGGTGTTTCGTGTGCCATGGGCGGGTTCTGGCGGATGTCGTCCGCAAAGGGCAGAGGAACTAGATGAAGTCCCTGCGGACATCCTGTTGGACTCACACCGCTCTGTGGGCCAGAAAGATTCTCGTCTGATGGTAAGGTTGGTATGAGAGCAGCGATCACAGGAGCTGCGTTGCGGCGTGCAATAAACCAGACCAGACCCATCAATTTTGACTTGAGGAGCTTGCTGTAGAGTGCACTAAAAACTCGCGTGCTGCCAACGTAATCATCGTCTGATGGGTACAGGAAGGTGGACTGTTTGATATTTGCCCACGATGGAAGCATTTCTACTGGCTTGAAGCCTATAATGCGGATAACAGGTTCGCCAAAGTTGCGTAAAGCTTTGATTTCGTCAGGTGAAAATGATATCTGTTCTCCTCCGAATGTATACGCCTTACGGATCTCAAACTTCTCCACGGTTCGAGCTGTGTCATCTGCCATCTGCGTCGTGCTCCCACGTGCAATTTGTGGTCGATCAGTACCAAGGTACACGTAACAGCTTCGTGCTGGCTCTTGCCGCTTGTACAAAAGATAGCCTTTCACGGATATTCGAAAGCCCGGAGCGAGCTCTAGAGGAATAGAGGTGAACAAGGTCCTTCGTGGAGTGGACTTGCTGGAAATCGAGGAAAGGAGCGAATTCAGCAAGGTAATGCCGTCAACATTGCCGGTCTTCAATTCCTGATCCGGCGCAGAAAGAGCCGAAGGGTTGTAAGCTGGAGCATCAGGGTCAACAGGAGACGAACGATATATAATGTCGTCGTAGAAAACTGATGTATCGAAAGTGTACGATGCTGATGAGATCGCGAGAAGCTCAATGACCACCCCCAGATCATACAAATCTTTGGCACGAACCGCAGCCGAGGATCTCAGCGCTTTGTCTGTGGAGTGCGGATTGTCGTTGTTAGTGACAATGAAGAGCCGGCGGGAGGAAAAATTAGCTGCCCTTGTGGTAAAGATTTGGTTGGCGCAAAAGAGGACGTTTGCCATGGAGACTGGCTCTTTCGACGGTTTGAGGATGTCTGATCCGGCTGACTCGTCCTCAACCAGCCTCTTGAGAGTCTTAACATCCTCAGCCTCGGGTACGTCCAGATCTGTCAACAAGTAGCAGTGTGGGTAAGAAAGACCTCCTCGTGTAGTTTCGTCTTCCCCGTAGAATTTGGAAGCTTCGGTGCCATACAGAAGGATGCCCATCATAGCCTTGGGATCTGATATGATGCGCTGTTGCATGAGATGGTAGGCGCATTTGAGTGCCGCGAAGGCAGGGGACAGTGTATCAGCATTTTTTGAGCTGGATGGCGGAGGGGCGGTAAGCATAGAGTCGCTGATCTCTATGGCGAAGAGGAGCGCATCTTTGACAGTCTTATATCCCTACACACCGTTGAGCGACATCCAGTGCAGCCTTATGCTTGCATACCGTCTCATCAACTTCTTCCTCTTCATCCTCGTCGCCATTACGGCGTGACTCCTCCTCATTCATATTTGATGGGCGGTACGGCAGTTCGGAGCTCATATTATTGTCTTCCGCTTCTTCTCAGTTCCATCAATACCTGAACAGGAAGCAATGCCGACTTTCCATAATTCTCATGGGCGAACTGCGAGAATTCAAAGTAATTGCATATGCCATTAGGCAGAGACGTGCAACTCTCGCGCCAAGGATGTGATTGTTCACGAATTCACGTGATTACCTATCTTGGCTTGGAGTCGCTTCAACCCCGATTGGCCAGCCCTAGATCTACATACCCTCAACCGCGTCATCCATCTGATAATTATTGAGACGCCCAGCTGCCTGCTGTAGTACAGTGGTGGCTAATTTCGAGTTTCTTCTTGCCAACTCAATCTCGCGATGGCTCTAGCCAGGTCCGTCACTCGATTGCCTTGGAGATCATCTTCATCATGTCTCCCCAGATTGTCAGTATGTCAAAATGTGCGCCCATACAATCAGCATTCATCCATGGCCACTCTTGCGCCGCCCGTGACGCAGAATTCGACTGGCTCAAAGGGGCCAACGGCTATGGTCTTTATGAATATGGGGGGCCCATCAACAACAGATGAGGTGGGAGACTTTCTAAGCAGATTATTTGTATGTCCAACCATGATTCAGTTCCTATAGCACGACTAATAGGTGCTTAGGCTGATGGGGATCTTATACCTCTTGGACGATTACAATCGTATATTGGACCACTTATATCCAGAAGAAGGACGCCGAAAATTCAGAAACAATATGCTGCCATTGGTGGTGGCTCGCCCATTAGAAAGTGGTCAGAGTTGCAGTCCTCGGAAATGTGCAAGATTCTAGATCAGACATCTCCGGAAACCGCTCCCCATAAACCGTACGTGGCGTTTCGATATGCGAATCCGTTGACGGAAGAGATGTATGAAAGACTACTAGCGGATGGCTTTGGTGGTGGAAAGGGAGGTAGAGCCGTGGCCTTTACTCAGTACCCGCAGTACTCCTGCTCAACCACTGGCAGTTCGTTAAATGAATTATGGAAATGGAGAAACAGACTTGAGGGCAAGAGGGCTACGGGCGAGACACAACCAGACGGGGCAATCACATGGAGTGTCATTGATCGATGGCCAGCGCATCCTGGTCTGATTGAGGCTATAGCCAAGAACATCGAAGACCAACTCGTCACTTACCCAATGGCCAAAAGGAAAGATGTAGTACTGTTATTCTCGGCGCATAGCCTGCCTATGAGCGTCGTTAACCGAGGAGATCCATACCCGGCCGAGGTCGCAGCCACTGTCTATGCGGTGATGCAAAGGTTGGGATTTTCAAATCCATATCGATTGTGCTGGCAGTCACAGGTTGGCCCATCAGCATGGCTGGGTGCACAAACAAGTGATACTGTTCGGGAGTACGTCAAGCGTGGACAGACAGACCTGGTGATAATACCGGTCGCGTTCACCAGTGACCATATCGAAACACTGTACGAGATTGATCAAGAAGTTATGCACGAAGATGCCAAGGGTTATCCAGGAGTGAAACGGGCAGCAAGCTTGAACGATAGTCCTATATTCATCCAAGCTCTGGCAGATCTTGCGCGCGATCATCTCCAGAGCGGTGAAAGCTGCTCGAGGCAGATGGCCCTACGCTGTCAAGGATGCACCAGTGAAAGGTGTTTGGAGCAGAAAAAGTTCTTCGTGGGCCAGAGCAACCTATTATCAGTACTATAGTAAGTCTAGATACTACGATACAGAAGGCTTCTCCTATGATGTCAGGCAGTTAGCCACGAGGGATAGGGATATTCATTTGCCCATTCGTTCCTTCGGCACTGCCGGATGTTTCATGCCCGGCCGTGCTTATGAATCCAACTTTAACGTCAAGTCGCGCAGGTTGTAGTTCGTCCAGAGGGAGAGGGACGGCACCTCGGGTCAACCCAAGCCCCGGATTCCAAGACCCCTGTGACGCGCAGCCCCCACACGGTTGGTTACACGGATCCCCTCGGGCCTCCACCCCTACCAAATATCCAAGCAGGATTGGCAACTTGCCAATCAGAGCTTGGAAATGCTGTGCCATGTCCGGTAGACATTACGTCTATGATCCTGGCATATCTTCAAATCATGATGGCGACAACATTCCACCAGTGCTCTCTGGTGCGTCCAGTGCTCGCGAACGCACGGCGAAGCAATAACTATGGAGTCATCTGTCTCTGGTGTACAATAACCTTGACCTCTTCTACACTGACCTGATCGCAGCTCGGCCTGTGTCTCTGCATATCGGCATCCACTTAAGTTAGGCAATGGCGGAAAATGAAGATGCGTTCACGATGGCGGCTCAAGACGAGGCCATCATAGCAAGAAATCATGATGAATTGGCAGTGAGAGGACATGACCAATCGCGGAAACACGATTCTGCAACTCCCGAAATGGTGGTAGATGATGAGGAAAGCCCATTGCTTCCACTCAAGTCGCACACGAACACGACTCCCAGCAGGAACACCTCACCCAACCGTACAGACAGGATCACCGAGCCGTGGACAGCATTTGAAGGATTACCTTGGTACAAGAGGCCATCAGTAAAGTCATCAATCGCTTTCGCCGCTGAGCCTTTGCTAACCTCCATGGCAGATCTACTGGCTACTACCTGCATTCTTCCCTTTCTGTCTGGCTTGGGGCGGACTCATTGTCCCGAAGACATATCTGGTTCTTAACTTGATATGTCAAGATTACCTGTCTGACCGAGCTGTTGCCGATCCGAACTTCCACACTCTGCCTCTTATTCTAGGAGAACAGAACGACCAATGCCGGGACGCACATGTCCAAGCCCTGGTTGCCAGGTTTCAACTATATTCTGGATTACTCTCTGGCATATTCTCCGCGTTTGTAGCCCCGTACTTGGGTGCACTGTCTGACCGAGTTGGCCGCAAGAAGATTATCGGATTTTCGACCTTGGGAATATTCATCGAGGGGATTGCCTACCTCATGGTAGGCACTCACCCGCAAGCAATATCAGTATACTGGCTCCTTCCTGCATTCCTGCTTGATGGTATCTGTGGATCCTTCACTTCAGTCATGGGCAACTCGCTAGCCTACGCAACCGATTGCACTCCTCCTGAGCGTCGCAATGTCGCTATCGGCTACTTCCACGGTACACTTTTTGCGGGCATCGCTATTGGCCCCATGTTAGCCGGCGCTATGATGAAATGGACTGGCGGCCTCCTGGTTGTGTTTTATTACTCCATTGGCAGCCATCTATTTTTCATCCTCTTTCTTTTCATCTTGGTACCTGAATCGGTATCCACAACCCGCCAGGACCATGCCTGGGAGAAATATAGAATCAAGAAGGTAGAAACGCAGGAAGAATCATGGTTGGACACGATCAAGAAGTACAATGTCTTCGAGGCTCTATCGATTCTTCGCCCCAGGGGCCCTGGAACAAGCAACGCCCTTCGCCGCAATTTGACGCTTCTCGCCGCTATCGACACCATCATGTTCGGAGTCGCAATGGGGACAATGGGAATCATCCTTATCTATCCGCAATATCTCTTCGGCTGGGACCCAGTCCAAGCCAGCAGCTTCCTTACCATCGCCAACGTTTGTCGAGTCACCAGTCTGCTTGTCGTCCTCCCTCTTATCACCCGTCTATTCCGGAAACCAGTTCCAGCTGGCGGAAAATCTGCTCATCGTGGCGCAGATATGCTAGATATCCGCATTGTCCGGGTGGCCATCCTTCTCGATCTCATCGGTTATATAGGTTACGCAACCGCAATGACCGGCGGCATGATGGTTGCGTCTGCTATGATTGCGGCCTTTTCCGGCGTTGGATCGCCGACTCTGTCTTCAGCAATAACGGCTCATGTTCCACCGGATCGGACGGGCCGGGTGCTGGGAGCTCTGGGTTTATTGCATGCAGTGGCGAGGGTGATTGCGCCAACTGTTTTCAACACCATATACAGCCTCACCGTTGGACATTTCACCCAGGCTGTTTTTGTGTGTTTGGGTTCTTTGTTTTTGGTCGTGTTTGTGCTGAGCTGGTTTCTGAAACCTGGTGGTAAGTGCCTGCCTGTCCATAGTTGGTTGTCCCAAGCGCTGACATGTTGTGTGTGCAGTCTCGTATGATGAACCAGACGTGTCTTACCCACACGCCTCATCACCTACGGAAGAATCTTCCAGTACAGCGAACGCCTAATTCAAGTTCGAGATGATATCATGACTAACTGCTTATCTTTTTCGGACAAACTGTGTTATACATACCCCTGGAAATGTATTAGAATTGGTGGTGTATCTATGAATTTTACCGATATAGACATCGGGGGGGAACATGTTATGGTGGCTCCTCTAGCATCTTGGACACATGCCTTGACGGGCGCTGGACGTCTGGATTATGTTTTGGGAATGAGCAAATGGATGTAAGGATATATAGACCACATTTCGTCAGCGTCAGGTCTTGAGCGAATTGGTTGAACACCAGCCAGCTAGCCAACTAATACGCCTTGTGCATTTTACCCAATCAGCCCTTCATTCAGATTGTATCTCTGCCACAGCTCTCCACATAACATGGGTATATGCAAATCGAATCGCCAACGAAAGCACGCAGTAGGAGACCGCGCCGTCATCTCAGGCAGCTGGCTGGCTTCTTCACTGTGCTTGTGCCTGACCACTTGGAGATCGAGCTTTATTCGTGCCTGTACGGCGCAGGTATACCTCCTTCACGGACGAGTAAGGTAGATGAGTAAAAGCCCACCTCTCAGCTGGGGAACTTGGTTTCCCGAAGCCCAGCGCACGGGAGGCTGACTCGGGCAAGCATTTGGAGACGGTCGAGATGCCGCCCACGGCAGGCTTGTCGCCATATGGCTTCCACCTCGTGGATACGATCGATGTCCTCGTGGCAACATCGCGAGTTAATATTTCTTGGCACACGATTCAGACGAGTACCCCATCCGGAATATTTGTTTCTTCTCACATTCTCATCCCACCACTACTCCGCCAATCCATAAAGTTGCGCGAGAGGATGTCACCATGTCCCGACTCCTCGATCTTGAAAACGTCCAGTCGAGACGACTTTTCGACTTTGCGGATCCGCCATACGCCTTCTTCGGTTATGATCGTCTTCAGCCCTGCGCGTTACACAAACAATTCATCAGCTTCCCGCTAATCTCGATAACGCAGCGAACCAGAAACAGGGTAAGATGAGATGATGACGCTCACACTCCAAGAATGCAGCCGCAAAATTAATGCAAGTATTCCCATCCCAGAGCCCTTTGCCCCTCTTCACCATCTCTGGTATAGCCTGTGTCTCCATCTCCTCAAGGTCTGTCAAAATGCCATCCTTGGTGCGAAACCCGACGATGATTTTTGGGACGCCGAGTAAGAAGGACTGGGCCCAGAATTTGAGGAGTTTGCGCTCGAACTTGACTTGGTCGCGGTCGGTGTGAATCTTGGCTGCGGTTTTGAGCTCGATGTAGTTTATGGCCGTGCTGGAGGGGTGGGTAGGTTTGACGTCCCAGACTTATCGGAAGGGGTGTTAGGATGGGAATGGTATCGAAGAGATGGAGGGTGGGATAGAGTTGAACCTACCAGCATCTACCTCGCCACCTAAGATCATTTTGATCTTGCCAAAGCCGGTGCGGACGATGGAGCAGTATTGAGCGTGGTTGTCGACGATTTCGTCCTCACGGGACTCGATGTACTCCCTAGAGGTGGGGTCCCAGGTGTCCGGGATTAAGGAGAGAGTCTCGAATTTGTAGCCTGCTTGATGTTACAAGGAGTTTGCTGGCTGGAAAGACTTGCTGTACCCCAGAAGCCCATAATGTCTTGCGAAGGTGTACCTGCTGGCATTTTCTGCTGGTTTTGCTGCTGCTTTGAGAAGAGCTTTGTTGCGTGGTTCTCTTCTATGAAACTGACTGACATAAGCTTGACTTTTTGTGATTGATTACTACTACACGTACTCACATAGAGCCCTGTTTTTGTTAGCTACAATTCGGTGAGAATCAAAAGCCGTTCAACTCCATTTGGATGAAGTATGGTTTTCGAGAGCAAGTGTAGAAAATTACCTGAAAGCATGTTGCGTTCATCTCCCAACTTCCACAGGTCAGCGCAGCCCTCCACCTAAATCAGGGGCCCATCAAAACCTTTCCAGCTTCGAGAACGGTGTTGCCATGATCTGTGCTGCCAGTATAAGCCTGTGAACATCTTCCTCTAGGGCTTAGGACAATATACTTTTGTCATCATGCCTCGCCAGGTAATGATATCTGCATCGACCTTTGCTCCTTTCTCCTTCTCATGCAGCGCAATGGTATCAACAAGACCATCTAGATGATCGTCTCGGGTATTGTCTAGTGCCCGAAATGTGTCGAAGCCGCGATTGAGGTCCGCTGGTAGTGTAGGAGGATGATAATAGCGTAGAGAAGAATCATCCCAGCGGTACTTGTGCTGATCATCAAACGAAAAGCAAGTTATCTCCTGCGTTTACTAAGAGTTAGTGATAGGTACGATCCTAATTTCAATCGCTACCACAGAGACAGACCTTTGGCCTTCGAATGCCAGCGCTAGCCCCATTGAATCGAGCAATTGGTTCGATATCGAAGGATTGCGCCGATGCCATGGAGAAACCAGGGTGGGAAGCATGAAGTCTCCGGCTTGATGACACCAGCAGACACCTTACTACCCTCATATGTCTGATGTTTACATTTCTCTATAAAGGGAACTGCGGATGGTATTTCAGTAAGTTCTTAGCACATAATGCCAAGAATTCCCTTGGCTCAGGAGAACTGAATGTTCAGTCCGGTGGAGGCCAGCTTTTTGAATGGCAGTTAAGGAGAGATACATCCCACTCCGCAAAGTTCTTAGGAGCTGGTTCGTATTGCCATCCCATGTCTCATTCGCTCGTCTTCTGGAGGAGAATTCACACCTCTCCCTTTGGTCCATATCAATTACTTTATAACTGCTACCATGGCAACATTTTGACCAGCCGGCTTGATTCATACTAAGTTACATAACATTTCATCACCTCCTTTGGTGACTTCGAGAGCTGTTGGTTACACATATTTCGTCTAGCATGATTGCCTTGCCCAAGACGAATTGTATATTGTCGAACATTCTTCTAGCTTGTTCAATTGTTTTGTTTGCTGCTGGATTTTTCCCTCACAAGGCTTTTCTTCCAGGCCTTGCAACATGGCCAACAGACCGGAACGGATCTGTTCATAGAGCGCCATTCGACAAGGTCATTTTCATGGTGGTGGATGCTTTGCGAAGCGACTTCGTGTACTCATCTGATTCGCAATTTCTCTTCACGCAGAGTCTGATCCGATCTGGTGCTGCTGTGCCATTTGACGGACATGCAAGCCCGCCAACCATTACAATGCCGAGGATTAAAGCAATCACGACTGGGTCGGTGCCGTCGTTCCTCGATGTCGTGCTCAACTTTGCCGAGTCCGATACAACATCAACATTGGGTCATCAAGATAGTTGGTTGGCACAGATTAAAGCGAAGCCAGGGACAAAGCTTGTCATGTACGGTGATGATACCTGGCTCAAGCTCTTTCCAGGCTTTTTCGATCGTGCTGATGGCACTACGAGCTTCTTCGTATCTGACTTCACCGAGGTCGACCAAAATGTGACTCGACACGTGCCAGTCGAGCTGGCTCGGACTGATTGGTCCGTCATGGTCTTACATTACCTAGGACTGGATCACATCGGCCATAAGTCAGGCCCACGAAGCATCAATATGGCACCGAAGCAGAGAGAGATGGATAGGATCGTGGAAGGTATCTATCATGCAATGGAGATGAGCGCTCATCTGAAATCGAGTCTGCTAATCTTATGTGGAGATCACGGAATGAACGAGGCTGGCAATCATGGTGGCTCATCTTCTGGTGAGGTTAACACTGCTCTCACTTTCATTTCTCCCAAGTTCCAGGCTGTGTACGAAGGCTCTGACAGCCCTCGTGCTTCCACTTCTGAGTACTCATTCTACGACAAAGTTGAACAATCCGACATAGCACCCACTCTAGCAAGCCTGCTTGGCTTTCCTATCCCCCTGAACAACCTTGGCATTGTGATTCCGACGCTTCTAGAGTTATGGCCTCAGGAATCAGATAAGCTGGATTTGTTGGTTGCAAATGCACAGCAGATTGCTGAGATTGCCCATGCCACATATCCCGAAGCATTCAAGAAATTCTCCTCTAGCCAAGCTTGTGCGTCGGCAAATTCCGATGCTGAAATTCTGTCTTGTGCATGGCTCGAGACACGACATGCAGTCCAAGCAGTTAAACGGAGCGAACTGTCTACTCCCCAAGCCATGTCCTTGACTTTGAGGTTCCTGAAAAGTGCACAAGATCTTCTTAGTGGAACAGCAAGCAACTATGACCTCTTCAAGATGGCTGCTGGCATAGGTTCCGGAGCTGTATCTTTGATCCTGGCAATTATGTCAATACCAGATGGTACATTTGACACGCTGGTCTCAGGTTCAGCTTTCGCTTTGATAGTACTTTGTCACTCAGTGACCATGTTTGCCAGCAGTTATGTTGAGGAGGAACACCAGTTCTGGTATTGGGTCTTGGGGGGATGGTTGATGTACATTTCATTCAAGGACCAGCGGCTGATATCTTTCTATTCCCTTCCGCCCATTCGAGGATTACTCATGTCAACCGTTACTTTCTTATTCGGAATCGTCCGCCATTTCAACAGCACGGGGCAGAAGTATGCTGCGTTGCCATCCATCTCCTCTGCAGTCTTCCCAGCTGAAACCTGGCTCTTGTGGACCTCAACCATCGCCACATATGCTCTTATCTCACGATGCTTGACCCGTCGCGCTTCAACTTGGGCCGAGGCTGGGTCGAGGCAGCTCAGTCTTCTACCAGTACCGGTCTGCATTGCTGCTTTCATGTTCAAGGTCGCCTTTACTCATGCAGACTCACCTGAATTGCTCAAGAACTTCCAGCTGTTAAGCCCTCTTATTGCAATGACATCACGATATTCCTTGGTCGGGCAAGCGCGCATCGTGTTTCTAGGTATTGCCCATATGCTTGCTTGCGCTTTGTACTACGAAGCACCCTGGAAGAAACAGAAGACTCGCGAGTATCCAGGCGACTCCTTCATCCATACCTTCCATAATCTCCTCGGCTTGTTTCTGTTGACTCAGACACGTGTGAACAATATACCTGTTTTCCTGCTGTTCTCGATTCAGCTTTCGTTGCTGTCCACTGAACCACACCTATTCAACAGCCTCGCAGAGATAAGCTTGACATCACTCCTGTTTCAGCAATCATCCTTCTTTGCGCTTGGCGGCACCAATGCCATCTCCAGCGTCGATCTGTCAAATGCATATAACGGTGTCAGCGGTTACAATGTCCTTCTTGTTGGAGTTCTGACATTTATAAGCAATTGGGCTGGCCCGATCTGGTGGGTAAGCGGCACGGCCCTGTTGATTCGGGAGAAAGAACAGGCAGATGGGAACTCACGAGATGTCAACAATTCTAGTACTTCAGCATTGGCACCTGTCGAGCAAGGACCCAAAGGAGGCGAAGTCGGTGGCATGCAAGGGTCACATGGCCAGAATCTACAGAGTGCCTCCTTTACACATTTCGCCCTTCTGACGCTGTTCACCTGTGCGAGTACGTTGAGTGTAATGCTTGCCTGTACACTGTTGCGAGAGCATCTATTCATCTGGACCGTCTTTTCTCCCAAGTACCTCTATATTGCCGCATGGGCATTTGGTCATCACTCCATCATCAACGGACTTTTCGGTTGGGGTCTACTAAGTAGACTCTCAGAAAGATAATGAGCACTTGCAGCCAATATAGACCAGCATTGCGCTTACACGCGTGTCGATGAAAGCGGGACTTGGAATTGGTTGTGCATACAGCGAAGAAAAGATCTATGGACTCGAGGAACAGACGTTCACCCGTCGCTGTTTACCAGAGGAACCTGTTTGCTAGTTTCGATCGACATTTCATGGATGTGAAGGTATAGTTCAAGCTGTACAAGCTTCAGCCAGACCCAAGGACAGTATTGGGCTTTCCGAACCAAGCTGAGTATTTCGCGGATATCCGCTCACGAGGCTCGTCGGCCGCAGCCCCAGGCCTGCGATCGACTCTTTCGTGATTTTGGCATTTATAGCGTTGGTGGCCAGTATTAAACGATCTGTGGAAATTCTGCCATCGATGCAGCTCTGCTCTTGGCAAGCAATGATCAAGCGCCCACGAAGGCCATCTCTTGTGCACAGCAACACAAGCGGTTTCGTTGAACAATGCTAACAGCCAAAGAAGAGAAGACGAGCTTGCTGGTAGTGGTGTCGGCAGCCTCCTGGATACTTATTAGGAGTAAGGCTTGAGGATAACAGAAGACGGGTTTACCCTCAGGAGGATTGATCAAACATTGACAGTGTTGCCACCCATCAGAAGGATCTAGAAACCATTTAACCATCCTGGTTAAAGGTATGAGTATCCTTCGACACAATCTTTAATAGTTTACTTTGTGCAAGCAAATACCAATCTTTTACGAAAACCCTTTGGTCTCATACTAGTTATCCACTGCCTATTCTTTCACACTGACTTATTTATTTGGTACCCCAGGGCCTTGGGGCCGGGCGGCATGCATTGCACTGTGCATGGGTCTTTACTGTCCAAACCATGCAGACAGCAAAAGATCATTCCAGGATTTTTTTACATCTAGTCCCCTGTGCAGTGCATGATATCTCACGTCCAAGACTTAGATTAATTTAAGGAACACTTGATCGTTCGCAGTAGACTGGTAGTTGCTGCTGCAGGCTGTACAAAGCAATGAAGAAGGGAGAGGGAGGAAAATTTGGGGAAATTTAGAGTTGGGTCTACGTGACGAGACGATGATAGATAGTAGAGGTGGGTGATGTGTTCTATAAACTTGGGTTTGAGCGGACGACAATAATGTAGTTCGTGTTCACACAGGTCTTAGGAACCCAGAAAGAGTCTGCTGGCTGGGAAGCTCTCACGAGCGCCGCGCCTAATACAATATTTGCCGAAATGGTATTAAAATAGCAGCCCGCCTCTTCGACCTCGCTCTGTGTCTCACGTCTCTGCTCTCACTGAACGGCGCTCTTCCTCTTCTCATCCTCCGGATTGACAACTCCCATGATATTCTCTTCACTGTCCGCAAAGGCGCGATCGCCAAATGCGGTCGCGATCTCCTCGAGGGTACAATTGGCCGTTTCGACGTAGTAGAAGTGTGCCAGCCCGGCGGAGAAGAGGCAGAAGCCGGCGATGATGAGGTAGAAATAGCCGTTGATTCCGGCAAAAGCGTCCGGGGCGACCATACCGATGATGAAGTTGAAGATCCAGTTACTGGTGGTGGCGAGTGCCATGCCCTTGCTGCGGCCGCGGAGGGGAAAAATCTCGGCCGGTAGAAGCCATGGCATAGGACCCCAGGTGAAGCCGTAGACGATGTTATACAGCATCACAAAGGCGTATTGGCCATTGGCTCTGGTGGTGATTGACAAGTCGGCTTCGATAAAGGCGCAGACGATGCTCAGTAACACGGCCATTGCAATGCCTGTACGGTCATAGATTAGCTAATGTTGAAAGAAGTCTGGATTTTGTTATAGCCGCTAGGGACTTACCTCCAAGGATCAGCAAAGGCTTCCTACCCCAGGCGTCGGCTAAATACCATGTGACGACAGTCGCGGCGGTATAAGGAATGGCGTTTGCGCCAGTATAGAGAAGTGATTTACGATCGTCAAATCCAGCTGCGGATAGTGTGGTTGGAAGGTAGAAGGAGATGATATTGATTCCGTTGAGCTGAGCGAACATCTGCACAGTAATGCCGACAATAGTACGCTTGCGATATCGGGTAAACATTTCCTGGTAGAGCCTGATCAGTTCCAAGAACAAAGATAATAGAAAGGATATTGCAATCTCACCCCCCAACCAGACTTTCCTAGAGTTGTTTCGTAGATGACTGCCTGTTGGATCTCTAGGAAGACCTGCTGAACATGCTCCGCATTGACATCGCCCTTGGAGTGCAGGTCTGCAACTGTTTGAAGACTTTCGTCCATAAACCCGTTCTTTGCTAGCCATCGAGGGGTCTCCGGGAGGAAGAAGGACATGGCCAATAAGATGAAGGAAAGGATGATCTGGACGATAAATGGCCCCTGCCAGGACATCTTGTCGGGAAGCAAAAAGTTGAAGCCATAATCCACCCAGCATGACAGCATATAACCACCAATCAGACAGGTGTACTCAATGCCGACCATCAATCCTCTTCTGTGGGGCTTGGCAATTTCAGTTTGGATGATGGGGACTGTCATAGAGAGGAAACCGACACCGAAACCTTGGATGGTGCGACCGGTAACGAAGGTTGCGAAATCGGGAGCGAATATCTGGATGAAAGCACTGAAGAAGTAGATGAACCCGCCGAGACGGACACACCTCTTTCGCCCAATCATGTCGCCGAGTCTTCCCGCCACGAGCGCTCCCACAGCTGCGGATGCCTGCAAGCACGCGACAGATATCCCAGTGATGGACGGATTGACGGACGATGCTCTGCCGTCCGCTCCCCCATAGTCCACAAAAAAGCGGGATACAAATACTGGATTAACCAGCAAGCCGGACATGATACCTATCGGTATTAGCAGACATCTTTGTCAAGTCACCACATTGTCGTACCGGAGTTATACCCAAAAAGGGCGTCGCCCAAGCTGCCGAAGCCACACGTGGCATAGAGCAACGGCGCCCCCTTGAAGGGGTACCTGGCGGTGATTTTCTTAGGCTTCAGCTTTCTTTCAAGCCAGCCCTGCTGTTCCGCGACTTGGTGGGCCACAGACAGGGAACGTTCTCTGATGGAGGCATTTTGCTCTGTAGCCGAGGGTCTTCTGTAGGCCATGGCTACGAGTATGAAGGAAATGAAGACAGCCTAGCAAAGACGAGTCTCTTGCTGAAGATGCCAATAAGTAGTCTGTGACAGGTCGGCGAGAACAGGTGGGAGAGTGAACTTTTATACACCCTGAACCTGTCCCATGGAGAAAGCATACTATGCCAGGCGAGGGAATCCGAAGTAGGGTAGGCCCAGAGATGCCGACATTGACACTCCACAAGGCAAGTGAGCGATTTGAACTCCGATGTACAGCATGAAGCTATGTTTCGGGTACACGAAGCTCATTTGGCGCACCCGTCAGAGAAACGAGATCCCATGGGATGCAGTCTTGGGCTTTCCTTGCATTAGGATCTTTTATTGCCACCTCAATATGCAAGCAGTAGCTGGTCGAAAAGAGACTAGTGACAATCCTTGTGAGGTAAGCGCGAGCCCACCCATGGCGCCGCGCGATAGACAGAGATAAAGAGAGGGCTCCACGAGGGTAGCGCTGAGAGAAGTTGTTCTATGTCATCTCTCGCACATACTACGTAGAGACTGGGATATGGGTAGACCGTGTGAGCTCGTCGAGGGAGTCGGAACCGATGTAAAACTGGCCAATTGAAAGAGCATGGGCAAACGGGCCGAGTGAGACTCGGATGCCAGGGTATGGTAGGTGGTAGCCTGAAAGTGTATAGAAATGCCTCAGTCTGCTCACGTCAAACTGTTGGAGTTGACAGCATGACTCTAGATGCGAGATCCAGGTCTGGCTTCAAGGCGAAATCCTACTTTTGGCATAGATGGAATATGACAACGGCTCAAATTGAAGACAGGGGGCGAGATAGCCGAAGCTTTTATTGTAGCCGCGCATGTTTCTGTGAGAAAGAGAGATCAAAGCATGGTAGGTTCAGTCCTTTTAGCGCTCTCCTGGTGAATTTGTTCTCCTCTATCAACCTCTTTCTGTTCTGTCGTTTTTTTCCAGGACTGATGCATAGTTAGTTAAGTCGATGATGTTTCTTCGTCAGTTGAAACAATGTTTGCCAAGAATGGTAACGCTTCGGCTGAGCCAAGAGAAGTTGAAACTTGGTTCGACCCGTAGTACAAGTTGATGGTTCCAGTTGGTGTCCCACTACGGGATATTGAACGCTTGACGTACGTTAGTACTACTAGTATGTTGGGCTCTGTGGGGCCTTGGCGCCTGCGGAAATAATTTATCCGAACTTTTTATATCAGATTTCTAGTAGATAACACACCACCAATTGACAGTTTGCACAGATAGTGCTCCCCAGCTCCAGTGATTGTAGGGCCAATCATTAAAACATCAATTCATGCACCTGTTTGAAAATATGCAGCTTGAACGATCAGGAGGAAACCGGCGACACCACCAGTTCTAGGCAGACAGAGCATCTTCACAGCATATCACAATTCTTACAGCTATCTCACTGTACTTATAAAGATTTTGGGCCAGGGCAAATCATTTTAATACCAGCAGTACGATTAGGACTGTGGAATGGTATTAATATTTCAAGAGGAAAATTTCAAGGGCCGTGGCCTGTTGGAATGTCTCCGGGCAAGTACATTCCCACAGGTACGCTAGGCACAGGTACATTTGGCATTTGGGTCTGTCAGGATCAGGGAAGTGCACGGACAATAGAACGGGACAGGTGTCAGAGGATTGTCATAATTGAGCGCGAGCTCTTTGACAAATACAATGACATAGAAGCTACATAAAACACCGGAGAATCTGCATGGTTCTCTTGGCGCTTTGGCGCGCATGACAGGGTCTTCGCGGGGTCTTAACATGACTTCTTTCACAGTAGTAATATGTACGGAGTATATAGAGTTCCTATGCTTATCCTCTGTGTCACTGAAATGAGCTGCCTTCCTTGTTGAGAATAGTATTCCCACGATTAGCGTCATAACTCTGCTGTGGCCTTGGTAGAAGAAACACCAAATTCTCTTAAGTACGGAGTACAACCTTTATTTAAGAATTCCTATACTTCAGAGGACTCTTCTTGTCCATTTCAAGATGTACGAGTGCTCAGAACCCAAGATCTCAAGTCCGATTATTAAAGTTCTGTAGAGTAGAGAACGTTACAACATGTTGAATTTCGGTCTTCCTTCTGTCAAGACTGCAGCAGAATTATTACACTACTCGCGGGAACACTACTCTCAACAAGGGAGGACACCCATTCAGTGACACAAGCGATACAATTAATAAGAGCCAGAAACTAGAACCCAACAACCTGAAGGGCACGAAACTGGGCTTTCTGAATTGGGAGAGCGTGGCATTACATGCTTGGGGCTGCTCAGGCTGAGAATAATATTGCATAGCCACATTCCAGGGCTGCTTATTAATCGCTCAAGTTCCAGTAATGTGTGCTCAGGTCTTAATGAGGAAATGGATTTTGGAGAGGTCAAGATTGGTGTGCGGGTATAGTGGCCTGTGTACTTGATAACAGCATACTTACCCGAGGTGGATTTCAGCTGCCATCTTCTGTTGATTTGATACTTGAACTGGGCTTCCCTCGTGACGAAGTAAGTGGTTAGCGAGGATTCCCCGGGGGCTAGTAGCGAAGCCAATGATTTATTCTTCAGCCAGCCCAAGGTGCAGCGGACTTACGTGGAGTCAAGGGCGCACTTTCTTTTCAGGAACTCCATCACGGACCCCAATATGTGGCCTTGGTGAACATAGAGTTGTTCGATATGGGGCTTGAGGAATTCCCATTTCTGCTCCAACGATAAGGCACGTGGTATTCCAATGACGTCAGCGGACTCAATGTGATCCATCAAGACATCCGATGGCAGGGTCGGTTCAGATGGAGCATGTAACGCGCAAGATATCAAGAGACTAAAGACAAAATGTTATAGCAATGTACAAAGGTTTGTTGGGCAAATCATCAATGCCAGAATTCCGTAAAAGGAAAGAAGAATCACGGGAGCAGTAAACAAGCAGGCATAAGAAGCGAAGCTTGAACGATTCGGAACTTCAAATTTGCCTTGTAACTTAGCAGTTGCCTTCTGCCAGTGGGTTGGACAAGCGAAGGTTAACAAAGCGAGACTGACCATTCACATCAATGTCCAGTGTCGCAACCTGGCTTCGTTTAAGCCTGACCGTAATGGCTAAACGAGTTGATTGATCTGCCGATGAGCAACGGAAGCTAATCTATCGACTGCCAAGTAGAGCTAGAGCACGTGACATTGACCGTACTATGATGTAGCTTGTGTTGAAATACTCCATATGCGGCTAAGACATTTGAATCTGATTGGATTTCGTCATTTCAGACATCTTTTTCCAGATTTATTGCCAGATGACAGTTAAATTATGGTCATCCAATGGTCATTTGACGATCCTTGAATGACCAACCATCTGTTGATTTGTTAGGGACCAATACTACAGCGTCATTTCAAAACCCTTTTTCAAGTAAGCACTAATGGCGCCGCTAGAGCTTGTAAAGTGCTGCCAAAGAGCTTAGCATCGAATGCGAAGTCTGACAAAGGGAGATTGACCAACCGTGGCGTATTGTTATGAGCCACATTTCGTTGTACTTTCTGATATCGTTGTCGACATTTTCTCCCACTCTTAGTCGGGCGCCTCGCATTAGTGACTCTATGTGTGCCAAGCTTAACAAAGAAAACCCAATCGTGTTAATGAAAAATTATAGAGTAGCGATGATGCTTCAACGATCTCTCCTTTAGTGCCCATGAGGCAGCTTTGCTTCGCCCTGGTCCTACTTTTGTTGCCATCATCCCGGTCTTGCATCGGATCATTGGTGGGGAGTCTAGGTGATCGAAGCTTACAGCCATTGTGAGGGTCGTAAACTTGTGACAAAATGGTCACCCTCCAACCTTCGCCCATTTACATATAAAGCTAGCGCTCTTCCTCTGGTCGGCCTCGAAACTTCCCCTCACTTAACATATCTTTACGATATCGCTTTAAACCGAGTCTCGCTTCAAGTATTGTGTTATAGTCTCTTCATTGCTTTCCACATCCCGTATTGCGTTCTCCTACCAAGGTGACCGGGCATCGTGACAGCGACATGGCAGCGGCCAAAGAACATGCATCGTAAGAAAGCGGGTAACCCTTTTCGAACGCAGCGCTGATATCGTTCGCAAGGCACATAGGTGACAACATGTCTCGCTGTCGAGCGATTTCACTCCCTAGGGGTACAGGGGACGCGGTTGATTCTGCTGAACTGTCCAGGATCGAGAGGCAGAATGATGGTAGTAATCGCGGTCAGATGCAACTCAGCAGCCTTTATGAACAAAAGAACGTTCCTCATGGGACAGCGGGCTCGCAGCAAGCCACAATAACCTCTCGCTGGCTTGAAGGCCCGGTACTTCGCCGGATCGGGGCGCAGTTCGAAGACAATCAGCTTGCTTCTAGCGCTGCACATATCACCGACAACTCCAAAGGCGGAACAGGCCGGCATCAGCATCACGAGTCCACCCTCCATCGCGTAGACATCTCACGTGGCACTCTCCAAGCCTCTCAATTGTCGAATCTGCACCCAATGGAACGCTTCTTGTTGGAGGCTTCTTCAGAGCAGCCGACCATCTTTGCCGAACCAATCATAGCCGGCTTTCAAACCCTCAAGAATACTTTCGTCGCTCCTCCCCTTCGACCAAGTGATCGCACGCGCATGAACCGACGCACCAACTTCCTTATGGAAGGCATCGAGCTGCTGCCACGGGTGGAAGCTGTGCAAGGAATGGACGGACCTTGGTCATGATAGAGGAAGATGCCCGCGTTGCTGGTACATGAGATATGCAAGGAGAAGGTTAGCTTGTCTAAGACGAATTATTGGAACTTGGAAAGGCCTTGTAGACTTTCGACACCAATTTGAGATGTTTTATCCACTGCACAAGTACCGAGGACGTTTCATCGGAAGCTCAATCCTTAACTGTAGTCATTAACATATCACTCTAGAATAGTTCACCCTACGCATCCTCCAATACTCATCCATGACTCGTCACTGGTAGCCAATGTATGGATAATAGTGCAATAGCCGAGTCTATCAAGACATCAGCATTCAAGGCCCACAGAGGGGGGAGGTTCAGGTGTAAGTAGAGTTCCAGAAGGTAGCTGAGATGATGAATGAAAACTGCGTGATCTTGTCAAATCAGCTACAGCTACCTTGTTTAGCTGTGCGCGATGAATTCAAGGCTACCAGACAGTCAGAAATACTTAGCCCAAGCTTACAGTCACGGTTCGGCCGCCCGCTGTTGCACCCAGCCACGGACCGGAGGACCATCCGGAATCCTACCTTCGACTGTTTATCCCGTTTAGAAGGTAGTTTGTTCTCAGGAAGGCTCAGAAACCACCGGAGGTACAGTACCACCCCGCTAACTAGGCTCAGAGCATCCTAGTGAGGCTGAAAAAGTATATTTAATGCCCTTTGGAAATCCATCCACACGGTCCACCTCACTTCAATCTGCGATCGCTCAATTGCCTTGCAACGATTACACCAGAATGGGTTCTTTGGACTGTGCTTAGAAGCTACAGTTGATGCTGCCGCACACATAGTCAGTTGTCAACAGGCTTCGTGGAAATTCTTCTAGCATTGGCATTCCTGTTTTCCAGTTGCTTTCATCTGAAATTTGCGTTTAGAGAGGAGGAACCATTATGAGCCCGAGCGTGCCCTGACAAGTATATGGCGATAGAATTCGAACCTGCGAAATGCTAGCGAGTAGAGGTCGGCTTACAGCAGCAGTCAGGAGGATTGAACAAGTCTGCCTCTCCAAAAACGGTAGTCGCTTAATACGGACCACTTGCCTCACTCGCCCACAAGAGAAACACCTAAAATTCTCCCACCTCCATCACCCAACAACCTACCATCAAGATGATTTTTTCTCGACCTGCTGCAACCTCAAAAATACATTTCCTGCTCCTTCTGAACCCGTCACTCAAAAAAGCAAAAAGTTCGCTCATGTACCACTCGCCTCTCGAACAGTGAAAGTTCGATACTGGAAGGAGAGATTTGTATCCGCTATGAAAACTTAGCTGGTGTTAGCAGCCAGTTTTACCGCCTGTCGTTGAGCCACAAAGAGTTTGCGTGGGACGACAGGAGAAAACTGCTGAATAATATAATATAGTTATACTATCTTTAAAGGTTGGAATGATTTTGATTTTTCAGCCAGGCAGCCACACATGTACTTTCTGTTGCTACAGATTTTTTATGCTGCCCACGGTCAATTTATTGTGAGTCCGCAGGCACGGAGAACTGCTGATATACATGTTTTATGAGGATTATTGGGTCTTTCCGCATCCCATACTTGAACGTTTGTACAAACAGCACCGCATACCATCATTCTTATAAGATCTGAGCTTAGCATTTCTATTTTGAAGAAACCGTTCGAAGACGATCTACATGAGAAACATAGCTGGAAAAGTTTCGCAGTGCTCTGAACCCTATGTGCCACGGGCATTATTCCTCCCGCTTCCAGAGCTTCTTCGGCTTTCATCGCTTCTCCTACGTTCAGAACTAGCTCTTAGACTTGATCGATTGCTATGGCTGGGAGTGCGCTCACGTTGCAGACCGATTGCCATCAGCCTTGCCTCCTGGCCGTCGTAAGCACGGGTAAAACCCATCCAAAAGTTGTAATCGATCACCCATCTGCACTGTTCCTTACTCGCCCTCACGCTAGCGCTCTCCATGTAGCCCAGAATGAAGATGATGTCGCGGGCGTCACTATCTTTCTTCTGCATTGCATCTGGCCCTGACCTTGACAAATAGGAATATGCTTTTGAGTTGAGAAGGAAGACAATATTCACGAACAAGGCCTCGGAACCCGGTAAACGAGTTGTATCGGTGCCGGACCGGAAGGATTGTGAAAGGGCTCTATCGGTTGTTATATCAAGACCATAGCAAAGGCCGTCAGAAGCCATATAACTGCCCAATTGTTAGCCATCCAAACCTAAAGATCTGAACCGATTGTCAAGGATGAACAGGTCTATCACGCCTGATAATGCGATTGCTGTCTACGGGAGATATTTTGCTCACCCAAGGTGTCCACGGTCTGTTCTCACAATACCAACTTTGGTATCTAATAGCCGCGATTCAGCCACTTCTGAGATGGACTCTGGGATGATAACATCGACATCCGAAGTTTTGCGCCTGCTTCCGTATTTGAGAAGGGCCGCTCCGCCTATAATTCCATATTCCAGGTCACCAAAGCCACGATGCAGTGCTTGTAAATATTCGTCCAGGGTTTCCGCTGTCATGAGTTTTTCCGTTCGTTGCGGCCGTTGAGGACGACTGCTAGCGCTCGGAGCACTATAAGACGGACCGCCATGACCTGCAGTAGCCGGACGACTTCCTCGGCTTGGGGGACTTCTTCCGGTTCGTCCTGGTCCCTGCGATTGATGAGGCGGAGCATAAGGCTGAGAACCACCCTGGGCAGGTCCCCTAGTCACCACTGGTCGAGGAGCAGGGCCAGGATCCCCTCCGCTGTTGTCTTTGAAACACATCGTTGGCTATGCTTCACAAGATGTGTGGAGAAGGTTGGCAAGAGACCAGATCTTGGGGTGAGCAATGTGGGCGATGAATACTGCGGTGAAAATTCCTAAACCTTTGGAAGAGCCGTATTCATATGCCAGTTGAACTCAGTGGCATTGTTTGAAATGCTTTGTACCCATTGTGATGTCCATCAGATCGGCACCGTGACAGCGTAGGTCTACCTTGGAGTGAGCAGTGGTTCAAGCTTGTTTTAAACCAGTTTCAAGCTTCAAGGAGGTGTAGCGATAATTGCTTTGTGATACAAGAGAATGATCCTTCTATAGCAGCCTCATAATATCGTTCCGTGCGGTAACACCACCAGGCCCAGCAAATGTTAATCGCTATGCCAATATGGAGTATCTTGATTTTCTAAGATCATCACGATATACGTTCTGTTTTTGTTCTCACACCAGTTTGGCGGCTGGTAGGAGGATGAGGCTTCTAGCAATATGAAAGTAATCCATTGTTGCGCTCGTGGCCATTTCGATGGCCCATATCCGTCGTTACGGAAGCCTCTGAGGAATGATTAGGTGATGAGCAACAGAAACGTCCATGGCAAAGGATTGCCTCGATATCGTAGAGTCTTTGGAGGCCTTACCCACGTCTCGAACTCGAAATCGGACAGACTGGGTGCGTAGACTGTTAACAGGTAAGACAGATCCCCAGGATGCCTTACGTTGCATTAAGGTTCTGGTCTTTTCATGAGACACTGAATTATTGATGTGTCGTTGCGACAGTCTCGGCAACGCCAATCAGAGGGATAGACAACTTAGATGGGCCCTCCAGCCCCACCCCGAGAGAATTCAAGGCAGGGCATCGGAAACCCGGCCCGGAAGCCTAAAACTATACGTAGTAAACTGCTTTCCGGGACACCAAGCCGCTAATTTTTGCCTATTCGTTTCGGGATATTCCTTTCGCACTCGCGTCAAATCCTTCACAGTATCAGCTGGACGACACAGCGAAAAACTTTTGCACTGAGCGATGAAGTTCTTTCGGTAGTTGTAGCTTGCCGTGTCAATCTACTTCCTTAGGTGAGCAGATGCTCGACAGCCGTCATAACGTGGATAGGATCGTTTCTGTTGATGTGACACGTCTTTTGCTAAAGGTTCCCCAAGTTGAGAGCATTACTACGCGAACTAGGAAGAGAGTTACATCTCGACGACTTTCATATATTCATCATGCCTCGCATTGACTTTCAAATTATGTCCGATCTCCATTTGGAAACTCCTCTCGCACGACCAACATATGACGATTTTGCAGCGACTATCACACCGGAAAGTCCCTGTCTGGCTCTTCTAGGAGATATCGGCTATGCTTGCGACCCTCGTCTTTTCAACTTTCTCGAGGACCAGTTGCACCACTTCCAAATTGTCTTCTTCCTGTTAGGCAATCATGAAGCTTACGGAACGTCATTTCCCGCAGCGAAGGCCCTTGTGGAAAGCTTTGCTGTTCGAACTGACGAAGTACGCTGTACCTCAGATATTGGCAAATTCGTTTTTCTTGATCAGACAAGATACGACTTTGAAGAGGGGATAACAGTCCTGGGTTGCACACTGTTTTCTCGGATTCCAGAACAGCAGGCCGATACGACCAAAATGTTCGTCACAGATTTCTCTTCAATCGAAAATTGGGCGGTCTCCGACCACAACAAGGCACATGAGAGTGATCTAAGTTGGCTCAATGCACAAGTCGATGCTATCATGGCAAAGGAGCCGGGGCGAGTAGTGGTCATATTCACGCATCATAGCCCAACGCTGCTTGATATGGCCATGGATCCAAGGCACAAGAATGACTCTGCAAAAACAAACTCGGCGTTTGCCACAGATTTGTCGGCAGAAAAATGCTGGCTTAGTACCCAGGTCAAGCTGTGGGCTTTTGGTCATACACACTTCAATTGTGACTTTCAAGACCCACGTACCACAAAGAGGGTTCTTACAAATCAGAAGGGATATAGCAGAGCGAAGAGCATTACCTTTGATGTGACGAAGACTGTTTCCGTTGAAGCTTCCATACCGTCTGCTCCAATAGGAGTCTCCGAGAAGGAGGATCAAGAACCTCAACGTAGCAGGTTTCGTCACAGAAACGGACGCCAGAACCGTCAGATCGATAGACAAATCAAGTGTATGATAATGTAGCAAGAGAATGCTTTGCGCATCAAGGAGGCGCTAGCCAGGTTGCCAGTATCTAATTCTTAGGTGGATCTTCTTATAGTTCACTCCCTGGGTAGTAAGGACAGCAAATAAATCACTAGCTTACTTACTACGTAGTCAGAGCCGGGGCCTTGCAATGCACACTGACTAAGCAGTTGATACCACAGTCCCGTTTCACATTTCGTACGTGGGACTTGGAGGCCACATTCTATTGACGATATCAATGCCGGAGCACAGATATTTTGCTCATTTCATCAGATAGGATGTATAGGAGTCTACCTGATGGGTAACAAAGCATCGAAGATCATAGAGCGCCACCAGCAGGGCGACTATCTCAAGGAACCGAGTTCGTTGCATCAGGGTCCCGAGTTAGCTGTCGCGGATAATGGCCTACCAGCCCGTCAAGATAATCGTTACAAAGGCTCCTTCCTCTTGACGAAGCAGGGGATCCAGAATGTCGTATGGCTAGAAGATGTTCTGGCACTGCACGGCAGCAATACCACCGGTTGGGACCTTGCTCTCCTCGTTGAGGATCCGCTTGAGGCAGCGACCTACCTCGCGAGTTTCGGCTATCATCAGACAGCGCCGGAAGAAAGATTTCAGTATGAGCAAGATGTTACTGAACACAGCATTCGTGTGATACAATCAGCATCTAAAGAGACAGCAGTGACCCTGCTGCCAGCGCAACATTGGTACTTTGATTTCCAGCACCAGGGTCAGAATTCTCTGCCACCACTCCACACTTTTCTCGATTCCGTCATGGAGTTCTGGCTGAAAATCTCCTCTAAGGACTACAGTGAGCGCTTGGAGCTGGCGCTGTATATAGCGGATTTGATAAGCCAATGCTACAATCTCACAGATGATGACGATGTCAAAGTCAGATCAACCGAATATGGAGAAAAGCTGAAAGTTGAACATCGTGAGCTGCATTATGACATTGTGGCTGGCAAACAAAGCTTCAACCACACCGCTCGCCATCGGTACCATGCGCAAAAGTATAGAGAAATCAAAGCTGGGCTATTCAATCCTGTGCCATACCAGAAGAATGGCTACAGACCAAATTTAGGAACGCTCGAAGAATGAAATGAGAGGATGCGATGGAGCTACGCATTCCGGAAGATCCACCTTTTTATAGCTTGCTTGTGAACTATTTACGGTTTCGGGCACAGTGCAATCTAAGTGAAGAGAGGCTGTATGGACAAATCGACCAGACACGGCTCGCCGGACAAACCTTCGGCTCTCCGCACTGCTTTTCGAGTGCGTTTCCCAAGTCTCTGCGAACAGGGTCTTGGCAGTGGCTGACTATCTTGCGGAGGGCTGACCAACAGCCCGCAATTGTTCGTCAGGCGACAGGTGAACATCCGATAAAAATTGGGAAGAGTCGAAGAGAACGGATAGAGAGGCGCGAATTTAGCAAGTCTGCGGATGGACTTGAGGAGAAGCCGGACCCGGGGAGCAGAGGAGCACGTCTCAACCAGGGTCTGCAGAGCTGCGCAATGGTTGGATAGCGTGTGCATGACTTTCAAGGTGGCAGACAATATGATAATGAGAACTCATACTTATGGGCTTGTTCCTGAAATGCCTACTTCCCACATGCCAGAGTCCGTTCGGCACCCCAGATCATATGCTCCATAAAGTGGTTGGTCCTGTCACTTAGCAGGATCTCGTACGATGCGACTCTGCCGGCTGCAGGCTGAATTTGAACATCCAGCTCACTGTCAATCTCCTAACGGGGTGCTTCCTCCTTTATGGATAGCTATCTACAGTCACAGAGTACGACGGAGTGAATTCCCCGCATAAAAAGGCCTGGCCGCTGACTAATCATTCGAACCTCGAAGCTCTTCCAACCTGACCAATAAAAAGAAGAATCTCCGTCGCCTTGCAACCCCACACATACCTCTGTGGCTTGCAGATCTTTTTCACCATGGCATCCCCCACTTCCGTCTTCGTCTTTTCCCCATCACCGCCTTCTCCGTCAGAAGACTCTGACATCCACAGTGAGCGACTTCGGGAGTTTTGCGCTCACTCATCTCCCATAAAGCTCCAATTCAGCCTCTCCGCTCGTATTGTGACAAAACAGCCGGCCAATGATGACCATGACCGCCACCGCCAAAGATGCCTCCGCCCTTGCAGCGACCACGGGGTCTGATGTTGTTGCCGTAGCCTCCACCTCCTCTGGCTCCGCCGACATCTCCCCAGCCCACAGCGCGCCCGAGATGGTCGAGAACAACAACACCGACGCCAGCGGCGCGCGCAATGTCATCGACAGCACGGCCAGTGCAATCCGACACCCGCGCAAGCGAGAGCGCTTCGGCTACCTCCTGACCAAGGACTTCTGGATCGTCCTGCTGATCGGCCAGATCTTGGCCCTTTGCCTCACCGGCACGAATACCTTCACCACCCTGCTGGTGATGGAGGGCACTTCGATCCCGGCCTTTCAGACTTTTTTCAATTATGTGCTGCTTAATCTGATCTATACTTCGTATACTGTGTATAGATACGGGATTAGGCGGTGGGCGAGGCTGCTGTGGAAGGATGGGTGGAAGTGTGGGTTCACTTTTTCTTATTTTTGTTTTGAGCACTATATTTCTATTCTCTCTATAGCCGATTTGAGACTTTTCGTTCTTTCTTTCCTGCGTTAGGCGCACACTCATGCGATTCTGTAAATATATTCATCTCACCAAATTACATCCCCTTAACGTCCTCCACCACCCCTGTAGCCGAGACCAGAAACTAAACATGTCGGGGGCCAGACATCATCCTCTCCTTCTGCGACGTCGAAGGCAACTACTTCACCGTGCTCGCCTACCGCTACACCACCATCCTCTCCGCGCAACTGATCAACTTCTGGGCCATCGTCGTCGTTGTAGCTATCTCCTTCCTCTTCCTCCGCGTCCGCTACCACTGGGCCCAGATCCTCGGCATCTTGACCTGCATTGGCGGCATGGGCATCCTCCTGGCCTCGGACCACATCCAGGGCGTCAACGGCGGCGACATCTCCTCCGGAAATCAGCTCAAGGGAGACCTGTTCGCGTTGGCGGGTGCCACCTTCTACGGACTGAGTAACGTGGCCGAGGAGTTTTTGGTCAGCAAGAGGCCGCTTTACGAAGTCGTTGGGCAGATTGGCTGGTGGGGCATGATCATCAATGGTGCGCAAGCGGGCATCTTTGATCGTGATGGCTTCAGGAATGCGGTGTGGAATGGTAAGGTTGGAGGGTACTTGACCGGTTATACCCTCATTCTGTCGCTGTTCTACACCCTCGTGCCGATTCTGTATAGGCTTGCTTCAGCTGCGTTCTTTAATATCAGTTTGCTGACTAGCAACTTCTGGGGCGTCATAATCGGTCTGAGGGTCTTTGGGTACACCGTTCATTTTTTGTATCCCATCGCGTTTGTACTCATTCTGATTGGGCAATGTGTCTATTTCTTGGGCAAGGGGGTGTTTGGCGAGGCGAAGAAGGCGTGGTTGGGTGAAGATCAGGAGAAGGGCGTGCTGGGTATTGGGACGGCGAAGAGGAAGATCCAGAAGGGGAATGGTGGGTTGAGAGGGACGGACGGGTTGGGTCAGGGTGTGGAGCATGAGAGTGCTGGTATTGTCTAGCTCAATTCTCGTGTGCAAGGTGGAGTCAGCGCCGTGTCCTGACAGTCATGTTCTGGAAAAGGCAATGGCAAGTGAGAGTATATAACTGCCGCGCAGCTTGTAGATTCACCTTTCCATCGGTGCCTGACCTGATAAGCGATTTGAAAGATCGGAATCCCTAGAGACGCTGACATGCCTTAGAAATCCTGGTTGATGGCCGTCATCAAGGCCATTACATAGCTGCCGCGTAGAGCTACGCGGACATCGAATCGGGTTGAATGTCTCTGTTGCATAAGCGAATGTAGAGAAACTACACAACCTCATCCATACCCTTCGCATCTTTTTCCAAAGTCCACGTCCACATACACGTCGACATCCACGGATGCAGATTGCACCTTCCTACCTTAGCTCGAACTCTTGCTGCTGAAGCTCTCTAATTCTTTGATGTCGCAGCGCTTCTCCATCCATCATTCCATGGATGTAGCACTCGCCGATGAACTCGTAATAGTGATCGCGCTTGTTGGATCTTACTCTCGGAACAATGTCCTCGTTCGTTGCTGTCCCCGTCGTGGGATAAATGGGAATGTCTTCCGAAGCTGTTCGGTGCTTTCTTCGAAGGACAACAGGGACACTACATCCATAGAGAATGCAGATCAGATCCCCCTCTCGAGCCTTGGATGGAGCCAGACCTAGGAAGTGCTCACGCGATGTTGAGATAAGGCTACGCTTCCACACTACAGATTGGACTCGACGAAGAAAGTCGATCGCCATAGATGGGCATTTCCCAAAAAGGATTAACTCTCTGGTGTTAAGATCACCGCGTTGACCTTTCCGTTGGAATGCATAGTTGAGTGCTGACTGGTATATGTGAGGGGGTGGGCTGCCATCAGGTCCTCGATCTGCAACCAGGGTACGCCAAAATCGATCTGGTGCAGCTGCTCTTCCAGGGTCCCATTGCACCACCTTGAGCCATTCTGCTGGGATAATTCCTTGCTGTGCAGTTTCGCTTCTCACGTTGACCTTGTCCAAGATGAAGCCGCAGACAAACAAGCTTCTGTCGACACTTTCCTTGAATCGCCATATTGCTTTCCTTTTGCCAGAGGCCAGGTAGTTCTTACGGCGCATACCCGGAAGCCCTACCAGCGCATCTGCCTCCACTCGTTTGTAAACTTTGTCGACGAGCTCGAACGGAGCGCTAGAAAGCTTGGGTATCCATGATGGCAGATCTTGCTCCTTCTCATGGACAGGCTCAGGAGCCCATGGTCGGCAGATAATGTCCAAGGACTCTGATTGGGCCATGACGAACGCCAGGAAGTCTTTACAAACTTCGTACACACTCTTACTGTAGTCAACTGTGATTTTTCTATCGACTGGCATCTGTAATCTAATCTTTGGAGGTGGTAGGGTGAGATCAGAAGCCGTCCGCTTATGACCCTTTTGGCCATAATTCGGTACGGATAAAGTTTGCGCTTGTAAGTACTGGTTCGTGTGATCAATGGGCGAATGGGTTTCGGAATGTCCAGTTGTGTCTGCACTTTGCACAGCTGAGTCATTCGGCGTTTGGAGTGTTCTGCGATCAGAAGCCGGAGAGGAAGCCCGGGTTGGAGACTCGGCGTATGGTGTTGGGGAGCCGGGAGTCGGAGTATGAATTACCCAATGCTCACTCAGTGAAGATCCAATCGCCCGTTCTGTGCTTGGTGTAGCATCGTTCGCCAGCCATAGAATAGCGTAAACAACGTCATGCGGATTTTCGGCTTCAAACACAGAGAGTGATGACATCAAAGCCTCAAGTGATAGCAGATGTTCCATGATTGTACCATCGTCTGACTTGCGAAAAAGATTACTGGACGCATAGACCAGCCGGTTGGCACCCAGCTCCTCGATCTCGCCCAGGAAGTCGGGATGGTGGTCGAACGATTGGGAGCCTTTGAAGAGTTTTCTGACATCGTGATGTTTACTCGTACACAGTGACACAGCTTCTGCGAATTCTCTCCAGGTTACTGATTCTGTGCCACAATGCAAGCAAGCGTCTCTGGCTAGAGCTATCTCTTGTACCACCCATCGGCGACTGAAGAGGGGCCTTTTCATCAGGTCTAAGAAAGCTGCCCATTCGCCTGAGATCTCTGGGTTCTGCACGAGTTCATCGAGGTCGCTGAGATTTATGACTCGTCTGATGAACTTCAGAGCAATGTCACTATTGTCGTTTGCTTCGCCTAGCCAGACACGGACCTTGGTGGCCTGATTATAGATATCCGCCATCTTTGGGATTTGAGAACCCTTCTCGGCGTGGTTGACCTGGTTAATGCACAGCGCATCGACCCAGAGATAAGTTGCATCGGATGAAGGACGCAAGTGGCGCAGGGCAGACTCGAGATTCTGTGTGATTGGGATGTTGTATGCTTGGCCACCTTCCAGGATTCTAATGAAGTGCGAGGAATCAGGTTTGCCTCCCCAGGTGTAGGATAGAGCTTCGTATGACTCAGCTTCCTGGATTTGAAGTTCGCTGGACACCTCTCCAGCACCTGCGCCGGTTTGTTCAAGTTCTGCCGAGATTGGTTGCTGAGCTTCATGCTGGACGAAAGAAAGAACGCCGTCGTCGTTGAATGTAATGGTTGGCTCACTCTCGGTGAGTCTATCACTGACTCGTAGCTTGCGGACGATGAGGTTGCCTTCCAATGCTGCAGTACTCTCTGCCGCTGGCAGTAGTCTAAGAAGACGTATGTGACCGTCACCTAGAGCGCCGTAAGTGTAAACAGTCATGGCTCAGGATGATGGTTATGCTGAAAACCTAGCCGGATAGAGAAACGGTAACAGCTTGAAGCGCGCGGGAGAAGAAATGCGAAAAGGCAGAAAAGCAGGCCCATCCAGCGGAAGAGCCAAAAAGTAGAGAAATAGGTGGTAAGAGGTCCTATGAAGAACGAAAAATGTTACCTTGCCCAGGAGAGAATGGCCCAACCGCTAGCTAACCTTTCAACATCGATTGAAAGCCATTTCAAATGATGTTAACAACATCAGAAGATATTTGGTAGGATCGTAACGCTCATTCTTAGGACGTGTATGTCTGAAATAAAATACCGCACAAGCCATAAGGCAAAAAGGACATAGACACAGCCCCACTCTCAGACAGTCTTGCGGCTCTTTATATAGACATCGTGGGGTGGGAACAGAAGGACGTCCGCCCCCATGCCAGATTGAACAGTACGGAGTATTCACCCTGCATTTACTCGCTGAACTTCGTTTCTTCGGCAAGCCCACGAGCATGTTCGATCAGGGCAACATAGCAATGCAAGCCATACGTCAATGCCTACTGCAGGCCGACTTGGGACGACCAGTCCACTGGAGCATGTCAATGCGATAGACGCGCCCTATTATGCGCGTACTTGCGAACAGTGCAGGAAAGAATTGACTGCCTCGTGTAGACGAGCACTAAGCCCAGCAGGTAGACACGATGCATACCTAGTACGTCAAGTAACAGGCACTATAAACTCTAAACCTGACTAGACCTTGCATCGAACCGTGCCGGATGTACTTTTGAGAACCATGGACCTCTTGAGAGCCTTGTGGCTTGAGTGGCTTTCTCCTTTCGGTCGAGGGCATGAACTTTTGAGCAGGTCTCCACGGAAGGTGGGTGCAAGGCAGACTTTGCAGTTACTACGTACGTGGTAAGATATTCCCTGAGGGTAGCCTGATTGTCAAAACATTGCGGTTGCAATTGAGTTGTGTCTTGCACCAGCACTTTGGCGCGCAGAATTGGAGACAAAAAGTGTGACACACGATTCCTTTCTTGGCCTTGGGTCACTGCGGGTGTAAAAAGTGCACTGCGTCTTAGCTTTTCAGTCGCTTCATCGTTCTTCCAGGGAACTGTTGCCAGTCCCTCGCTCAAGGCTTGAACTCACAACCACCACAACCATCCTCAGCAGCTTACATAACATTCCAAACGGTGTCTCAATGCGGCAACTATCATGGCTTCACGGCGGCCTGTTGTCACAGCCTACTAGTACTTGACCTGAAAGCAACTGCCTGCAATTGCAACCGCCGGCCAGTCCAAGATCGACGATCTGTATCTCACATCGCGCTGCAAGAAGTCCCTGCCAACTCCTCCGCCAGCCGCAGCACACCCACAGCCTTGCATGTCAGCTGACTACAAGGCTCAGCCAGCACTTGGGAAGCAGCAATGGATCTCCGGACCTCAAATACCATATGTGATGCCGAATCATTACCAGAGTCACGCACAAGGAATGATAACTCGCCCGCACTTACAATAGCGCAAGTTATGCTTGCATACCTGAACATGATTCTCCCAAAGGACTGGCGCGTAGGTTCCCGGTGAGATTTTGATGACGCAGGTGCCGCATTGACATTCTTCCAGCGCGATGCCAACACTCCCTGGAGCAGAAGTCCAAGCCCAAACTTCTCTCTGGATGCGGCTGGACTCGTTGCCCTCGCTGACATCAGGACGATAGCCCTACGCACAGCTCTTACCGGCACCTCCGCTTTTCTGGACACATTCGTTCTGTGCCCCGGGATACATAGCCAACAGTCGGCGCCGGAGCTCAATGGTGGTGAATATCCTGCTTGCGGCGCAATGACTTCGGGATATGTATTTCGGGTCGAAAATCCTGCCACCGTGCTTTATCTGCAGAAAGTGGGCCTTACAGGTCAATTGACGACGCTATCAGTGAAAAGCATACAACACAATGCGTCACAATGGAACAATCTGATTTCAAGATTCTTCACCTTCCAGACTGCCTCCTTCACCTCTTCTTGCGCATACTTGGTCGCCGTTGCCATGACTGCCACCGCCCTCACCTTACTAGCGTTTTCGCAGAATTGGTGGGGTCTCACCGTTGTACTCTTCCTTTGCACTTCGCGCCTTTGCAACGTCATCGTGATCCGCCGCCGCACCAATGTCAGCTGGCAAGGCGCCGCAGAGCCTGGCGTCAAAGGTGACCTGCTCATACTTCTCAGCCAAGACCGCTGGATTCGCATGAAAGGCATGGTCGATGACCTCAAAGCGGTCACCTCGGGCCAGTGGCTCCGAGATATGACGTTCCTCGAAAGCAGCGTCGCTGCCTTTGCAACCTTGCTCGTGTTTCTAGATGCCGCACTTGCAAGCAATGTTGACCAAGTTGGGAAAATGATCCTCCTGGTCCTGCTCATTGCCAGTGCCGGGGTCTTGGCAATAGCTAATGAGACAACTCAAATGCTACAGATGCATGGGAGGGTGATCAAAGTGGAGGGCTCAAGAACAAAATACCAACGAAGACTGGAAATGGTCGAACAGCTGATCAGAGAAAGCGGAAGAGATGACTGGGCTATGCGGATGGGCATGATTGTCCGGAAGGACGAAAAGGACAGTCGCAAAGACAGTCAGGAGGGTGTGACCATGTAGATCAAAAGGAGAAGATCATTCAGGCCTCCTGCCAACAAACAATCCGTCATTGACAAGCAGAAAACACACTCAGCACTTTAACCAAGAACGCAAGGGGCAATTGGGCTCCGCGGCTTGGTACAGCCAGGCTACGAGGATGACCACCTTTCCCACAACATACCTTTCAGAGTGCTAAGTGGCAGTCATGGAGGCCAAGGACTTGTGCAAGGCCTCGTGAGGCTTTAGGCAACGATCGTTTATCAAAACCGGTCTCGGGAGTTGTTGCATGGGGTCGTGAGCTACCCTTTGCTTTGTTCGGTTTCGAAGCACGCCCGAGAGGAATTCGTGAGGTTGACCTACTATATCGGAAATGAAGTCCACCGTCTAGTCAAGGGACCTGATCCTCACAAGATTCACCCAAGGCTGGGTGTCAGAATAGTACTTGGGGGTCATTGTTAGCAAAGCAATTGGGGTAAGAAAGACGTGGATCAAGATTTTACAAACTCTCGCATTGGTGGTCACAGTGGCAATCGAACGATTTTGGGGAGAAGACCGAGTTTGAGCTGTCAGGATGGGGTATCTTAAATGCGTATGGTCGATTACAAGTCATCCGCCGTCAAGCACAGATTTTATGATCAAGCGCAATCAACCGCAAACAGCATCAATGTTACATGCAAAATGTGCATTGTTTTGAAAGAGAATCCGGCGCATCGTCTACTCCCCCGCCGCTGCATCAGCCCAAACACGCACGATTTGCCTGCTACCTATCCACCTCGAAGCACCTCACCACTCACATCCTCCCACTCCCAAGCAGCCGGCCCAGCCGTCCTCCTATCCCGTCCACCACCGGGCTGATTTGACACATCATTTACATTTCCACCCTCTCGCGACCCTCTCCGTCAGATCCGCGGTGACTTGCTTCCTCTCCCTCTCCGCCCTCCGGCTCTCATCCCGCATCTTCGCGCCGATCTCCAGCCGCCGCATCCTGGCGGCGTGCTGGTCCAGCTCGCCGATGTTGGCCTCTGCGGCCGCCTTGGCCGCGTCTGCCATTCTCCGCGCGGCGGCGCGGAATCGGTCCAGGTCCGAGTCGGACGTGTTGGCTCTCCCTGCTTTCTTGGCTTCTGCACGTTTGACCAGCTCGGAGCGGGGGGATAGAACCTCTTCAGCCTTCTCGGCCATGTCGACGCTTCTTCTGCTGTCTGCCTGGTGCTGCGGGTCTCGGATGCCCATTTTGGGCCAGTCGGACTTCTTGGCTTCTTCTGCGCGCTTCGATGCCGGGCCCATCCTGGGAGGTGGCTTGCGGTTGGGGTCCGGTTTTGTTTTGATCTGGGGTAGCTGACTGAACTGTGACATGCTTGGGAGGAACCTGTTGGGACTGGCCGTGCGTATATTTTGAAGGGTATTCGTCTGTCAAGCAAGCGATGTTCTATTTTAAGTCGGATCTATTTAACGAAGAATGACAATGAATTAATACTTTCTATATAATATTTTCCCCGGAAGGTGGCTAATAGTAAACGGCAGCGAAGAAACAATGTTTCGAAAGCCCTCACACCCCGCGTTCGGCTGTGGCTAATGTTTCAAGAAGGGGGGATCCTGAAGCAGCATCAGCTTCGCGAAGGAGCTGAAACACCGGACCAATTCACTGGCATGTCCGGTGTAGGACTAAAAGAACTGCTGCTAAACCGAGGGAGACAAAAGGATAAATGTGACTTGCAAAGCGGGAGGTGGCATGGAATGTAGAATGATTGGGCGGCTTTTCCATGATACCCGCTGTCAATTATGGTGTATGCGAATACTTCAAGAGTCGCCTTTCTGAACCCTGCTCAAGCGTGCAGGTACCGGCTCCGGGCGTTCCCAGGATTCAATACAGCTCTTTGCTTGATATATGTCCATCGTGGCCCAACCTGAGATTCTCGTCTACAGTTCCGTCGCGGTGTTTTTCTCAAATAGATAGCAAGAATAGCCAAAGGGCCCGGACAACACTTCGAAATTCCTCTCCCTTCTCTCTCTATCTCTCCCTGTCTCTCTGTCCCTGTCTCTGAAAGTGAATCTCTCTCAACCCCTGCGCCTCCGGAGGAGGCGGCGGCGGAGGCGGCGGCGGCGCAGTTGTGGTAGCCGGTGCTCTGGCTGCCCAATCCTCAGCCGGCAAATCCGTAGTCAGCGGATGTGCCTGTGGACCGCCCCACCCCATCGCAAATTGCGGAGCAGCTCCGCTCACCACGGTATTAGGAAGCCATCCCGCGTTCGGCGCCGCGGACAGACCCACTATGACCCGTGGTGGCTCGGGAACTATCCTATAATGGGGATGGGGTTCTGGAGAGTTCGGTTGGTGAGGCCGATCAGGCCGATCAGGTCGGGTGGGAATCGGGGGTATTGCTGGCCGTGGGGAGCGACGGACCTCGTTGCGGAGGATTGGGCTGTGGTCCGCACCTCTTGCCGATGTTCGGGGGACAGTTTCTCCTGTTGTTGGACTCCAAGGTTGAAATGCGCGTGGGTGAGTCACTCGGTCTGCTGGCGGCCGTGGGTGTGATGGCGCTCGCTGTACAACTTCGACATTTCTACGTAAGGCAGGATACCTTCTATTGAGCTCAGCGACTTCTTGGCTGCCGGCATCGGACTCTGCTTCGTCTACCTCGCTGCCGGGTCCTGCGCCCCGTCTTCTCACATTTGGCTGGTAAGGCTGAGGAGTTTTACTGGGTGAAGTGTCCGACATGCTTCGGTGCTGATGGCTCAAGGGCCAAAGCCTGCAATGACAGGGCAGAAATTGACGGGAGCGCACCTACTGAGCCATATGTTGTTGCAAGCTATAGGAAGTGGCAAGAGCAGAAGCAAAGAAGAAATTGAGAGCTGATGACGAGTCTTTCGGACTGTAGTATTAGCAGGGGGGGGGAGAACTGATATAGGACCCGTCATGAAGGCTGGCTTTGCCAACCATTGGCAGAGATGGAGTTAAATCGAAGCTATTTTGAAAACGAGATGTGTGAATACTACCACCTCTTCGAGTTCATCCCGGTTTGAGGTCTATTGCTCTTGTGTTGAGTGGCTCACAGGATGACATTGTGAAACACGGTTTTGAAAACAACCAATGTTTGATCACAGGCGCGGTCGCACTTTGATTAGCTGTCATAGTTTTAGTTCTGCTTGCTGAACAGGCTGCAGATTATGAGACGATGACCGGAGAATTTTCCGAGCCACACATTATTTAAATGCCCTAAATTGCTGGCCGGCAAACCCATCCGCCGCCCCGGGAGGACACATGATTGACACCTCAATCAACAACCCTTGTTATCCTAACATGTCTTGTCAGTGGCAAAGGTGTCAATTAAATCAAACCCGAATACCGCGTGTCAAACTCCCCTATAGCTATCCCTTCTTCATAAGCCAGTTGTTCGCCGCTTGGCCCAGGGACATTGTTTCCTTTTGAGAATGTTGTGGTTTTATCGGGAATTGAGCGTTCCATGAGCGACATGCTCTTGCCGTTGGGTGTTCTATTTCTTGAGGGCGAAGCAGACGAGCTCTTCTTGTATGCCAGTGTCTTTCGAAAAGAGGACTCTGGTCTGGATACGGGCGGTACGGAGGTTTGATTTAGCGGAAGTAGGGAGTTGAGAGCAGTACCTTTCGGTACCACAGATGGAGAATTTGCTTGAGTTGACGCAAGGATTGAGGAAGATATTGCTGAGTTAGTACTACGTGATGTTTTCCGCGAACTGAGCTGGTGTGGTTGTGCCCCTTGTGTTGTGTGTTCCTCAAGCAGCAACTTCAGATCTGCGACGGCTGCGACAAGCGGATTGATTTGCGACATATGACCACTTCTGTCTTCCGTAGTCTCGGTGCATCGACCTACGTAACTTTAGTGACAATACGAGAGGAAACCTGGGTCGGAAGGCGTCGGAGCATACCGTTCTGCAGCAGTGACAACTCTTCTGGCGTAAGGTACAGTACCAATGCTTGGTGGGTTGGCGGAGTCGGTCTGATTGGGTGACGGCCTCCATTATTCCGATATAACGGATCTTCCCCAAGCTTCAATTCTTGACGTTTCTTTTTATACTCGGCTCCTGCCTCCCTATATTCCTGCCCAGGGTTCCCCGGCACTCTCTGACAATGCCAGGCATGGGCCAGGGTCAAAGATCAAGAGCTCAACGATGCTGACGGTCGCGCACGTCTCTCCCAGCGAGGGCCATATCTGATCTACTCCCGAGGCGGAGGAGGATGGTATGACAAACAAGGACAGTCGTACATTCAGTGGAACTTCGGAAGTCCAGAAACTCGCTATCTTTCCTGGAGAGGGACCCCCCTGGCTGGACTGGAAGGATGCTCGAAGACGATGAGAGAGCGTTCTCTACAATGCCAGGGTTATTATGAAGAGGGATCCAAGAACAAGATGCACCATCTTACTATCTCCAGAGTCCAGGAGGATGTGACGAAGGAGAGGTCAGTGGATATGCCCATCTGGCCGAGTTCATAAGGGCATGGTTGCCTCTTTAGGCAAATTCGGATTACTGGCTCTTGGTTTTTCGCGGGCGTCTAGACATACTACGTAGGAGGCCACCGTAACAGCGATCCAGTACACATAGATCGATCCGCATCTCGATATCACCGCTGCTGTTTCTTGAAAGCTTTCTTCGTCTGGACAGGGTCATCCCCCCTGCCGCCTGACTCCCATTCTCTCGTATACAACAAATAGCTTTACACGGCGAGGTGATCCAAGATATCTAAACTAGTCGTACAGGGTAATAGAATCGAAGAAGCCGCTTCACAAGAACTTGGTACCACGGTGAAACTCTCACCAACGCCCAGCTCTCTCACTGAACCACCTCACAACCGCCACCTCTTATTCTCTATCTCAAGAGCTGCTCAATATCCCTCAACCTGCCGCTCCGCTCCTCGCCCCTCCTCTTCCTGCCCCTCCCCTCCTCCTCGCCAAAAGCCTGCCCCATCAACTTCCTCTTCCGTGCTTGAACCTCCAAAACCTCCTCCTCCACACTCCCCTCCATCACCAACCGCATAACGGTACATTTCCTCTTCTGTCCCAACCGATGCACGCGATCAACAGCCTGATCTTCGATTGCGGGGGCCCACCACGAATCGGCCAGTATGACCTGATTTGCACTCACTAGATTGAGACCGACGCTGCAGACGGAGAGGGATGCGAGCATGATTTTGCAGTCCGGGTCTGTGTCGAGGGCGCGGATGGCGGTGTCGCGGCGGGAGGCGGGCATTTTGCCGTCGAGGCGGGTGAAGGGCAGGTTGTGGGTTTGGAGCTGGGTCTGCACGACGTCGAGGAAGGAAGTCCATTGGCTAAACACCACCGTCTTAGTGTCCTTGGCATTCTGCGAAGCTTTGAGGATTTTGATGAGGGCTTCGATCTTGCTAGAGGTGATGTTGGGGTCGATGTCTATCTCTTCTTCATTATCGCCTTCGCCGAAGCCGGCGGCAGGTGGCACGAGCGAGGTGATGTCTGGTAGCTCGTTGCGACACATGGGGCATTTGTGCTGTTCTTGGATGACGCGTTCGACGCATCCGTTGCAGAAGACGTGGGCGCAGGCGGTGATCATGGGGTCTTTGAACGAGTCCATGCAGATGGGACATTCTTCTTGGCTGTCGATTTTCAGTTGCAGGACGTCCTGTAGCGCTCTGCGGTTTGCCTGGTTCTGGACATCGACCACCTTGTTCTCTTCAACAAGAGCTAAGATGCGGTTGACTCGATCTTCGCCGCACAGCTTCCAGTGGTTGCAGCATTGGCGCATCCGCAGGAGGACTTCGAGCAGATTTGTAAAAGTCTTGTTATTACCTTCGTTGTGTTTCATCTGATCGACAAGGCCTTTGGCTTGAGCACTGAAGGCATCGTATTTCTCGCGTTCATGCGAATGGAATTTGATCGGGTATTTATGAGACACCAATTCTGGCAACCTCAGATCGATAAACTTCATGTCTTTCATCCGACGAAGACAGATAGTAGACATCAGTGCTTGTAGTAGAACAGTGGCGTTTGGATCCCCGCTCTTCAACGGGCGGATCAGCGTACCATTGAAGATGTCAAGTTGTTCCAAGCCACCAGTCAGTCGCAAGAATTTAACATGTGAGTAGAGATCCTTCAGATTGTTGACAATGGGGGTCCCAGTCAATATCCAGCGAGCGTCAGCCCGAATAGCACATGCAGCTTGCGCCATTTTGGCTTTAGGATTGCGGATCTGGTGACCTTCATCAAGTACAATTCGTCGCCAAGAGGTGGAAAATAGTCCTTTGGCTGCTGGAGTATGGATCGGCTTTGATGCACCGTATGGGAAAAGCTCGAGGGCCATGGTTTGATATGTGGTGATGACGATGTCGTACTTGGCGAAATCTGCCTCCTTCAGATCACCTTTGGAGGCGCCGTGGTAGATGAGAACCTTGGGTAAATGATCAGGTTGAACGTGTCTCTCAGCCTGGGTACTCCAGTTGCTCATTACACTGAGCGGTGCCACGATCAGAGTTGGCCTGCCAGCACGGAAATCGTCAGACATGATCAGAGAGATGACCTGAATAGTTTTCCCAAGTCCCATATCATCTGCAAGGATGCCGCCTTTGGCTAGCGTCGGAGCACTACCAGTGAAGAAGTTCGTGGCAATGTTCAAGTAGCCATTCTGCTGTCGTTTCCACAATTGAACCACGTCAGACGAAGTTGTTGGAGGTAGGGTGCACGACTCTTTGCTCTGCATCCATTTCAGACCTTGACGCTGGTATGGCAGTAGTTGAGTCTTCAATCTCGCAGGCTGATCTGCCATTGGCATCGCAGAGAGCACATCTTCTCCAGCTCCAAATTTGTTTACCACGTCTTGCACCTCTCTGGGATTGTAGTTCTGAGCAGTTTCCATGACCTGTGCTAAACTTTGCGTTGGTTCACCAGCTCCTGGCATATTAAGATTCGCGTATCGTGACGAACCAGCATCGATTTGCATCGTATTAGTACCCTTTCTGAGACTGTTGCTATTTGCCTTGCGCGCCTCTTTCAATGCCTCCTCCCGTTCCTTTTGCTTCCTCTTCCTTTCTGCTTCGGCACGATTGTGCTCAGCCACAGGCAGGTTAAGAGCAATCATCTGCTGCTTCAAGGCTGCACCGGCAACCGGATCTCTGGTGCCAAAAAGTTTAAGCCCGATTGGACAATCGTATGTGCCTTTCGGCCCTGTCAGAGCGCCCTCAATGAGCAGCGCCTTTGAATCCATTAGAGGAGCTAGCCTCGCCGCAGTCTGACGGTTGAGGTGCCCAATCTGATCACCCATAACATTGCTGATGCGAATAGCATTCGAATCGTACGGATTTCGCGGTTCTCGCTTCACCACAACATACTCACCGAGTGTTGCGCGACCAGTATAGTACCTAACGCCCACAATCTTCGTGTTGAAGATTCCGTAGAGCTCGAAATCGTGGTAGGCGTCATCATCATCCTCGTCCAAAGTGAGGTCGATCTCGCCTCGTACCTCTTCTTCATCCATCCAATTATTGCGAGTGCTGGCATCTTCGTACGTCTTCTTCCCAGTTATTATCCCTGGATTGGGAGTGTACGGCGCCTGAGCATAGCTTGAGTGAGAAAAAGATTGACCTGGAGACTGTTGGCTTGACGACGGAGGTGTCGCATATGGAGCCTTGGATTGCCCTGCGTATCTCTGGCCTGCCTTATTTGGAGAGTACCGACCTGATGGTTGAGTAGCAGATGGTCTGTACACCGGATGGCTGTTCTTGCTCGCTTGGGAGGCTGCCTCGGCAGCACGGGGCGCTTTACGTGGTTGAGAGCCAAGCGAGCTCTCGAAACTATCTTCTGCGTCGCTGCTCTGAGTAAGATCCACGACATCTATTTTTCGCTTCGGTGCATTCGGTGCCATCTTGTGTAGAGGTTGAGAGTGGAGAATGGACCTTGAGACCGTGAAGAATCAGTTCCCCATGAAGAACAGAAAACCAAACCTTCATTGTAAGCTCGGAAGAGTCATGAAGGAATGATTTCCAGGATAATCTTGGATTTTGCTTCAAAGGAGGAAAACAAAAAACGCGACGAGAGGCTTCTACCGCCAAGAGAAACATCGCGTGCTCACGTGATCTTCACAAAGATCAGTTTCCATGTCTGCACAGAGTATAAAAGAGGTTCATCAGTAGCTAAGCGCTCCTCGTTCTGTCCAGTGTCTATTTGGAGAACCATGGGACAAGTCAGAGTATGGCATGTCCTGCAGAAATGCATGGACAACGCCTCCCGCGAAGGTTGAGCTATTTTGCCTCCAGAACGTCATGACGGTGCTTGCAGACTAAGTTAGGTCCCCAATCTTTCTTTGTTCATTTCTGTTATCATCTCTCAACGGCATAAAGTCTTGAATTTTCTTACCTTTCTCAAAATGTATCATCAGGAGCCTAGAACATACAGGGAACTTCTTGATCAAAGAGAGCACCTCTTCCAATCTGCCCTCGCCAATGGAAACATCGAACCTTTCCTGTATCCTTGGGACACCGTTCCTGCTGGTATTCTGGTGTTGTCGGTACTATTTCTTCCTAGACTCCGGGCAAAATACTCAAGATGGGCTTCTCGTGTTGCATTCGTATTGGTTACCCTTTCCTGCATCTCTGTAATGCGCCGTTGTCGAAGTCTGGGTCTGGCTAGCGGATATGGGATTGGTCTAATGTGTGTCTGGGGCATTATCTGGAGTGGTGTCTTGCTGGTCTACAGTGATCCAAAGGCTGCATTTCAGAGGCTGGAATGCAGAGACAGGAAGAAGGAGGAGGAGGCAGTGGCGGCTGTATCAAGCATAAACGGCTCGTTGAATTCGACCAAGCCAGCTAATTCAAGCCTCAGGAACAGAAAGATATATGGCGTCGTAGGTGGAGCTCATGAACCCACGGAGGAGGACAAAGATCTTCGAGAAGACACAGACAAGTCAAACCATATCTTGGTCTGGCAATCTTATCCAGACGGCTTCCGACACCGACTCGATTGGGTGACCGACTTGTGCACCAGCTTCCGCGGTCCAGGTTGGAGCTGGCACAACCAGACCCTCCCAGCAGCTGACTATCCTAACCCTTCTATGCTTCCCACACCATCATCATCAACCAAATCACTCATGCGCATTGCCGTTCGAGACTTCTTAATCTGGTATTTTGTAGTAGATACCGTCAAGACAGCGATAATGGCAGACCCATACTTCTGGGGTGTCGTCTCCATATCTTCACCAGGTCCAACCGTCACCTACCTACCGTCAATAATCGCCAACATCGCACCCTTCACAAAGCTCTACCGGCTTTTGCTCTCCCTCCTCGCAACCGTCTCCGCCCTAAGGACGAATTTGTCGAGCGGCAGCCTCTTCTTCGCCTTGCTCCTTCCCCTCCTCAATCTCCACATCTACACCCGCGCTCCGCTCCTCGAACCACTCCTCTACCCACCCTTCTGGGGCAGCTTCACCACCAGCGTGCTCGACAAAGGCCTAGCCGGCTGGTGGGGAAAATGGTGGCACCAGCTCTTCCGCATGGGAATCTCCGAACCCTCACGCTTTCTCATCGAGAAATTCGGCTGGAACCCGCGGAGCCAGAAGGCAAAGCTCCTGCAACTCTTCACCGCGCTCGCCATCAGCGGCACCATCCACGCCGGCGCGAGCTACACGACCTTCAACCCCCAAAGCCGACCGTGGTCTGGACCATTCGTGTTCTTCTTCTCCCAAGCCTTCGGCATTCTGGCTGAGCAGTTCGTCTTCAAGACGATGGGTGTTTCAAATCTCGTGCGGAACTGGCCGAGGACCCTGAGGAGGGCTGGGACGTTGGTGTACGTGATGGCGTGGTTCTATATTACCGGGCCGTGGTTGGCGGATGATTTTGCGAGGTCCGGGATTTGGCTGTTCGAGCCGGTGCCCGTTAGTTTGTTGAGGGGCCTGGGGCTGGGAGCTGAAGGGGAGGGGTGGTGGTGTTGGGCTAGGGCGTGGCCTAGGTGGTGGAATGGGGTGGAGGGGACGCCTTGGTGGAGGAAGGGAATTGCTATCTAAATTGGATGTAGACTGAGATGGGAGCTGGTTTTAGGATAATAGGTACTGAATACGTCTGGATCGTTTCTAGGCTGGTTGTGTCAACATAGTCTATCTCAGAGCATATCTTCATCATCATCCTCATCATATTCCTCGTTCTCCGAATCTGTCGTCTTCAGATAAAGAGGAGGTATGGCGGAATCACTGTCACTATCCTCCTCCTTTTCTGCATCCACGTTCTTGTTCTCAAACATAGTATTGACGCCCTCCTCTGGTCTTGGAGAAACACTTGTGGCTCTGGCCTTGCCTTTGTCTGGCGCTGCCCCACCTGCACCGACTTCCACCTGCATTGCGGGTCCTGGATTAACAACCATTGCTGGTGTCGAAGCAGAAGCACTCGGGCTCGTCGCTGCCAGCTTTAAGCCTGGATTGGCCTCTCGATCGAGCTCACTGCCTCGAATCCGTTTGCTTGAGGTGTCCTCTACTTCGTGGTTATCAGTTGAGTCGAAGTTGCGCTTCGCGGCATGATTCGAATGCGAACTCCCGTTCGTCTGCTGTGGAAGTGGCTCGATGTTGGCTTGATTCGAAGTGACAGTGGTTTGCTGAGGTTCGACATTGGACGCTGTCGCCGCCCCATCTTGCATGGAGTCCCCTAACCGGTCTAGAATATCGTTCTGACTACCTAAGCCATGAACTATCGGCTGTTTTGGAATTTCTGGGTCTGGTCCCTCAGAAGATACTGCGTCCTTAGAGTGCTCCAACTCCACCCCTGCATTAGAATCCGTTTCTAGCTCGTAAGCTGATGCTTCCGCTTCTCGAATCACAGGCATTCTTGGCCTCAACAGGCCTTCGGTTTCAAGCTCGTCCTGTGACGTTCGGACTAGAAATGGCATAATGCTTGGTGTTGCAAACTTGCCTGTTGTCCTGGGAGCTGGATTCAGGACGCTTGCTAACAATGCACGTTTCTGATCCTTAAGTATAGCGGTACGATCAATCTGTGCTCGAAGCGAATGAGGAAATGCTTTGGCGGGTACGTGTTCAAGCAGCTGACACATAAATTTTAAAGCTGCAGTCTGGATTGCCGAGATTTGCGGTTGTGATTTGGTGGTCCTCTTTGAAGAGGGTTGTAAGAACGAGTCAGCGTGCCCATTAAGCAGAGGCTTAGAGTTCAATCCAACTTTGCTCTGGTCGAGTGGCTCGCTATCAGAGCTTCCTGAAAGGATATCTTTGCAGCATTGCTCGGCGATTGCAGCTAGTGGCTTGAAGCTATCTTTCGTCGTGGCAGGGCCGGTAAGTGGCATGAGAATTCCGAATAGGTTATAAGTGGCTTTGCGAATGCTCTCGTTTGAGCTTTCTGACCCGAATATCCAGAGACATTGCTCGACAATAGTGTGACTTGCAGGCCATATACTGGAGCCAATCGCCTGCACAAGTGAAGAGAGCAGATCTAGTGTGGACTGGTGTATCTCTGGAAGAATAGCCAACAGCTCTTCTCGTTCTTCTCGTTCAATTTCAGGGTTGAAGCGAACATTCGTTTGGCTCTCTTTGCTGTTTGCCGGGACTCGCAAATGTAGCAACCGTGAAGTCAGATCCAGAGTGAGCCCAAGAGGTAAACTGACCACTTGCGACGTTTGTGAGAGGAGGAATGTCTTGAGAAGTCGTAGTAACGACAACAAGACCCTCGAACCTTGGTAGACCCCTTCCCAAGGCGGGACCCCAAGCGGGTCGTTTTCTTTGCTGTGAGGTAGTCTGTCGAAAGTCTTACGCACAGAACCCTGCCGGCGAGCGCTGTCGGAAGATTCCCAGTCTTCAACGACAGCTCGAAGAACCTCGTCCGCAACGCCGTGAAGTGATGAAACCACTGCTTGATAAGCCTTGAACCACTGCTCGTGGGCTGTATTTTTTGGAGCGCAAAAATGAAGGGTCACGAAAACAGAGTGCACGAGACGAGTGATGCCATCGGACGTGAACTGACCACTGAGATGATTGGCCAAAACAGGGTAAAGCTTCGATGCGAAAGGTCGAAACGTGCTGGGATGGTCAGGTATGAGATGAAGCATACATTGAAGGACTGTCTCGAGATATGGAATCGATCGAGTGGACGGAGCTTCATCACTCCTGGATGGGTGTAACCCACCCAGATTCAAGCACACTGTTACAAAAGCTGGTAGCAGCGGAGTAGTTACCTCGCGTATCAAAGTTGGATACTGCTGAGTCAAGGAGAATATGCGTGTAATTGTAAGGAGGCAAAGTCGCTTCGACGACACCGGATCTGGTCTATTCAGAATAGCTAACAAACCTCGCAACCAAGGCTCGCACAATCCAAGAATCTCTCTCCCCCCAGCCTCAATAGTGGCCTTTACGAGGATGATAGCAGTAAATCGTCCTTCAGCGGACCGGTCTTGAAGGAGTGAGGCTAATCTCGCTTTCAATTTGTGGGCCTGCAATGACAGATCATCAACCCTGCCAGCGGATAGACCTGATGTAGATTTCAGGGTATCCGCGCAATCCAGAATTGAAGAAGCTAGGAAACCGGCAATGTGAGGCAGTTCCTTTACTGGTGTATTGTTCAAACGGTGAGTGACGGCTCTTAATGCACCAACTTTGCTCATTGTGATCAAGAGAAAGGATATGCTTGCGGGAATCTCAGAATGTCCGTGCTCTTTCAAGAGAGAACTTGATAACCGTAGCAGTGTTTAGACACTTACACAAGTGGATTCCTAGGAGATAATTTGGGTGCTCTGTTAAGTACTGTACACTGCAGTGCAAATCTCTTGCAAATCCTTGGCGTCTTATTGAGAATTGCTGGTGCCGCGTTGTCTTATACTTGTATCGAAATAAAATTGAGTTTCGTCTGAAAGAATACGGCGCCAGTAACTCCGCATAACCTCCCCAAATATCTGCAAGTTTCGCAAGTTCAATGTACAGTGAAGAAATCGAGCTTTGACTATTAGCGCGGCATTGACCTTGCTGCAAGACGATTGACCTGGACCCTGGGTAAACAATGGCTACAGACCATTGAACTCACCAGTGCATCCACAGGAACAGCTGGATAGTGCATTTAACTTGCACAAAGGCTGTGCTCATGTCAAGACAAAATGTTCACGATACTGCTGGAGGCGCGGCATAGATATCTACGCAGACACAGTTAGCAAGATGCTCGTGCGTCTAGATCAGCCCGAATCTAGTGACTAAGGCTAACTGAAGTTCAGACTCATGATAGCGAGAAGGCCCGTCGATACATCGATCTCCTCGACACAGCTCGTTGCGGTGGATTGTGGGATGAAGTCCCAGAGTTGGTGAGAAAGGTCACCAAACATGCACCGCAGAGATCATGTACCATATATTCCACGATTCCTGGAGATATTGGTGCAACCAGCTAATTGCTGAACATAGGTCTCATCCTCACTGCGACGACCGAGCACAAAGTCACAAGGTATATAACCCGCGTGTCGGGTCTCACATCGTCCACGTCAAGGTCACAAGCTCCTGAATTGGCCCAACTGGCACCTCCACTTCTCTCCTCAGTTGAGTCTCAGTCGCATCCCAATAGCGATGTCTTGCAATGTCAGACCTGTGTTGCGCAGATACATTGGTTGTTGTCAGAACCAGGCTCCGCAGTTTCGAGGTTACCAACAGATATTACTTGGCTGTTCTCGGAGATATTAAAGGTACAAAGTTCACCTTCGAATTATACAACCCTCTGTATGTTGAAATGTGTTTACATGAAAGCTCTTTTTCTGTGCCAGAAAGGCGATATCTCTGGCAGTCTCGAAGTGTCCAAATCTGCTCTTCTGTGGTTACATGAACACGAGTCTAAATTATTGTCGCACCCGCAACTACGCGCATGGTCAGAGCAGATTCTGGCGCATATGGCACTGACGGCAGTTGAAGGAGCCCATCTCTCTTCAGAAGCACATGAACAGATCGACATAGCTCTGCAAGCGTTCCGACAGTGGGCAATTTCCAGTGCAAGGAGCAAAGAGACGCTACGAGACGACTTTGGTATTGTACGACCACTTAAACAAAAGGTCGAAATTTGGAAAGCATATTATCTGTTTCTTTCAGAGCTCTTGCAGGATGGCATTGATCATCACGTGCTTGGAGAGAAGCATACTCGGCTACACCAGGTCGCTGAGCTTCGCCGGATTGAGTCTATTTATGAGAATGAATTACTACGCGTAACTCGTTTCCCTAAGGCGAATGAGTCCAATCAAGCTATTGAAGAATGGGTTGGGCGAGTCATTCGAAATTGGGAAATCTTGTGTGGAAGAGCTTGGCCGGAGTCAGAATTGGGCGAGGGGGGTCGTGACGCCTATGGGAGGAATGTTCTTGATATACTTTACCGTGCAGCAACGAAGACCTTCCACTCTACCCTCATCCTTCGTCGTCTCTTCCAAGTTCACAAAGCCCTTGCCGACTTCAGTCTCGCATACAAAGCACTCGATGCCTACCTCGAACTGGTAGATCGTGGTAAAGCCAGGGCTCAAAAAGCTTCAGAGAGTCTAACAGGTATCGGGGATGAGGAGAGCATTATCAGAACCATTGCTGAAGGCATCGAAGGGTTGTGTATATTTGGGAGAAGGGACCAGGCAGAGAAGGCATTCAGGCTTACTGGCAAACTTGGAGAATGGATTGATGATTTTACAACGAAAAGATCAGAGGCCCCAACTAACCAGTCTCCAGATCTAGAGACTGTTCATGGCAATGCGCATAACAAGATGGCCGAGGCGCGGATTCTGGAAGCTGCACACAGAGCTATCGGTATTGGCAGAGCATTCTGGGCTTTGTGGACGCCATTCAACGAGCGGAGATCGATATATCAGAATGAAGCACTAGCAAGCTTCAAGCAGGCAACCAGGGTGCTCCCCGACGTTTCGCCTTCATTGGAAACCGCTTACGCACTAGCTCTTCTACTTGCTGAAACCCGTGATCTGAAAAGTGCCATTGACTGTGTCAAAGGGGCGTTGAGCACTTTTAGTGTTCAAGCAGAAGAACATGACTTCGCTCAGCAGCGTAGGACCATGCCGCTATGGCACCTGCTTGCGCTACTTCTGAGTGCTAGGCAGGACTTCAATACTGCCTATGAGATGTGCGGTGCTGCTTTCGACCAAGTTACTAATGCCGAAAACCTCCTCGACAACCTATCAACCTCAGTCAATGGAAATATGATCTCCAATAGTGAGAAGGCACCATTGAATAACGAATCGCAGGATCTTATCGGCGACATGGATTGGACAGAAAGGGAACGAATTATCGAAATCAAAATCACCGAACTTGCTATTATTGAGCTGACGGAGGGTGCGGAAGAAGCTGTTAACGGCAGTAACGAATTGTTGAGTCTCTTCTCAAAGCTCTTTGGTCATCTCGGCGTTGGCCAGGAGGAGAGACCTCAACCTAGAAGACTGACCCCTCCCGAAAACTCCACTGGAACCGCCAAAAGCCTTCGTGGGAGTATATTCGGTCGAAGGAGGGAAAGGCCAACAACGACTGCGCAGAATCATGCTGCCAATGCAGTACCATTTCTACCACAAAATATTCTCGCGCGGTACCCTACACAAAGGACTGAAGCACCGACAATCAAAGTGACTGATGAAGATTCAAGAACAGAAAAGCACAAATCACATTCTATTCGACGATCACACAGCCACAGTCGTAGCGATCGACAAAGTCATAAATTATACAAGCGGGAAGGGTTGAAGGCTGGTATACTTCGCCGTCACAGCAGATCTGCTGAGACTAGGCCAGCTAGTAGCATTGTTTCCAGTCCCCGTCAATCATTCGAGACAGGCCAAGAGCAGATTTCAAGGCGAGCATCCATTATTGGAGCTGTACCCAATGGCGTTTCTGAAGACAGCCCGGTTGATCAACTTGGAGCGATTAGCACTGCGGAGGTTATTGCAGCCAATGCAACTCCATTACACTCGCATAACAAAGTTCCGGAAGCTAAGGTTTCGCTGCCATCTATTGGTCACAACATTGATCACACAGAGCTGCCACCACCACCAGGACATGAGAGCCAACCACCTCAACAAGACGTTCGGCTTCCCATCGTACATTCATTAACCACGTCGACTCAACCTACGTCCCGGTTTTCGAGGACCGCCGAACAGATACATGCCCATGGAATATTGGTAAAGGTATGGCTACTTGTTGCTGGCCTTTACCGGCGAGCTACCCTATTTGACGATAGTCTGGAAGCATGCGGTGAGGCAGCTAGAAGTGCATCACAAGTTGAAGCTCTTGTGGCTGCTCAAGAATCATCGATCACCACATTCACAGAGCCAGCGTGGGAAGGCGGCAAAAGCTCGAATGAAATCTGGGCAGATGTACATGCCGAGAGAGCTCATCTTGCGCTAGCGAAGGCAATGCCGCACGAGGCCATCAAGCATTTTGAGGAAGCACTCATGTGTTCTTTGGATCATCCCGAGGCCACAGTAGGTTTAAGCAACATTCTCCTAGACATCTACGAACAGAAAATACCGGGTGAGGCGCCTCGGCCTGGTTTAAATCTCGATGTTTCAGAGAAGCAGCAGCAGAGTCATGCAAAAGCCGCCACAACACAAAATGGTCCTCTGAATGAGAAGACACAGGGAGCTCATCGAGCAGGTGATGAACTTCGGAAAACACCTGCAAACCTCAATCGGCTTGCTGCGAGGGATCGAGCGTACGGATTGCTGTGCAACCTGACAAAATTGGGTTCATCATGGGATGATTCGGAGGCTTGGTACACCCTTGCTCGTGCACATGAGTGCAGTGGGCAGATTGAGAAAGCCAAGGAGGTTCTTTGGTGGTGTGTCGAATTGGAAGACAAACGGCCGGTTAGACACTGGAGAAATATAGGGCCTGGATTATACGTATTATAGTTAGTAATCAATACTCTTCATCTGCGGACATATCACCTTTGGTACCCAGGACGAAAGCCCATGGTTCGATAAGTATTGTGTGGCCTGCTAAAAGCTGTACGGACGAATACTGTAGCTACGTGGAGGTGAGCCCAAAAGACCGACAATGACCCCCAAGTGTGACCGAAACGCTTAGATAAGTGCATTGTGGGATGTGAACGGCCCATCACATTATATCTAGTATGTAAGAGGAAAGTAAATCCATTCCCTGAAGGGAACAACATGTGGCAATTGTCTGAACTATGGGGGTGAAGAAACACACTTCCCAGGCACTTCCCAGGCCCGGAGGCCTGTGGTTCACCAGTGAAGCATGGCTGATATCTCCGTTCCCACCGAATTCTCAAGCCACCAATCCCACTCACCGCCTTTCTACAATGAGTCGAATGGCCACACTATCAGCTCAATGCATCAATTGGATGTGTGTAGCTGCTAGAAATCTAAATACAAAGTTCGGATGAAATAGCTCGCGCAGGCGCCAAGACCCCACAACACCTAGATGACGGCAGAGCGGCAACACCCGTGTCAGTGTCAGGTAAATTAAGTTACTAACTTAGTGTGGATACTGGGCCGATGTTTCCTTGGCATTTCTGGGACCTCACAACTGGACATATCAACCTTCGCCTCCCCCGGACGGTTGCGCCCTACAAGCAGGATGTCCACAATCCTCCGCACCCTGCGCAACCTGCGGCGGATAGGTTTCAAGGAATTTGGCCACCAGATGCAATACATAGGTCTGTCCCCCAACTGTCCAGTGCAAAGGCCCCTCCTTCTCCTCGGGCCCATCATCAGCATTCAATCACCACCGCACCCCCTCTCTTAACCAGATCGCACTAACTCAGCCCTCCACCAGGCGACACCAAAGCCGGCACCCTCATCGGCACCGACCGCTACGGGAACCGGTACTTCGAGAACATGGAGGAGGAACTGCCCCTCCGCACGCGCTGGATCGACTACAAGGACAAAGAGTACGACGCCTCCCACATCGAACCGGGCTGGCACGCCTGGATCAGCTATCTGGTAGACCAGCCGCCGGGGAAGGATGAGATCTTGCAGACGGGCATTCGGGAGTGGGAGCCCAAGGAACATCGGATGACTGCGACCATGACGAGGGCGGCGTATCGGCCGTATTCTACGTGAGTGGATTCCTATTTGACATGTTGTGGGAGGGATGTGGAAGATCTTGCTAGGGGCGTTTCTTATTGATCGCGAAATGGAGCTGGTAAAGGACTACCTGCTGATAATATCTGGGTTATAGGGTTAAGCCGAAGCTTAGCGCTTGGCACCCGGTTGCGAGGACGAGATGATTGGGTTGCTGGTGGTGTGAAGGGGACGAAATGAATTAGTGCTACGACACTTGGAGAAGATTGTACAGATCTTTGATACATTCGGAGCTCTATTTGACCTTCAATGCTGAAAGTGCCTTTATGGGTATCATGAAAACAGCGCGCACGCCTGCTGAAACGCCGGAGACTCAGCATAAACCACCTTCACTTTCTCAGCTCATGCCTTTTGAGCCCGGACTCTTGCCGGACCCAGACCCTCACGCACCTCGTCCAACATCTTCATCCCCAACATCTCATTGCCATTCTTCCCTCTCTTGCCCTTGGCCCCCTTACCTTTACTTCCTCCAGGATGACCTTTGTCCCAGCCATCCAGAAAGCCGTCCATCATATTGTCCAGATCGCTTCTCACAGGTCCATCCGCAAAGCTCTTCGTTGAAACCGTCGATATCCTTGACTGCTTTGAGATGCCAGATGCAAGCGATATGCCGCCATCTTCATCATCGTCGAACTCGCCAGCCTCATCCAAGGCATACATCGCCTCGATCCTGTCGAACCGGTCGTCTAGCAGTCGTTGTCCGTCTGTTCGTGCAAGGGACGACGAGGTCATCGAACACGCAGACGGGTTTGTGAGAGCGCCTTTTCGACGTTTCTGTCGCAGTGGTGTGCCGCCGAGTGTGTATAATGTGGATGGAGGAGCTTGGATATCGGAATGGGGTGCAACCGAAAGGTCAGCTTTCATTGGACTTGGCTGACTGGCCTTGTCTCGTTTCAATTTAGCAAAATCACGCAACCAGTCACCATCTTCAGCGGATGCAGCCTCCGCTTCTGTACTGGAAATGTCTTCTGAATCAGCAGGAGCTGCGTCCAGCTTAGCAGCTGGTGAATCAATGTGCGATGGCTGATCTGCCGCCCTCTCTGTCACGTCTGACTCCCACCCATCATCACCCTCATCAATAATTGCTTCAAACTCGTCCAGGTCTATCTCGGCTTCCTGGCCATCCTGCGTTAGGGCCCCAAAGACATCTTCCTCGTCCTGCTCGTCGACGTAGGCATCATCATCCAGTGCTTCCAGAACCTCGCGCAACCTCGGATCCATGTCGGGCTGAAATCCCGCGATCTCGTCCGGAACATCCTGCATGTCCTGGTACGTGCGCGGCCGCGTCCTGGACGAAAAGCTCGACAAGTTCTCATCCATCAGACTCTGTGAGGCCGTGTTGCTTGCGGTATCCGCGTCGTCGAGTGAGGCATCCCGTAGCGCATCTTCCAATTTGACCATCTTGCCCTTGCCCTTGCCCTGTACCTTGACCGGTGTAGCATCCACAAAATGCGCCTCGGCAGTTCCATCGTCTACATCTCGCAGATGCTGCATATAATCATAGCTCGTGTCATCGTAGTAGATACCATAGTTGGCTGCTTCTCCCTCGTTCTCCCGCACGCTCTCGAAGTCCAGTTCATTTTCCAGGTCGGCGATATGCAGACCTTTTGTTGCTCGGGCGGAGGAGTGCGCGGATGATCCCGATACTGGGTGGAGTGTCCGCTCTTGAGCATTTTCGTCATTTATGAGGGGGTCGTCTTGGGGGCGGTAGAGCAGCTGGAAAGTAGCTGCATGGTTCTTGTCGCTGTTTGGGCATTAGCAGGCTTTTCCATGGATGAGAAGTACTGAAATTACATCCAGCGTTTACGAGGCATTGCTCTAGTGATGAGAAATATCGAGGATCTAGAATCGAGTTGTTCTCGTCGATACTTCGTGTTTGTTCAATTTGAAGTGGTGGATTGTCAAAAAGTTTTCAAAAAGTTTCCACCCCGCGGATTCATGTTGCCGCACATCTGTTTGGAGAAGCGGGACGTCATTTCTAATCAAAGTGACTTACGGAGTACATCAAACACAATTAATCTATTCGCTTTTCATCCTTTCTCTCTGCACTTCCTTGATTAATAGAGCCCCCCAGACTCGTATCGATCGCTCATCATGGTTCTTCCTAAGTCTAAAAACGCTGTAGGGTTGGGAAATAGTCTTATGAACGATCGCTTCGGCAAGGGCAAAGGTTCAGATCGCAAGAAAGTCTCGGCGAATGCAGGGGCGATTCCACGAAGAGGACCGAATGGGGAGACGTACATTACAAACGCCTCGAAAGAGGCTTCATGGGTCAAGATGCGTAGTGTCACAGAGCAAGCAGCGCTGGACGAATTCCTCTCAACCGCGGAGCTAGCAGGCACAGACTTCACGGCGGACAAGATGAACAATGTCAAGATCATACATGCCGATCAGAGGAATCCATACTTACTGAGTGCGGCAGACGAGAGGACTGCTATGAGGAAACATCAGAGGAACAAGGGGCGGCTGACTGTTCCGAGACGGCCGAAATGGGATGAGAATACCACGCCACAGCAGCTGGATGTTCAGGAACGGGAGAGTCTGCTGGAGTGGCGGAGGGGGCTCGCTGAACTGCAGGAGAATGACGACTTGTTGATGACGCCTTTCGAGCGCAATATCGAGGTGTGGAGACAACTTTGGAGGGTGATTGAGCGATCAGATCTTGTGGTACAGATCGTGGATGCCAGAAATCCCTTACTGTTCAGGAGTGATGATCTTGAACGATACGTGAAGGAGGTCGACCCCAAAAAGAGAAATCTGCTGCTAGTCAACAAGGCAGATATGATGACAGCGAAACAGAGACAGGTTTGGGCGGGCTACTTCACCAAGAAGGGCATCAACTACAAGTTTTTCTCGGCTCAGCTAGCCAAAGAGCAGAACAACGCTCGAGCGGATGTGAATGACACCAGTACCGATCTCAGCGAGGATGATTCGGAGGGTGCTGCAGTGGATGAGTCGCTGGAGGAAGAGACGAAAGGAATCAACATCCAAGACGAGACAGGAGACGACGCCGACTGGTCCAGCGAAGAAGAACTCAACAGCAGTGCTTCTTCCTCGTCTTCCTTATCTAGCGAGCAAACGCGGATCCTGACAGTTGACGAACTTGAGTCACTTTTCCTCCAAAACGCCCCAACCCACCTATCCAAAACCTCTACAGCCAAAACCACCATCGGCCTGGTCGGCTACCCCAACGTTGGCAAGTCATCAACCATCAATGCCCTCATTGGCGCCAAAAAAGTCTCCGTCTCCTCCACCCCAGGAAAAACCAAGCACTTCCAAACAATCCACCTCTCTGACCGAGTAATCCTCTGCGACTGCCCCGGCCTGGTCTTCCCTAACTTCGCAACCACAAAAGCCGAACTAGTCTGCAACGGCATCCTCCCCATAGACCAGCTGCGCGAGTTCACCGGCCCTGTCGGGCTCGTCGTGCAAAGAATCCCCCAATCCTTCCTCGAAGCCATCTACGGAATCAAGATCCACGTACGGCCCTCAGAAGAAGGCGGAACAGGCACTCCAACCGCGTCAGAACTGCTGAGAGCGTACGCACGAGCACGAGGCTTCGCCACAACCGGCCAAGGCCAACCCGACGAGTCACGAGCAGCAAGATATATCCTCAAGGACTACGTGAGCGGGAAGCTTCTCTTCTGCCATCCGCCACCGCACGACCCGGAGATCGATGGCGCGGATTTCAACCGCGACCTCTACGACTTCTCGCATCTACCCTCTCGGCGGCAGGCTTGGTTGCGCGAACACCACGCCGCCGACGATGCCGACGATGCCGACTATGACGACGCTACAAGCATGCTGCCCACCCACACCGACGCCCCATCACAACCAGCCGATCCCTCCACAGCCTCGACCGCACAACCGGAACGAGGCGCCCGCTCTAAGAACCTCGACACCCGCTTCTTCGGCCCCGGCTCCGGCTCCAGCAGCCCCGCCCACCTGAAGATGCCATTCAACCACCAGTACACGGAGCAAGGCCGGAAGCAGCTGAGTGGACGGAAGGAGAGGGCCATGGTGGCATTGGAGCGCAATGTCGATCCCAGCGAGGTGAGGGGGAATGGGAAGAAGCATTTTAAGGGGGATAGGAGGAAGAGGGGGACTAGGGGCCGTGTTGACGTAGGGGAAGAGGATTGAGTCCTACCCAAAGGGCGGACTTTGCGGAGGAGGCGGGTGAAATGGGGTGTAGGCGTGATGGCGTTGGGCAGCAGAGCAAGATTTGGCCCGGGTCTTACAGGAAGGGGATGTGCTAAGGGCTTAAAGATAGCGCAAGCGCATAGCACGGTCCTAATTATGAAAAGCGGTCGCAAGCAGCACTCTAAGCTGCGTCTGCTGTGTTATATGTATCTGCTCCTGACGCTATCTGCTTGCTACGTCTACCTCTTCTTACCTATCAGATCACTGGCTCTGTTTTTGGTAGTATGCATTTAATCTTCGTGTTTGAAAGAAGACTCGATCGCTCCATTTGCAGCGTGAGCTAGTATGTCTGCCGCATGAGTCCACTGGTCAAGCCATCATCCATCCAACCTGTGTCGGCACGGCATGTACAATGATATGAAGATAACATCGGTCCCCAAATTCAGAGCCCCTGAGCGTCGCGCTATGCATAACAGCAAGACGCCCGCAAGTAGTCGAAACAAACATGGTTTGTCGTGATGATTTGTGCAAGCAATGAAGGATATGCAGCCGTTCAGCGCGTCGTGCAGTGGCGGTGCCGGACTTAGATGTTGCTGAGGCTCCAGCGCAGTCAGCGCGTCGTTTGGGGGATTCGCCCATGACAGCTCACGATGTGATGGATTCGTGTTGGGTGTCTTCATGGCCTTCGCTTTGTGCGGGCGTGTCCTTTTCATCAACATGGTGCACAATTGGTGGGCTGCTGCTGGAGCGCTGCGAGTTCGTCAGGCTTGCGGATCAGCAATCGGATCCGATGTGTTCATCCTCTCTTTCGCCAATCTCGGAGCGAGCATCGTAGGACGAAGGCGTTGGTGGGGAGTAGGCAAGAGCTGGTGTTTCCGCGCCGTCTTGGAAGTCTTCCGACAGATTTCGTTGATGTGCTTGCAGCGTGCTGTAGGCCGCCTTGGCCTGTGCCTTGTAGGAGGGGCTGGGCTGAGTAGATTCTGAGCTCAAATTCGGAGTGTCGAGGAAGGCACCTCTCTTCCGGAAGGTGGCAGAGCGTGTTAGCATGTTCTGCAGCAATGGATGCTCCAGGTAGCTGTTCATCGCGCCTCGGGGGAAGAGGACGAGACCTATGCAGAGCAACACTAAAATACACTGAAGCACTGCCATACGTTTTTGGAAGACAAGCTCATCGGCCAGAATACTAAGTCGGGTGTTGAGAGCAATAACTTCACGTTGACTCTGCTCGCGCTGCGTTTCTAATTCTATCACAGTAGATTGCCACAATTGATCATACTGCTGCTTGAAGTCTCGAAGCTCGTTGAAGACAGTCCCATTGAGATAGTCCAAGAATTTTGTGGTCTTCGCAAGCTGCCGTTGTTCGACTTTGTTAAAGGCCTCTCGTAGAATCCGCGATTGTTCTTCGATATATTGAAGTGATAGTGTTGAATTACTTTCGAGCATCTGTAAACGCTTCTGTACTGATTTGAAGAACGATTCCTGAATGGTGGGATTGGAAGGCGGTGGTTGAGTGGAGCTAGCTAACGGTTTGCTGCTGTTTGTGCCTTGCGAACTTGTGGCTTTGGTGAGCGCAGAGGTAGTGCTGGGCTGGACGGACGATTTACCAGCCGAAAACTTCGCTGGAGGATCTTGCCCGCTCGCTATTGGAGGGTGCTGGGAGGTGGTTGCTTGGGAAGCACCACACGCTGATGCCTGCTGCTGCCACTTTGTGCCGTCAGTAATTGTTGGCGTTTTTTGCGTGGTAAGCGTCTGCTTGAGAACTTCTACAGGCGCAGAACGGTGGACGATAGGATTAGCAGTGTAATGATCCGCCTGGCTCTTATCTGCGAGACACCGCTGCTGAAAAAGCTCAAGGAGACCAACTTTCCTAGTTTGAGGAGATTGCAAGGGCTCATACACGGAAGCGTTGGATGTATGCATATCATGATGCGGAGAAGAACTCGTCCTGTCAAGTGAATGTTTTACATCCTCAAAATTGGATTCGTTGGCACTGAGGTTGGTTTCCTCTTGTGTGGCCAATTTAGAGCTCACATGCTCAACCAAAATCTCAGCTACGGCTTCGGGGAATGCTGTCTCCGTCGTCCCATAGGCTTCTGTGACCTGATCGTCTTCGTCGTCTCGGTCTTCAGCCTTATTGGTGTCCTCGTCGTGTCTGTAGTCTTCCAACATGGTAGTGCCATGCACTCTCACCAGGCTGACTGGGCAATAGAACTCATTTCCGTAGTGTGTCAGAAACTCGATTCTTACGAACTTTGTCCATATCAAGGGATTCTCCACCAAGAAAGCCTGTACTTCGCGGGTGTTGCGCGCTTCGAACGTCCCAAGCACCTTCCATTTCTCAAGCTTCACGGGGTATCGGTCGGTGACACTGACTCTGAATGTACGGAATATCGAGCTGAAGAATTCAAAATTGGCCAGCACGATAGTATCTATCAAGATGTCTTCACACAACTCTAGAATGAGGAACTTGTTCTCCACGGAACACTCGTTCAACATATAGCTGTCTTTGTTCTCCACGAGTACAGCTGAAGAACCAGAGGCTTTGGCATTGGTCTTCAAGATAGTGGCAGCACAGTCAAACGAGGCGTAGTTGAAACGTTCTTTAAATGTCATGCCAGCATCTTTGCTCCTTGACTGCGTCTTCGGCATTTCTTTTCCTGGTATTGCTCCCCTAGCTTCCGAGTTTGTCATATCATTGGGCTTTGAGAGAACTATTTGTGGCTTCTCGGGAGCAAAGGCGCTGAAATCCAGGTCGATTTCAGCTTCGTCCCCTAATGTGTCAAGTACGTTGACAGGCTGCCGGCGGGCATGGAGGTTGTCATGTTTCTTCGGCTTCCCGATCTGATCCGCCGACTGCCCATATTTATCGAGATTTCGTCTTTTCCATTCTTCAAAGGAGAGAAAGTTGTCCTTGCCCAGTGGTGATTCTGCATCAGCCTCCTCTTCTAAACCGGGTGCTGAGGCGGTAGGCTTCTTGATCGCTGTAGTGCTCTTATCTAGATGTCTTTCGTCCACCGTCTGCACCGAACTAGGAAGTGTACTGGCCGAAATGGCGGCTGTGCTCAAGACGAGGGAAATTTGACTAATGCTATTTGAGGATCTACTTGCTGCTGGCGTAGTTGTGCTCGAGCGAGCTGGACGACTTGTCGTCAAACATTGCTGTGCGAGCGAGTGCGTGATGTAGTTGACCGTTCGATAAGGACACACTGTCGGACTGCTCGAGGCAGCTGATGCAGACGGAACAGATGTCTCCGCTGCATTGCTGTACAGAACACCAGCTATCCACAGAAGCAGGAACAGCAGTAAATGCTGAGGCTTGCTAGCCAGGCAATGATGCTGCATATGGAGCAGAGCAGATTTCTGCAACCATCATGCAGCAGCGTCGCAGAGGGGTGTGCAATCGAAAGTACTCTGTATGTAATCGATTCTCTCGGACGAACTTCTGTAAATTGTTCTCTCTCACTAGGTTGTCAGGGATTCTGGACGCGTGAACCTTCCCATCCGATTTAGCGCGCTTGGTTTGATAATAGTTGAGGCAGCTGGCTTGTGCTGATGGTGACGACGGAGCACTTGCGATGCAAATTCACTCTCGACATGGTCCGATAACATAATTACGGCAGAAATCCTGCCGTTCATCCATGATGATTGCCAGGAGCGGAGGAATTCAGCTGCTCCGGCATGGTACCCGAAGGCCTATCCGGTCGAGGTCTTGCGTTCGCACATTCAGCAGTCCATCCGCAACATCTGTCAATACCGCAGCAAGCCCAGCGCATCCACTCGCCAGCGTCACCACTCAGCTTGACCGGGTCTCTCCCCGGTTTGAGATCGATCCGTCCGCTGTCACCATCCTCAACTCGCCCGCAGCATTCTACAAGACACTAAAAGTGCTTCAATTTGGTATTTGTCAAAGAGCTTTTCTAACACAATATTAGGACAAAATCCACGGTGCTCGTCGACGCATATATTTGTCGACCCTCTATATAGGCAAGACCGAGCACGAATTGATCACGACTCTTGATGAGGCGCTCCGTGATAATCCTGATCTCCAGGTGTCAATATTGACAGACGCTCTGCGGGGAACACGAGAATCACCAGACCCTTCATGTGCCTCGCTTCTGGCAAATTTGGTTATCAGCCATGGGGAACGGATCAAGATCTCCATGTTTCATACACCCAATCTGGTCGGATGGCGGAAGAAGTATATTCCTCGCCGCATCAATGAAGGATGGGGTCTCCAGCACATGAAGCTGTATGGGTTTGATGACGAGATCATGCTTTCTGGGTGTGAGAATTCTACTACACTCTGTCATTAGGCACATGGGCTAATGGAGTCATTATTCTAGGGCCAACCTTTCTAGCGACTACTTCACCAACCGCCTGGACCGATATCACGTCTTTTCCTCAAAAGAGCTTACAGATTATTATTACAAGGTACATGATGCAGTGTGTGGACTGAGCTATCGATTGCGGCCTTCCAAAGAAGCACCGGATGGCTTCACGCTCGAGTCGCCCCTGCATAGAGGCCTTCCCGACCCCGTCTGGCATCCCAAGCGGTTCAAAGCGTATGCAAAGACTGTCCTCGAACCCCTGATTCACAAGCCTGCACGACAAAGTATGTTCCCTGTGAGCTTCTCCAGGGAGAAAACCTTCGTGTACCCAGTCGCACAGTTCGACATTCTCCTAGGAGAAGCAAACAACCAATCCTTCGGCGACTATGAATTCGCCTCGTACACCTCTACCGAAAAACCGACTCTGATCAAACTCCTCAGAAGCCTGGCGGAGAACCCAGAGCTCCGCAACTGTAACTGGACCTTCACAGCCGGGTACTTCAACATCGACCCTGAAATCTCCCAGCTGCTCATTGAATCTGCCCCTGAAAGTGCCAAGACATTAGTGCGTGTACCCGAACAATCGACCCATTCTCAACCCCCTTGCACAGTCATCACAGCCTCACCATGGGCAAACGGCTTCTTCGGCTCCGCCGGTATATCCGGCATGCTTCCGGCCGCATACACCTTACTCTCACGTCGCTTCCTGCGTGATGTCGCGGCTGCTGGCCGTGAATCCAGCATCCATTTGAAAGAGTGGCGGAGAGGCACAGTTGGCGAGCCAGGCGGATGGACGTACCACGCTAAGGGGCTGTGGGTAACCCTTCCACCTACCCAAGTAGCCTCTTCCGTCTCAGACTCTGAAAACGAAGACAACCGATTTTCAGCCGTGGAAGGCCCAAGCATCACTCTAATTGGAAGCAGCAACTACACCAAGCGAAGCTACAGTCTCGATCTAGAGATTGGCGCGCTGGTCGTGACGGGCGATAAAAAGCTGCAGCGGAAATATAAAGAGGAGACCGAATGGTTACAGCAAGACGCGGTCGTGGTGACGAAAGATGATCTGATGAAGGTGGAGAGGAGGGTAGGGTTGAATGTTAGGATTGCCATGTGGTTGGTGGAGAGATTGGGTGGAGCACTTTGAGATGGAGCTGGTTGCATTTTCAGACGCGAAGGTGTTGACCTGCTGTAGAATAAGAGCTTAGACCAGCTAGAATGATATACATCACAGGATGGAATGATGTTGGGTCAATCGAGGTGGGCAAGAATGATGCCTAACATTGGTCGCCACCAGACCTGGGATTCGACGCATTACCGTCGCACATGAAATCAGAATCTGTTTGGCTTGATACTACTTACTCAACCAGCGCTTCGACTTTGCCTCATGACTCATACATCAACGGCGGTCTCAAACCTTGCATTTATAATTACTGTCAGACGGCATGAGCTATACCGTACAGCCAAGTGGTACGTATACCTACTACGCTGCCCCTGAGTTAGATAGAACAACTTGCTCTCTATGGACCTCCCGCAGATTGTTACACAAATTTACATAATGACCCGAGGGAGCTCGGACGAAACGCGGACCAGCAGCATAGCCTACTAGTATTACCCAGCAGGGCATGCACCGCGCGCTCCTAAAGCGGCAGGTGTCTAGTCGACCAAATGACTCAGAAGTTGCCTGACTACATCGCGACAAAGCGGAACTCGGGAAGCTGCGCGATTTGGCTCCAGGCAGTGCTCAGCAGCGGTTGGGATTTGCGACATTACTAGAGTAATTTGGAATATCCTACGATTACCGGCCTAATTGCTGGTTGCCTGCTCACTTACATTGAATGACGTACAGGCCGGATGGGAGATTTTGCCATGCGATGCGCAGCGAAAATAATCTGGAGGGATATATTGGCTAGATGTTGGGAACTGATACAATTATTTAGTCATACAGCTTACCAATCGTGCATTCATACCGCTCATCTACCCATAATTTCTTGCATATATTATTCATGCACGACAGTTGGCTCGCCTGCCGGTTCATTTGCAGTACCAATTGATCCACAAACGAACACTCCTTACCACTGAAGATTGGTCACTCAAGTCCCCAACTCCCTGTTTAGTCTTTCTTCACATCTTTTCCTTCTTTCTCCTTCTCCTTCTCCTTCTCCTTCTCCTTCTCGTCTTTATCCTTCTCCTTTTTAGTTGAGGATGCCGAGGGATAAGCATTGGAGGTAGAAGATTTTGTGGTAGTGACGAGAGTACCTGTGAGATACCTGGAGGTTGTACCTGGGCAGTTGGTGGTAAGGGTGCTGGTGGTCGTGCCGTGAAATGTCGAGGAGTAGCTGGTGGCCATTAGACTAGAATCTTGTATGAGGACGAGCTCGGAATTACGCTGTACTGGTGGAAATTACCGTTGAGCAGGTGATGGTCTGGGTGATAGTGCCTGTGATCGTGGTAACCGTGACATGAACAGGACTAGAAACGAGGTCAGTCAGAGAAGGTTTATAGCTTACGCTGGGAGACACAGTAGATGCAGACACCAACGTGACTGTGACCGTGGATGCATCAGCCGTGGTGGTGGTCCGAATAGTTTCAAAAGCAGAGACACTAGTTTGGTAGTCGTCGTCTGAGTGCTAGTCTGACCAGTCGTGGTTAATGATTTCGTTGCCGTAACAACCTGTGTCATGGTAGTGGTTGTGGTCTCCGTAATTGCCGGTGCGTAAGTTTTGGATGTCATTACGGTGGTTACCCAAGTTTGATCAGTGACAGGATAAAATGTTGTGGTAGCGAGAGCATCATTAGCAGTAGAGGAACCAATGAAACACGAGCAAGCGCTCGAGATCTCCACATCCGAAAATTGGGTAAGGTACGAAGGGATACCAACCGCAGTGTTAGTGTAATCGGTGCGCTTTCGGTATTTGATGCATGTCGTTGCTGTGCTGGTTACCAGAGAGGTGGCACATTTAGTCGTGGTTGCTACTTTAGTGACTACTGCGGAGCTCGTCTTGGTAGCAACAACAGACTCCGTTGATGTTCTTCAAAGGCACATCAGTATGTCCATCAATCTAGGCTAGATGTTTGATACATACAGAGTAGGTGTGACGGTCGTCTTTACCACTAAGGTAAGTGTGAAGCCAGCCGTGGGGCTCACAGTGTTAGTTTCAATAGCCGTGAACGTACTTGTCGACGTCTCAGTCATCGTGATTGTGCTTGTTGGAGTGAAGGTAGTGACAACTTCTTCTGTTGTAGTGGTCTGGACGTCCTCATAGCGTGTGTACGTTGAGGTAGACGTGTAAGTTGTCAGAAAAGTAGCGTCAACAGTTTTGGTTGCTAATCACACGCATTAGCAGACGCATTCAGCAGCACTTCTCGCAAACGAACTAGTCATGACAGTGGAATCCAGTGTAACAGTAACATATGTCAATGTAAGGTCGAGGACGGCGGTGTGATATAAGTGCTACAGAAGGCTGACGGAGCTGGCGTGTTCCCATCTCGCTCCGCATGTACCAATGCATTGGCCGGATTGTCTCTGAGGAGATGTCAGTTGTACTTGTGCGATGAATAACAGGCAGCTTTACGCTGAGCATCCTTGTACACCATAGGTCGCCAATACAGGAGTCAGTAGGACTGCAAGAGAGAAGAACAGAGAACGATTTAAAGGCATTGTGCTTGTGAACGAGTGAGGGACAAAGACACGACGAATGAATAAATGTATCAAGAGTTGATCTACTCGATAATCATCGACATTAAGGACGACGTGAGCCGTCCACATATAAACACATCTTGAATGGAAAATACTTCAGCTGAATTAGGGGGTTCGGAGTCGATTTGACAAAATTGGACAACGGAACGCCATGTCCTCGATCTGGATCTTGAAGAGATCCAGAACAGGTGTCGTGATACAACATCCCCATAAAGATCATGCACGACCAAGCCACAGATCATTAGTTAGGAACCGTCAGAACCTGACTGCAGTTCTCTCTGGGAATATGCGTCGTAACGGGAAGCTCAACTACAGAGCAGGGTGATGACCCTAGCTCAAGACAGAGCGTACTGCCGCCCTCAAGTTATGGCGAGAATGGAAGACAACTTGGAAAGAGAAAGCCAGTTGCTGGTTGCAGCAGCCAATATGACCTCGTGAGCAAGAGTCGTTTTCAGTACTCCGTAAAAAAGATACTACTAGCAGTGTTAGTAGCTACCGCTAGCTGGTCGGACCATGTTTATTGAAGCTTAATTGGCCAAGGCTGTGACCTTTCCATGATCAGATTAGTACATCCTCAGCTATGAAGCTCTCCCACTGGCAATTCCGGAGTCGGAAATCGATTCTGTCATGTCGTGCGAGCATAAACGACAGGAGCACTATACTATCGAATGTACCTGGCGTGGCAGAGGAATCCTAAGATATGTTGCTCTTCTCGATGGCTTCTACTAACTGTTACGCGCTACTGCTTCCGATGGCGTTCGCTGTCCTCTGCTAAGGGGCATGATCAATTCCCTCGCCTGGCTCAAAGCCAACTCCGCACACTGATACACGCACCGAATCCGTCCTTTACCCAAGACAAAGAGAAGCGCTATCGCGACACTAACAGCTCTCCCTCGGATACTATCTATGCCCTTTCAACTGCACCGGGTCGAGCCGCAATTGCGGTGATCCGGATATCTGGGCCAGGATGTCTCCAAGTAAGGCTAAGGACACAACGGCTAGCGGAAGTTCTCTGACCGACCGTTCAGGTGTATCGTAGAGTTTGTCCAGACCGACCGCTACCTCGTGCTCGTACCGCAACTGTTCGAAGATTATATGATCCTGCAGCACTCGAATCAACCCATTCGGTGATCGATCCTGCAGCACTAGTTCTCTACTTTCCTAGCCCATACACTGTCACTGGCGAAGATGTGCTGGAGCTGCATACACACGGAGGCCCGGCCATCGTGAAGGCTGTCCTAAACGCCATATCATCGAATGCTGGCGCAAGCAGTAAAGATTCTGTCGTTCATACTGTCCGGTATGCAGACGTGGGGGAATTCACTAAAAGGGCGTTCTACAACAATCGCCTTAACCTTCCGCAGATTGAAGCACTTGGCGATGCACTTTCGGCTGAGACAGAACTGCAGCGTCGACTGGCAGTCAATGGGACTGGAAATGAGCTAGGCGAAAGGTATGAAAGGTGGCGCAATCTACTCCTTTACGCTCGAGGAGAGCTGGAGGCACTGATAGACTTTTCTGAAGACCAGCATCTTGATGAGTCACCTGCTCAGCTCATACCGTCGGTTTCCAAGCAAATCACCGGATTGGAGAGACAGATAAGTTTACACATACAAAATGCTTCGAAAGGAGAGCTTCTGCGAAGCGGTATCAGCATTGCTTTGCTTGGAGCACCCAATGCGGGAAAGAGTTCTCTATTGAACAGGATTGTAGGCCGTGAGGCTGCGATCGTAAGTGCTCAAGCGGGAACAACAAGAGACATCGTTGATGTTAGCGTCGATATTGGAGGCTGGCTGTGCCGATTTGGCGACATGGCTGGACTAAGGAGAGCTAGCTGGCCATCAAGCTCGCACAATTCTGCGAACCCCATTGGAGCTATTGAAAAAGAAGGGATGAGACGAGCAAAAGCTCGAGCATTGACGTCAGACCTGGTTGTCGTTATGTTGTCGTTAGAGAAAACCATGGACAGCTGCATTGCCACTTTGCACATCGACGAAGAAGTATTTGAAGCGGCCCGCGAATGCGAAAGGCTGGGAAAGGCTATGATAGTGATCATCAACAAGATTGATAAGCTACAACCTGCCCTGACCCCAGAAACAGAACAAAAGCTCTGTGAGGAGGTCAGCACAATGTTCCCATCTGTTTCGAGGCATCTCACCTTCTTGATATCTTGTCTCGAATCGTCTATCCCGTCGAATGCAAGCAAGGATCCAGGTAATATTCAAGGCCTACTTGGAGGTCTTCAGTCCTATTTTGCCAGTCTCACGACTCCTTCTGGACCCAATGATCAGAATTTTGATAAGTCTTACTGGGAACAGTCTTTGTCTGTCTCTCACCGACAAAGGGAGTATTTGCGACAATGTCTTCAACATCTTGACGACTTCTTATCCCAGACATCCTCCCAGTATCGCTTTGATAATAACGAAGATCTGGGTTCTGGGCCTGATATCGTCGCCGCAGCAGAGCATCTTCGATACGCTGCAAATTGCCTGGCAAAGATCACTGGAAAAGGGGAAGCAGGTGACGTAGAAGATATCCTGGGTGTTGTGTTTGAAAGGTGAGTAATGATACACTTGCTGTCTATAATGCCGAATGAGGGTATTGACCCATGTACACAATAACTAATCTTACACAGATTTTGCGTTGGAAAATAAGCAGTCCAGTCCCAAACTCCGAAAATGCCGAATGCCGTTGGCTCGCGCCAATATCCATCTATGATGCTTGTAAAATCGCTCAGAGAACCAAGAATCGCTCAACCTTGATGTGCATAAACACCTATCCTGTCAAAAAGCGCCTTTCGATGCCCCACATCATCACGCAGCCAGCTGCAAGATGTCTGTTGCTTTCTCGCGGCCAATCCCTCAGCAAGATAAGGGCACTTGCCCCCAATCTCTGTGCTCGGTCCTAGCACCATGGCTTTCGTCGAGGAGGCCAGCCCCCAGATCTGGTTGATGTTGTCCATGGTAATAAATGTCTGACCCGTCAGACGGCTGAACCCGCTCAACTGTGCGCTTGAGTACGGTTCCGTCCTCCGAGAGACTAGTTGTATCCGCCGCGGCCCTGCAGAAGGATTGCACGCTGAGGGCCGTTATACCCGCCTCTACCCATGAGCACGGTACTTGATGTTTTGAAGTTGTTGGAGGTATTGTTGTATGACTGGACTGTGGTAGCTGGCATGAACTGTTCACAATTTGCGTCTGGCTTGAAGATGGGTATCGATGTTTGCTGATGCGATGGCTTGTGCTAATTGTATCCTCCGCGTCCCATTTGGTGGATGGTGTAGATGTTCTGGAGGTGTTGCTGATGCTAATTGATGTTCTGGAAATAGAATGAAAGCTGTGAGGAATTACAATTGTTATATTATTGATACAAGTAAGAGAGTTGTCTGGTGACCTCGAAGAAAGCTGGCGATATTGAAGACTTATATCTGCTAAGGCATCCATAGCTTAGAACAGGCAGCTACATCAATTTCGGCCCTGGATCCAAGCCTCGTTCTTCAGGGGTCCATAATTTCAGAGCAATGTTAGTCAGGTCTGTCATCACCGTGTAAGCAGGGGTTTTCCATACGACAGTCGATTACGATGGTTCCTCTTGGTGCCTTGACCGGCAGGCCAGTCATACCCTGCTGGTAGGATTTTCCTCAGGTTTGGATTGCAGCCTTACAGCCCTAAACGCCACAACCGTTGGCACCATACCCTTTGCGGTGCTAACAGTGAATTAATAACGAAGAGACAAGGCCCTTGTCTCGGAAATGGTGCATGCAGGCTAAGCTAGAAAGGAGGCGCAGGCTTCTGTTGCAGGTGCTACAACTAAGCTACAATAGGTTCAACGCCGCGAAGAGTGCCACAATTGGGTATCTCGTTTATGACTCCGTTGCTGCTTTTTCCAAAAACGTCCAATGAAATGTTCTTCGGACAGAATCCCACGTGCCAAAGTCCTCCAAGCCCCTGGTTTCGCATCTTTCCCTATCTTTCCCGCAGATACGAGCACGAAGCGTATTATGACGAGTGCTGGCAAGAATCTGCCGAAATGACACCCTCATGCATGATCTGGAACGACATGAGTGACTGTTCAGCCGTACAACACCTCCAGAAAAGGCCCATGTCGCGAAACTGCATGCATATCGAACCTCGTGGAAAATTGTAGGGATCCACATTGAAACAATCTAACTGTTCTCTGAAAGCCGTTGGTCGCACACGAAGGAGCGGGTCAAAAACGTGGCTGCTAGGGCTCCACATGCTACCTGCTACCTTAGTGTCCGCCGCACACCACTTCTCGAGGCTGTGCCATCAGTGTCTGCGACAAAACACCTGCCTACGACTCCGTCTAGTTAGTGCCTACGGTATCTTGGGCCAAAGTCACAACCGGCTTCATTAGACATACTACGTAACTGCGTGTCTACTGAAGGGGCTTCAAATGATAGAGCACTATGGCTGTTTTAGGATGAAACGACACTAAAGTTATCCTCTTCCGCAACCGCAACCAATGACCTTTGATGATTTGTCCTCTAGGAAATTGATCAACATGCCAGGTTGGTTCAAAGAGATCTGAATCGTGGTTCATCCCTGATGATGGCGCATGTGTTCTCTTGGCCCATCACAAGGCAGATAGAGTTCATGCAAACAAATTTAGGTGATTATATCCAACACAAGACACAATTCACTGCGTGCTCTGCTACCATGACGGATATTGCCAACGGTCCGTTCAACGGGCGATTGATTGTCTTCGACTATTCCTTCCTTCGGGCAATGCTAAATTTACACTGAATAACTAATTATTCCGTACTACTACGTAGTATCTGTACGGCACCTACCCGACACTTGCTTAGTGGGTACGGGTAGCTGGGCGCCAAAACAGGTGCTAATAGAGCTAACTTGCTCTAGCTACATACTAACTTAGTAGCTCTGCAAAACGGCGGCGGGGAAACGATTTTCCAGCCATTACGCTAGGATACTTTTGTGGCTCAGTCTTGAGGCGGTGTGGGGGCTCTTTCACCGTGAAGAATACTAATATCTTACAGTAAAGATGAGATGCCGCATGGGTAGTTAAGACCACAATAGACGCCGAGGCTGAAAGCTAGAGAAATAGATTTCCACACTCCGGCCTTTAGCGCATCATTCTTCCTTCCCAGCCAATGCCATGATCAAAGACTATGTATCTTGCGGTAAGCCAGCATATTCAGTGCAACTAGAGTCACATCGAACAGGAGCTGAAAGGAGCATCAAGATGAAGTTGCTTGCGAGAACTTCAGCCCAAATCTAACCAGATGATTCGTATAGAGTCTACGGAGATAACAATGCAGTGCAATCCCAAACGACCACAAAGTCAACCTCTATGGATGGTACGTGCGAGATCTGCACATGTACAATGCCTGTTCTTTTCCTACACGAGGCAGACTCTGTCTTCCGACGCCTGTTCTATGACTAGCTCAATTTTCAGCTTATTTACTCAGAAGAGACGAGCTCAGAATAACTATCAGGATGACCTCAATTGACTCAGATATTCCTGACCTGGCATTGATCTATATCCCTGGTTCGGAAATTAGATGTACCTGCTCTACCACTTCGCCTTCCAGATTTCAAGGGCATGGCTGGTCTTGAAATTACCGTTCCTGCGTTCAGTGTCTCTCAAATGTGGGTCCGCTTTCCGCCTTGATGTGATACAGATCGGATCCGGATTGCTGCATGGAAGACTGCGGTGCATGCTTTAGTACCAAACCCATGGTAGCGGCGCTGCAACCCTTGTGGCTACTCATAACGCGGTCTTTCCTGTGATAGGTAATCCGTGTTTTTCTGTTGCTTGATCCTTCCCAGAGTGCAATATCAACGCCTAAGAGCCGTCCGAAATGTCTATTTCCATTTACTGTTACACCGACCTGAGCATCTGTATGACCCCGCCCAGTTGTCTATGATATGCTGCGACCAAATTATTCCAAGATCAGGCAGACAAGCGTACGCAATTTTCTCGCATGCACTTCGGGCTGGTTCCCTGTCTCAAGGCAACAACCCCAAAATTGGAAGATTGGCATACGACAGGGAGGATAAGTAGCACAGACCACCAAGTTATCCCTTTTACTGTCCGGCTATTGGGCAGCGAATGCATCTCGATCGCAACATCCCACTTTTAGCGAACTTCTGTTGGTGGCAATACGAACCAATGTCTACTCGGTGTTTATGAAGGGTTTCCAATCATTTGTGGCAGATCTTTTCCTAGTGGCAATAGGAACATGTCTACTGGTGTTTATGAAGAATTTCCGATCATTTGTGGCAGATCTTTTCCTGGTGGCAATACGAACATGCCTACTCGGTATTTATGAAGAATTCTCAATCATTTTGTGGAAGATCTTTTCCTGGATCAGATCCCAACGCTGAAACCTCAAGAAACAGCATGCTCGCCTTCGCAAGACCAGGTAGACTTACGGCGTGGTCGTCCACTGCCTTACAAATAGCCTCAGCACCTTTTCACCAATAGGCCGAAAATGATCATCACTTCTCGTCAATGCAAAAAGACCATGCCCAACACCTGCAAAGGGATGCGGAGGTTATCACCTCAGACGGAAGACGTGGGTGACTCAATCCCTTTACTCAACCCGTTTCTGGAGCCAGAGGCGGCCCTTCGGCCCGAGAAGCCGTACGGTCCGGAGAATTCGTCAACTTGTTAAGCGGTATTAGTATTTCTGGGTCAGTTGACATGATTCCTAGGTCCGTCTTACCCATCACAACCATATCCTTTCCATCCAGTTGCACCCGTTGTCCCGAATAGCCTAATGTCTAACGGCAAATGAGTCACCTTAGCTGCAATGATCAAGTGCCTTCCTGTCTGTTCAGGTGAGTAAAGCAAAGCCTGGTGCGACATTCTGCAAGCCGACTTTCCGAGAATGCTGGAGCACGATCTAGTGGATTCTCAAGACCGTGCCGTCAGCTTCAATTCCACCACGAAACAATTCCTCGATAATTCTACCGCTCATAATGGTCTCCTGAACGATCCCCTCTACATGCCTTGGTTCAACCCTCCCGTACCATATTCCCTTGCCTGCCAACGGGTGTATCCCTTCTACTTTCCCATGCTCTAAGCCGTATCGTGGTGGCAAATACACGATAACATTGCCTGCAAATTTATGACCGCCAATATGACTGATCAGTCCGACATTAGCTGTTCTATCGGCACCTTTGCACCCTGCTCCTAAGACCGGAAGTTCTTGCGCTGCCGGAACAGTGAAGCCCAGCCTTTCAAGTGCATTCATGAAGTCTGCCTGAAGCAACGGTCCCATCACACCACATCTCTGATCTCTTCCACCATGTCCACAGATCAGAACTACTGGTGTCTCAATTTTATGCAGATCAAACGATCTGCGAAGATCTTGGTCTTCATCTCGAACCATCTTCTCCCTTATGGTCTCGGGAAGGACCGAGTGCATCTTGTGTAGATTCTGCCGCTCCGGCAGGAGGAATGCGCGTATGAATGAGCGCAGATACGGACGGTCCGTAGATAGACGTTCGAAATATGTGAACGACGGAAGTAGCATTGCTGATGCCCTTCTTCCTTCATTCGAGCTGCGTACAGCTCTCGCGGGCAAGAAAGACGAATTAGTAATCAATATGTTGTTATACGGCTATCCATTCTCCGAAGAGCAAATATTAGCATCACTGACATCACATCTCTTCAACCAGCACATCTTCCTCCCACCCCCAAACTCCTCTTGAATAAGGGTGTGTGGTAGAGAAAGGCATACCCCTAACTTACATCCACAAACTCCCCTGTTCCAGCTCTTGCAGACATCATGCCCTTCAACCCCCTTCCCAGCTCGCCCCATCCTGTATCAGACCCGTCATCCTCAATCCGACTCGTCCAATCGTGCTGCCCGGTACAGATCACCACGTGTTGCGCGTAGGGCGCCACAGTGTTGTGGATGGGAAGGTCGCGGTCTATGGCGAGATTTGGGGGGGTGGGGGCACATGGACAGGTTGGTAGGGGGCAGAGGGCCGTGGTTGCGATGTGGAGGCTATGGGAGAGGTGAGAGGGGGCGGTTGTGAAGGTTCGAGCGCGGACTGGAAGGTATAGCCAGGGCTGCGGAGGACAACGAACGTGTGGAAGGGGCATGGTTCTTTGCTTTCTCGGACTCTGGGGCGATTCTGTTCTTGCACGGCTATTTGCAGAGGTGTAGAGAGCAGGGTTGGGAACCTGACACGTGGTAGGTATGTAGGAACTTGGGGATGGCTTCTCGATGACTAATGTCAGGGGCGGCAATGCTTAACTGAACCACTTCCTGATGGATGGTCCTCTTGCCCCAAACAGTGCGTTGGTGCCTGACGTGAACGACCCAAGTTAACAGCCAAGAGACCTGTTCGAAACTCCAGAACTAGTAGCGTCAGGCTCCTAACTTCTAGTTAGGCGCGGGACGCGTAGCGCTTCAAGCGTTGTACTAGGGGCGGATGGTAAAGGACCGAAAGGACTTATCCGGCTACCCGGTGCTGTTTCACAGTGACTCCAGTATTTACTTGTACGTTACATTGGCTGATTCCTTCCATCAGGATCTGATGTTGGCAAAAGATTCTGCTGATGTTGAATCTCTTACCAAGCGATAGGATCAAGAACAAGAGCGAGCTGATATGGGTCGTAGCACACTTGTAGCAACTTTGCAACCCAACCGCAGCGATGTTGAGGTTGAATGGAGTCTCAAAGAGTGGTACTGTATCTATAAAAAGCCCAGTGATGGGATACAGTTTCTGCATTAGGTAAGTGGTCCCTATGGACAGCTAGATCTCTCCTACAGTGGATGTCAGGCACGCGTGATCATGTCGCGTGGAATGCGCTGTACTGCTAACCATTCGTCCTTGGCTCCTTTCCAGGCTTTCTCCTTAGAAATTCTCTCCTTCTCAATCTGAAGGGCCCCGAACAGATGAGCTGCGCTGATGAACACAATGTCATCGTGGGTCGTTGCGGTCCCCCGACGGAACAGACAGTCAATCGGTATAGACGCCGGCCCCCAAATTCTACCCCAAGCAAGACCTTCCCCACTGATCTCGAAGACTGTGATTGACCGCCCTCTTTTCCGACGCCATGCGACTTCACTATCTCGTTTTATCTTCGGTAGAACACATGGAGATGAAGCGAGTAATGAAGGGGTTGGGGTCCGTCTCCCAATTGATGTGTTTGACGACTGCGCCCGCATCGATAAAGTACCATGATGGCAATCCGGCGAAGGCTTCGTTGACGAAGCCTTTTTCACTGTTGAACTTGGTGAAGGTCTGTTCATCACAGACGCGGTAGAATCTCGCAGGCTTCACTGTGTTTAGCCTATCCATAGCGGCTTCAGGGCCTGTAAAGATTGGACATGATCGTCTTAATAGTTTGAAAAGCCATGGATGACTTGCTTCGAAGGTAGTGAATGGCGGACTAGTGTCATTGTCCGAATCGTCTTCTGCCTCGTCTTCTAGATCGTCTTCTGGATCGTCTTCTATCTCAGGGTCAAAATCACAGGTAGAACCACCGGCCCCAATATCCAACTTTCCCAAACCCTCAATTGCGCCATCAATCCCATCTTCATTGAATGAATCCGAAGAAGATATCGGAAGACAGGTGGTGTCCATGTTGGACAAGAATGGTTGACAAATGAATCGATTTGAGGATGGAAGGGTAGGAATCGCATGAGTACGTGCTCATTGTGAGCATCAGGCTCTGCTAACTACAGATAGGAGACATGTGACGTGTCCTTCGACTCATGGCAGCAGTAAAGCATACCATTCGTTGCTTTCTATGTAAGAAGAGGGATGACACAACAGGGGCTGATTGGATCGCCAAGAGTTCCTCTCATGGATGAGTCCCCAACACTCTCTCGCCCTACTTCTCTAAGAATCTTCCCTGTTTCTAAGGATCTAGGCAGCATTTTGTGCATACAGAAAAGGCAGCACTGGCAAAGCTTATTGACGTTTTAGGCAAAGAAAGAGAAGGCTGCATCAGGTGCGTCAAGGCTCTGGAACCTCCCGCAGATTGAGTAAAGAAATGCTGTGCCCTCATGGGAAGTGCGGAACCGATACCGATTTATGCACAAAGTCGGCCTCTCCACTGATCATCAATTTCAGACCTTGGATTGTTGTTCTGCCATGGACAATGGATGACCTGTATAAGGAGATGAATGACCTGCGCCCATGTCCTTTGTACAAGGAAGGAAGGCCTTGAGACAAATCTAGCAGAGCCGCTCGTCCCTTACTAGCTTTCAGGTTATTTGTAGCTATAGCCATGAAAGTGACAATATCATGGAAGAGTATAATAATCATGTTTTATCCTTCTGTCTGGGTAGACCACCATTAACTGGAGGCAAGCTCAGGAAAATGTAGTAAGCCCTGCCCTCCCAACCATCTCATCGTTAAGATTTTTTAGGAGATTTCTTCTGGGCTGTCACCGCACACCACAGTCGTTAATCCGTATATCGCTGTAATACCTCTGAAAGCCAACAAGAAAGATGGATCCATCAGGCCATGTGCAAATACATGTCCAGCCCAGTATTCTTATGACGAAGAGAAACAGCCTATCATAATGATACTACTCTGGAGATCAATAGTTCTGACACTGTTTGTCTTCGTGCAATGAATAACACAGGGAGTTGACATAAACAGCGACAAAATCCATCAAAGACCCGTGATAAGAAGACCAATATTAGAAAAAGGTGGTATCGCACTTCAACGACATGGATTCATGATGGTCATGTGACCACAGAATGAACGATTTAGACTTTGAAACTTGAAAATGGTGAAAGAAGCATTTTTTAGGCTTGTGCGCAGCATTTTGAATATAGGTAAGTGGTATGACAAGATATGTCTGCGGTTTGATGGCCCTAAATGCTCTATAGGTAGGGAATAATTCATGCCCAGTTCACAAAGAGGCTGATAAGAGAAAGGAGACATGAGGAGAGTGTCCAGAGATCCCATCATCCCAAAGCAGCGGATGTCAGGATACAGAGCCACCCAAGGAATGTTGTGATTAAAGTGTGAAACCAAAGAGCGGTCGCAGCATCAACTTCTTGAAGAATCTTATAACCATGAACTTGACCCATGTATTTCACCGAAGTTCAAGAGGGGTGAAAGGCAAACGTTTGGGGGAAAGATCTCGTGTCGGCTTCCATTGAAGTAAGGTGCTTATATCGTCCGAAAATGGCAAGACTTCCTTTTGTCATAGGATGCGAGGTAGCACTACAGGTGGATTTGCGTCTGACAGATTGCGCCATCTAGCACAGGCTGAAACTCTATCTTCATGAAAGATGCAAGGTTTGTAATACGAAAGCGCGAATACGGATGGTGAATCCTGGATCAATCAGAACGTAGTTTTATCAAAAGGATTAAGACAGCGTTAAAATGAGAGCCACGGCGCATATAGTTCAAGTATTGAAGACCTCACACCCATGCATAGCACTTTTGAACTTTGAAGCGTGGAGGAAGTAGATTAGGAATCCTGTAAACAGAACAAAGATCTTCGCTGCGGGATTTTGAAAATATTTCAACCTGAGCAGACTTCACCCATGCATGTTGAGCTTCTGGAGACCCTAAGAAGAACGGAATGATAGATGCGTACCTCTCTAGTTGAGGAATTCTGAATTCAAGCTCGTGGTGTTCCCGGAACAAGATCTCGAGATGAGGGATCTCAACGGGATCGAAGTTGCTTCAAATCCTCCTGTGATGTAGATTTTTGAAAGACTTTGTAAGTCTCAAAGTAGCAGATGTGAATTTGAAAAAGGAAAAATGGGAGCATGTGGACTCTGATTTCCAGAGCAAACATTTCTAAATGGAATGTAGGGGTAAGATACAGATGGTGTTGCACCAAAAGGACGGCGGATTTCGAAGGGACTGTAACTATCTTAATCTTGACACAAGGGATCAAATGATCAAAGAATGTGGATTCCTGGCGGCATCAGCCCAAGCTGAATGATCTTGCCCTCAGAACATAAACCAAACCATGGCCAGATCTAGATCTCTGGAGCAAGAATTCAGAGTGAGAGAATCCCGCTAAAAATAGGGGTCCAGCGACATGCTCAGCCAAGCGGCAGTCCTCTTGACCTCCATAAATAGCCAATGGCCAAGCTTGGTGTGCCTAAATTTGTCACATGCTCACACTACTTGGCGTTTACTAGATTAGCTTCCATTGCGTCCCATGTAACCTTTCTCCAGCCTCCTACACATTCAATCAACGAATCTGCTCATCCATGATATACTTTCAATGCGATTAATATAGGAATTGGATCTAGAACTGAACGTACACGAAAGCTGAGCATTAGAAGGACGTCATGAGCATCCACCTTTCTGTCGTAAAATTTGACATTTTTATCATTGGTTGATACAGTCGCCAGCGTTTACTCGAACAGCCACCATCAGATGAGAGCTATCAATCAGAACCTAATGTCATTTTGAGTAAACGCTAGGGGCTCTATCAACCAATAAAAGAATATGAGATTTTATGACCGAAAGGTAGATAGAACTATCAGGTTCATTATATTGAGTCGTGGAAATTTGAATCCTAGATTCAGGCGGAAAGACTGAACAGTGACTTGAGAGGGAATCAGAACTATAGAAGTCTGATATGCAATGTAAGCTCCAGAAGTACCCCCTAAGCACAGCGACTGACGTACACGAGTGAAGATTAACTTTTAAGAATACAATCCAGAAATGCCCGTCTATATCTGGCTTCTTCAGGACGGTTCAGCATTTGCCTTGTCTCATAAATAAGTAGGATAGCGACGTGAATAATAGGGGTGCGGAGATGGAATACAATTCAAGAGGCTAACTTGCCGAGTCATATATGAATTACCTGGAATACTTAACAGTTATAGTAACAGATCCATTTTCTCCTATTAAAGCTTATTCGCAGAAGTTGGTTAATCATCGCAGATATTCTCCTGTCCGATTTGAAGGGTATTTCTCTCAATCGTAGCCCCTTCCACCAGTGCTTCTCTAAAGAAACCTTCAGTCTAGAAGCCCATGTTTCTAAGCTACCCATATTACAATGAGACATTATCATACTTGTGTAAAGTTGCCTCCCGTATCAGTTGTCTGACTCTGCCCAAATGATTGGCGCGGCTTTCGGAAAGATATGCCTGATGCTTGTCCCACCTCTCGGATGGGTCTTTCTCTGTCGCTCTCACCAAACGCTACCCCACGGATAGGGGATACCTGCATTTCGTTCTCCAGTCTGGCCTTTTCGAACCGAGTCTGGTAATTTCTGTCCTCTACTTTCCACCAAATGCGCCAGACCAACAAAACGGTAGCGGTCATTGAAATCGTAATAGTCCAGTACACCCACATATATGGAGACATAACCGGACGGGTCCCTTCAGATGGCGAAAAGTCAACGATTGACATGCTAAAGAATGTCTGCGATTTTGGGCTTATTAGAATGACCGATCATGATGACTTGGTGGGCTTACCGCTACGAAAGTAGCCGGGAGGAACAGGATGGTCAAAAGCGCGACCGTCTTCATTGCGGAGCTGTCCTGCTTGCTTGCAACAGCTATCATTGCGCTATCTACCGCCACTGAGTGGTTGATTCTGTTTTCTTCTTGCGCTATTAAGCTGAACGTCTGGTTGTGAGATCATTACAAGTCAGTCAAAGCTGTTCAAACAGACCAAGAGTTGAGCTTACAAGATTTATGTGACTCTGCACCCTTTCCTTCAAACTTTGACTCTGCGATAGAAGACTGATACAAGAATTGGTATAGTATTCAACTCGATGCAGGAGCGGCTCCCCAGCTTTTTGAAATTCATGTTCACAGCTAGTCATGGGAATTCCATTCAGCTCTTGAAGTGTCTTTAGCAGAAACTCCCCGCAGACTTTGCTGAAGCGTGCAACATGTCCGATCGATGTCAACTCAGTCTGGTAAGAGTGAAGTCGCTTTGTGATATCTTCAAAGTCTAGGTATTGCTTATTGCGCGATTTGTTCGCGGAGGCTTGTTGAAGTCGACCAGGTTTTGCGTATCCAATTTCTTGTTCGGACTCATAAACTTTTTGATCTATTCTAGCTCTGTATCGGTGCATATTGACCTGATGAGCATTGAAGAGTAGGACTGGAAGTAGCATAGGATGAGCGTAAGATAATGGCAATGAGCGAAAATTTGTTTTAAGTCGTTCCCATTCCGAGAAGCGGATACCATGGAGGAATGCTCTTGTTATACAGGCTTTCGGATCAAACGATAGGGAGATAGCATCATATCCAATGTTGATGCAATTTGGGACTTTCAGGACGAGCGCTGGCTTATATCAGATATGAAACAAATCCAAACACTTTATGGCAGAGATTGAAAACTCACCCATACGTTGGAACTTGGTCGAAGCTGAACTGTCCGTAAAGAAGTATCTGGCAAAAGTCCCGTTGTTGTTGAGGATGGCATTACTCGTGGTAAAGTGCAAGCCAAAAGCATTCTCCAGACTCATGTATGTCTGCCCTCCAACACCTAGCTTAAAGGGATCGTTGCCAGAAAGTGGACAGAATCTAACAAGAACTTAGATGTCGGAAATGCTGTGTCATATCCACTCACATGAGCCGCAAAGCTGCATTCGGAGGTTTCGTAGATCCGTCCTTCCGGTTTGGCTTCGCATATTGACCCTTGAAGATATATAAGCAAGTAGATTGACCACTCCGAGGTCTGCAACATACTGAAAGATTGAGCCAATCGTCGAGATGTGCGGGTGGCAAGCTATCATCACGAACTTGGATATCGTTCTACTCGTCTTTTAGAATGAGGCAGCTTCCGTAATGCCTGTGACCTACCTTATCAAATATCCATGCTTCAAAGAAGTGAAGTTCTTCAGATTCCACAGAATTCTCGGTGGAAAAACGCATGTTTAGGTCCTTCAAATGAAAGAAGTTGCTTCATGTATTAAGTCGCACCTAGGAGATCAGGTAGAATTGCAATGACGGTCACTAATAATGATGTTGGAGAGAAGTAGTATAGGAATTTCGTCGTTAGGGTACTAAGATGTAGTCAGATAAAACTGCACTTAGGGGAAAGATTAGAGTGATAAGAAGATGCTAAGTGTTCACATTTAAAGAGTTAATTAAATAAAGCATTATATTAGTATCTTATATATATAAAATTTATTTCAATTTATTTTGATTTCAAGAAGACATTAAAATCTTAGAATACAAAAATAATATTTGATTAAAATTATCTAATAATATAATTAAAAAGTCACTAAAATATCAAAACAGAAAAATATTAATTTACTAAAATCATTTAATTTCATGATCAGGAGGTCACTAGAACGTGTAAATATAGAAATAAAAAAAATAATATTTTATTATAATCTTCTAATATAATAACTAGGAGTACACCAGCATATCGAAATAATAAAAACAATTTTTTTATTTCTGATGATATAATGACTAGAAAGACACTAGGATATGAAAATAGTGAGAATGATATTTTATTATAAGCTCGGATAAGTATACTTGGGATACATAAGAATAAAATGAAAATGAAAAAAAGCAAATCTGAAATTGTAATACTCCGCAAATGTGACCTTCTGAAGGCCTTCATATCATCAGAAAAAAGCAACATGAAATAGCAATATGAAAACTCAAAGAAACCTCATTCCTCATCCGAAAGTTCACCTTCCTCCTCTGCTCCACTAATCTCCTCCCTCATGTCTTCTGCAGTTGCCTTACGATCAGTGTGCTCTATAGCATCACGATCGGACATCAATACCCATTTCAAAAGCACCTTGCCAGTAACATTGGCCCGACGAACACCATATCCATCATCTACCGTAATAGTGCGCAGCTCATAGCCCAGTTCCTTTGCTTCTTCTGCAGTGAGCTTGGAATGCGGGTAAACTGTTGGTCGTTTCTTGACCTGCTTGGGCTTCTTGGGCTTCTCTCCATCCTCATCGTTCTCCTGCTTGGGCTTCTTGATCTTGACGGGATCCTTGAGTGCACGGTCTACTAGATGCTCGATCGGGCACACCATCTCGTTCCATCCCTTTGTATTCTGGTCTGTTCCTGCCCGACAGCGGATACAGCCCTGTCCATGATGCCAGAATGCTTGATGAAGTCCATACTTGAGCTCATCCGGGACCCTCTTGTCGAGATGCATGAAGGCGTGAATGCGGTTTGTAGTATTCAAAGGCAGCCAGCGAAGCATCTTGCTGAGACGAAAGACATGTGTGTCAACAGCAAAGACAGGGTCCTCAAAGTTGAAACAGAGAATGCATGCTGCTGTCTTTGGTCCGACACCTGGCATGCTCACAAGGTGATCGAATTTCTCCTGCATACTCATGGACTTCATATAGTCAAGAGAAAGCATTCCGGGTATGAAGTCCGTCTTTTCCCCATTTTCTATCTGTTCAGCTTCCAACCGCTGCTCCTCAGTTGCAAGCTCCATGTTCCTGGCATGGACATAGTTGAGACAAGCCAAGATCTGTTTTGCTTTCATATTGTGTAGACCACCAGCAGCAAGTGCCTTTGCAATGGCAGCATGTGGAGCTTTGCGTAACATATGATAGTTTGGGGATGTGCCCTTCACCTTGCATCCGAGGAAATCATATCGGAAACGATGAATCAATGACAGCTCAACGGTTAGAGCATTCTCATTGTTGGTTGCCTGACTCAGTATTGTCTTGACGATAGCGTGGAAGATCACATCCTGTCCTGCATGCATTGGACCTTGAGCGCCGGTATTTGGCACACTATTTGCATCGTCTGCGTACCGCTCAAGCTTGATGCTATCCCGCTCATGATGTTTCTTGAGAATATCGAATACATCGTGACAGCTTTGTCTTGAGGGTCTGGTGTTCTTCGGGAACGGGGTGAAACCGAGCTTGACCTTGAACTTGTTGGTGAACTCGCCAGTAATGCGGACAACCTTCTTAGGGGTCTTTCCTGTTTCGGTAGTCTTGCCCGTTTCGGAAGCCTTGCCCGTCTTGGCAGTCTTGGCGGTGTTTGTCTTGTCCAACTTATTTTCTGCTGCTTGTTTTTCCTTTGACCTTCTGCTATCGGGACTAAAGTCTTCATCGTTCTCATCATCATCAGCAACCGGCACAGCCAGTATATTGTTTTTGGATGCAGAACGGGTGTTCCTAACAGCCGGTTTCATCCGCTCAGACTTTACAGAAGTCTTTGACTTCCGTTTCTTTGGTGATGTCTTTACGGCTTCACTCTGATCGGAGTCATCCAAAACCGCATCTTGTGAGCCTGACGCGGAGGCAATGGTAGCAAGAGATCTATCAGCTCTTTTGCGTTTCGGGCGACCGCTGTACGTCTGAGCGGGTTGAGGACTTTCTGCACCATCCTCTACAATGTTAGTGTCCATTGCATAGCTACCTGCGGCTTTGGTAGCAGCAAGTCTCTTGGGCATAACACGTCTTTCCTGGGTGATTATACGTTCCGCTTTGCGCTTTCGCGTTGTGACAATAGACGGTTCTTGTCCGTCAATCATGGGCGCAGCGGCAGCATCGGTAAGATTGGGGCCATCAAGCACAGTGGTGGAGCTTGTGACAACAGTTTCCGCAGGCAATACAGGAACCAGCGTATTACTATTCTCCATGCTAGGCCCTGAATTAGCGATGCTAGTACCCTCAGTCAAGTTCTGCATAGCAGCTCCCATTTCTAGACCGGTGTGCTCTTGGAGGTTGAGATTGTCACTCGCAGTGGCCACCGCTTCCGCAACGGGCTCAGATGGAGAAATTGAATCAACGTTGTTTGTAGAATTCTGTGCGCCAGCATCCGTTGACAGTGATGTTGTGGCTCCGCCAGCAGCACTCTTCGCAATAGCTTCTTGAATCATTGCTTCTTCTTTCTTAGCCAGTCTTTGACTCAAGCGAGGGGCCATAGTGTCTGTATGCGAGAGATAGATCGTCTTCTAGGTGGTGTATGGTAATCACGGTCGATTTCGAAAAGGGAACTTGTTCGGTACTTAGGTAGATGTCGGAAGTAGTTGGAAAGCAGCCACGAAATCTCAGAGGATAAGGAGATCGGTAGAAACGTCAAATATCTAGTCTTCACGCAGAAGGTCAGCGATCAATAATGCTAACTATACCACATCATGGAAGGAGTCTCAGTGCGAGCGAGGTGACACAAAGAGTAGTGCTTGAAGGTCCAAGCCCTTTTTCAGCATGATAAGTCATACCGGTATGCAATGGTAGTGATTTGTAAAACCGCAAGTGCAAGGTAAGTAACGGGAAGGCCAGACGCCAGACACAGAGATTGTGCAAAATGCCAGGAGATCGTAGACTTCAGCTGGACCACTGGGTTAACCGTATCAAGTGTGGGAAAGAAATGTAGTATAGATCACAGAGTGGTGCGAGGAGATCGACAGGAAGCTAAAGTTTCAGTCGCCAAGACCACATAAGGCAATAGCAATTGATGTTGGCCTGCGAACAAACTCACGAAGAGGTAATGACTTTGGTGACGGTGCCAGTGACTAGAGCCTGAGATCGATGATGCGATTGTGGATTGGAGGTAGAATAGTAGCTTAAGGACAGGCAAGATACCTCACAGATGGTGATCGGTGATAGGAAAGTGACGGGTAGTGGGGCACAAGAGTGACAGGAAGTGGTCGCATCACGCACTCCTCTTCATTACATACCTTGTAGTAATAATGATCTCCTCCGTCGTATAGTGGAAGAGGTTGATGTGATGTTCAGATGACCAGACGGTAGTAGGAAAGGAAGTGCAAGTGACGGACCAGTAATGGAAAGTCTTGAGGAAGAAAGCACAATGACAAGGAATGTCGCCGAAGGTTGAATGAGATTGAGGGCTTAGAGGAAGACTATCTGTGAGACGGTTGTTGTAGGGAAAGTTGGCGATGAAGAGGAAGGATGTAGTGATAGATGTTATATCAATTGAGATAGGTTGGGGCCTAGCAGCAGGACATGGTAGGAAGCGGCTAAGCGCGGCGCCTTGCCTGATTGGGCGGGAGGAGGACTGGTGAAGTTTTTCACGGGGCCTAGCGGGCCGCTCCAAACTTTAACCTTATTTGTCTTGGTCCCCATTTGTACTAGACCTGTAGGGCCCATCTTTGGCATACAATCGTACCAAGAGTGCGTGAACTCGGAGACACTGTAAACACAAGACCTAATGGACTGGTGGCCTTATGTCGAATTGAATTGTGGCGGCTCCTGTTGATGTATCGTTGACCTTGACCCCCAAGAGCCGTTTCCACTTGATGACATGTATGCAACCAATGGTCGAGGCTCATCCGCTTTTGTGGTTTGAGAGCCATAGCGTTTGGCATTCTCCGATCATCTCAATTCCCTAGAAGGCTGTGGATTCTGCAAGCTGTGATGCAACATATTAGCAACCATATCTAGTATAGTACTCACAACGTCTGAAGCTTACATACTAGACCTATCCACGGATCGTTCAGGTGTCTTCCATGAATCACAGCTCTGGTTTAGCATCACCAGATTGCTGTCGTTCTTTGATCATACCGGGCCTGGTGTTGGCAAGGGTATTCCAGCTGCCTTCGAATCAGGCCTCAGCTGACTGTATCGGTGTCCCACTGTGTTGGAAGCTGCAGCGTGCAATTGTGTTGCACCTGGAGTCTATACGGTGCTTTCAACATCCGGTCAGCCCATTTCGTGAAACAGCAAGATTTGCGATATATGTAAAGCGAACTGGTCAGCAAATGACCCAGGATTCCACTGCTGTGGGTGAGTTGTTGACCCCAGGCTTCCTCGGACTATTATATCTTCCTGACCCAAGATATGGCACAAGTTGTGAACTGTCGTTGTACACAGCTCCACAGATGCACGTACATTTTGGCAGAAGGCGATCCAAAAACAATATGTACATCCAGATTTGCAGACAAATGAGCAGCAATGTTGATGTAGAGAAGGTTAGGGCCGGATGTGTTGAACAAGAACTCTAAGTGACTGAAATGTGCTTTGAACACTTTGCTCAGAAAGGATCTGCAGATTAGACGATATATACCTGTTAGGAAGTGTTTGCCAGCCTGGAACCAGCAATATTTCGAACCAAAGGAGCACACATGGCTTTGCAAAGCCAAACCACAGCAAGCAGACCCTCTCGCTAGGGTGAAACGCTAAAGCAATTGTCTTCTTGGGTAGGATAACGGTAGGTCACTTACTGAATATCGCTCTGGAAGGAGGTTAAACAACGGAAGCGACAAGCCAATGTGATCTGCCATCCGCAAAATGCTTGTACTAAGCCAAACAACCACCTCACCCGCCTCACATTTGTGCCAGAAGACCTTAAATCTGTCTCCTGCTACGGGATATGGGTAGGAACTCATTGGCAGCCGGACTGAGCATGTCCGCGAAGAGATTGGAATGCAAAGGACTTGAAGTAATCGAATTCCAGCAGAAAAGGGCAGATCCACTTTCTTGGGCAAATGATAAACATGAGGATCATGAAATCCCAGCAGAAATAATAGGAGGGGTTGCAAAGGACCTGAGTGGGGATCTCAAAGGGGGTTCAGATTGGAATTCTACTTACATTGGATAACGCTCTCAAAGGTTGCCTGTTTTCTGCCTAGTTTTAAGTCATGAAGGCTTTCAACCACTTGTACAGCTCATCTGTCCCCGCTGCAAACAACTACAGTGGATAGTCCCCAAAATTGTGCAGCGAGATGTCCATCCGCTCACTCACAGTTGGACTTGGCTCCTCATGTGGCGGCCATGAGTCTTTATCAATTGCTGACATATTGGTCAAGGGAGCCTCCGAGGTACCGTTGGTAGCAGGTACAATCTGACCGTCTTCAGTCACCACAAGGCCTTTAGTAGCGATTTCAATCTGATCTCTCGTAGCAACTCCATGCGCGACCGCTTCTCGAGCCTTATCCATCGCTTTGAATTTTCGACCCTCCCCTCGCAGGCGCTCCAGATGCTCAAAATAACCGTCTCGCACCGGAGTTATGTAAGATCCACAGAAAACGCCAACCTCAAACTTGGTTGGTGTGTCTGCACTGGTATCGTGTGCTGCATCGATGCACGCTCCGGTCAAATCGGCTAAAGATTGATACACAACACTGTCAGAACCAATATGGTTTGAAATAGCGTCCGGATCTCTATTGTGAGCTAGTAGCTCGGAAGGCGATGCCAGATCAATGCCGTAAATATGAGCATGGGTGATCGGTGGAGCACAGCTGGCGAAGTGGACCTTCCTGGCACCAGCTTCTCTGGCCATCGTGACTATTTCTCTACAGGTCGTTCCACGGACAATCGAATCATCAACCAACAACACATTGCGGCCTTTGAATTCCATCGTCATGGCGTTCAATTTCCGACGCACTCCTTTCTGTCGAGCTGCTTGCTGGGGCATGATGAATGTTCGAAAGATGTAACGGTTCTTGACGAATCCTTGGCAGTATGGCTTGTTCAGGTAACTTGCAACACTTGCGGCGGACGTATTCGCGGTTTCTGGTATAGGGATCACAACGTCGATCTCATTGATGGCTTCAGGTCCAAGGGCATTAGCAATTGTCACAGCCAACCGATCTCCCATCCTCTGACGACTGCGATATACGCTGATGCCATCGATGACAGAGTCTGGCCGGGCAAAATAGACATACTCGAAGATATCGGGTGCATACTCTCGTCTTGCCTGCACTTGCTTGATTACAGGTTCACCGCCTTTCTGGATGATGACTGCTTCTCCTGGTTTGATGTCCCTGACAGCATGAAATCCAAGCTGATTCAATGCCACTGATTCTGACGCCATCATATAATCATTGCCAGGCCCGTGGGACGCTGGTCGCGATCCAAGGATCAGCGGACGAATACCATATGAATCTCGAAAGCCGATAATTCCAAACCCTGCAAGCATTGCAGTGCAGGCCCATCCACCTTCGCACCTATCGTACATCCTACTCAAACTGGCAAATAGGTCATCATCATTGACGCGAGCCTTCTTTGTTTCATTGAGCTCATTAGCGAAGATATTCAGCATTAGCTCGCTATCACTATCGGTATTGATATGCCGGTGTGCTTCGTAGTCCAAGAATTGCTTCAACGCCGGGGCATTGATAAGATTGCCATTGTGAGCAAAGCAGATACCGTAGGGACTGTTGACATAGAAAGGCTGTGCTTCGGCATTCGCACTACTGCCGGCAGTGGGATATCTGAGGTGCCCAAGCCCCATAAATCCTGGTAGGTCACTGACACGTGAACCCTCTTCGAAGACTCTGGCGGCCATCCCATTGCCTTTGCGCTGAAATATTCTTCCCCCCGATGCACATGTAGCAATCCCGCAGGCATCTTGACCTCGATGTTGGAGAAGATAAAGTGCTTCGTGAAGCTCAAGAGCAGCAGAGATGGAGGAGGGATTGGCGAGGATGAGAGCGAGAACGCCGCACATTGGGATAGTCGTTTGGGGTTGCACCTAGGTAGCTGATCACAACGGTCAGTGTGCTGAGCTCTGTAAACGGCTCACTGCCACAAAGGAAGAGACTGTGTCTATCAGATAGCAAGGTATCCGCAATGAAAATATTCTGCAGTAGTCTAACATCTATGAAATGAAATCATCATATGCACAAGGAGTATGATATGAGACAAGTTCTCTACTCACATTCAACAGAGATTTTGAGGGCTGTTTGCTTCTACAACCACAGACTGAATCTGGAGCAGAGAAACATTTCACCAGTGAGTACCATGAACGACGTTGATCTCACTTCAGGGAGGACAATACTGTGTCAGTGACCGCCGTACTCTCTGACAGAAAGCTCTATGAGAATCGTTGATAGCATGAAAGGGTAGATCGTGGAGAGTCATGTTTGAAAAAGTTTGAGGTCCCATGTCTTGCCGTCCCTAGCATTTCACTCTCATATTTTTGCACACTGCCCAGAGGAAAATCTCGGCTGGCTTGCCATTAGCGGGCCGTGTCGGATAAACTAGGCCACTCACAAAAATTTTCACCATAGGTAGGGGTAGGATGGAGTAACCACGTCAAGTTCATATAACCAGCACCACAAGAGAGAGAGGTCATGAATTGAGTTCAACAAGGCTGCTACCACCACCACCATCACCCCATTAACGATTGGTACTCACACTGACCATCCTCTCCTGGCATACTGGCAACTCACCATAGGCGGCTACAACGAGCGAGGCGAATTCCATTTCTTTATACTATCATGCACATTCCCCCTTTTTGTGTCTCATTGTGAATATGTCCTTCAAGTGGTTGTTACGTTGCTCCACTGGATTCGTCCCAACACAAGAGCAATGAGAGTAGTGATCGTTATCATGAACATCTACAGCCACTGATTCATACTGTTTCGTAATGTCAACCTCGTGCAAGTTGCTGCAATTTAGCAACCTCAGATGGCGTCTGCCCCTGCTTCTGCTCCGGAGGCCACGCAACACCTTCTTCACTTTTCAATCCATTGAGCCGATCTTCAACGTCAGTTCTCAGGCCATTCTATCCAGGAGGCCAATGTGCTGTGGTCATGCTTTGTCCGTTTCATCTAGTGTATATAGTCTCAGGATGGGAATACACCTGTGTTTGGTTCATCGCAGGCTCGGCATGACCAGCCTAATAAACATCATGGGCGCAAACAAATGTTCTTATATCTTCTTTTGGCCCTCATGTGAGGACCACTGCTCTTGTTCTACTTGAGGCATGTTGTCTGCTCTTCACAGCCTCAGCCACGGTGGAATGCACCATCCGCTGCAGGTCTTCATTATCCACTTTCTTCTTTCTTCAGCAAGTCTTGTTCATGAAGCTTCTCCGATGAAAGACTCCTACTTCGTCTACAGATTTCTTGCCACCTCAACTCTATTTGACTTGTCATCAGTTGACAAGCTCTGTGCTTGAAAAAACCACCTTCGATTCCTCTATCTGGCCTCGTGATCGCAGGAAGCGTGTGCGCAGAAAAGTATTCAGAGCATTCTTCTGTTTGCCGGCCTGGCGCTTCCCTGTTGACCTTTACCTCACATCCTTATTATTGACCTCTTCATCTCAGTCATACTCTTGGGTGCCTCCACCTAAACCGCCCACTCACATGTCTCAACTTCGAACAGATAAGGCATTTCGCCTGAGCACTGCACACTTGACCGAAGTGCAATCTTCGACAACGAATTCAGAGCAGATTAAGCAGGACAGAGTTGGCTTCAACAAAGATCAACGCAGATTTGGCCAGGATGATAAGAATATGGACAAGCATCTTGGATTGCCACGCAATTCACTCATCGATCTAAACTTCCCCACCAAGAAGGTGATCGAAGTGCAAGATACGGAAATGTTGGATGTCCTGCATGATGGCAGTATAACATCAAACAACGCAGCGATCAAGCGGGAAATACGTGGATCAAACATTCCACCCAGTGGCGTCTCGATCATACATGTTACAGATGATGGAGCTCATTATGAAATAGGTTCTGCCATGCCCACCGATGCTGATTTTCGTTCTGCAAATACTCCTCAACCTCAGATGGAGCATGGAATGGCTAACATTCAGCATCATGAAAGCCATACACAGCCATCCCGGGGAGCCGATCATGCCGAAGGAAGAACCACCTCATATCGTTCTCCACCATCTTTGGATGAAGAGCCTGATGTTCAAATCCTGGACGCCGCTGTTGCCAGACGTTTTCCTGTCTACACAAACTCCAAAATTGGGCCAGGTGACTATTTGACTGATGCCGAGTTTGAACGCATGATGAAAGCGAACGCTCCTCTTTCAGCACAAGAAATCAACGACGAGGAGGGGGTGGATGCAGAAGACGTTGTTACGGAGGACTTCATTGTAGATCACCTACGCTCGCTTGTGATAGGTCCGTCCACGGAGACTTCATCGAGATCGGTAGGGGAAAATTCCTGGCCAGGGCAGCGGGTGGCCGATACTGTCAACATCAAAGGCCTAAACCTACGCAGAGGCTTGACTGTTGAGCTCCAGAATGGCTCATTCATTTGGATCGATTCTCTCAAGAACAACATCTGGGGCCCAGTCACCATCAAAGGCTACAAATTAGCAAGAGACGGTTATTGCGGCGCAAAGTTGCCTAGTGGAAGACTCAATGAGCTCGTCTGGATCAATGAAATCGACGAAGAAGGACATCAAGTAGGGCTTGAATCGGTTCTACAAGAAGTGCAAGTTTCAGAGGTAAAGCGAGTTCGCGATGTTGTTTACACGAATTGTCCCTGGCCAATGTTCAGCTCCCATGAGGAAATCGCGGGCAGAGGACTGACTCAAACAGCTATCAACAATGCGGCAGAGAGTGAACATGGAAAGCTTTATTGCCGTTGGAAGTTCATCCAGGTAAAGAGCAGGCTCAAGAATGATGATGAGGCTTGTCTCACCTTACTAAGCCCTGAAGAAGCGATTGACAAAGCTGGGATTGAACCATCCCTTTTGCGAAAGGCGTGGCGGGGCGACGAGGATCCAATACCAGGTGGAAGCTCCACAATGCCCGCCTTCGATGTTGAAACAGGAAAGATGACCTCCATACCATCATACAGCCTGGGGGATTGTTTCTGCGGCGCGGGTGGTGTCTCCCGTGGCGCAATCCAGGCAGGTCTACAAGTGGCGTGGGGATTTGACGTTGACCCAGAAGCCATCAAGGCTCATGCAGAGAACTTCGCAGCGTATGGGACGAAATCATTGGAGCTGACAGATTCAGCGATCATCGAGCTAATCAAGAAGAACCCCAGAAAGTTTCATGTCGACATCGCCCACTATTCGCCACCTTGTCAGCCCTTCTCATCTGCAAATCATAACAAGAATGTGGATAGAGACTTCCTGAATCAGAAAGCTCTATTCTCACTTCATGATTTGACCCAGCTCCTTAAACCCCGGATCGCGACTATCGAGGAGACAGCAGGGCTCATGCATCGCCACGGAGAGTGGTTTAATGCTCTGGTCCACATCTTCACCAATCTTGGCTACAGCATCCGGTGGAAAATCGTCCGTTGCAATGAGCACGGAATTCCACAGAATCGGGTACGGCTTCTTCTGATGGCTGCAGCGTAAGTCTCCCTATCACGTCTCCGCTGATGGGTCAGTCTGCTGACCAACACAAAAGTCCAGGAGAGAGCCTGCCCAAGTTCCCGAGAGCGACGCATGGCGAAAACGGCTCAGGATTGAAGCCCTACGTCAAGATTCGCGACGTCATCTACAACATCCCCTCGACAGCGAAGAACCAAAATATGCTGTCTGAGTCGAAAAAGCCTTATCTGCTCACGCCGTTTTCGGATGACTCATTCGCCAAGTGTATTACAACCAGCGGGGGGCAGTTCAATCATCACCCATCGGGTGAGCGTAGGTACAACGTGCGAGAAATGGCTTGTCTGCAGGGCTTTCCCACCAATCATGCTTTCAACAACCACTCTATCACCATCGCAACGAGACAGGTTGGAAACGCAGTACCTCCAACCCTAGCGAAACCTTGGCTCGAAGGGATCATCAAGTCACTGAGAGAGACCGACATGAAGCAAAAGATGAGAAATAAACGCATGGAAGGTTGATCTGCAAGTGCCGGACATTAACTATTGGGAGTGGTTGGCAGGATCTGGGCGCGTCGTCTAAGTCATCCGATTTCTTGGTTGCCATCGAACGTTCCTTTTCCTATGGGAACGCAATTGCGTCGAGCCACGACTCAGTTCTTCTCGCATCTCGAATACTTTCAGAGCCGGAAAGGCTGTTGTTTATAGTGCTACTTAGTCCTTCAAGTACAGTGCTTTGTCCTTGTAACCCTTAAGAGCGGTGTCTCCCGCTGTTGAGTGAATGTCTTCCATCTGCCCTCCCACCTACTGCCTACGACTCTGCATGTCTCGGTTTTCCTCACTTGTTCAACTCCGCCGCTCTAGCCCTCAACTCCTCCTTGGACGCTTTCTCCGGCATCTCTGTGATACGCAGAATCAGCAAAGATGATAACCCTGCAGAGAACTACAGCTTTTCTGCCTTTTGGGGCTTACCGTCGGAGATCTGCGGGCCCTTGCTGGAATGGATCTGGATAGTCTCCTGATGGGCCTCTTTGTCCTTGCTTTCCTCGCCCGGCTGATCCTCAGATTTGTGGATAGGGTGGTCAGAGGCACCGGAGGTATCTTTGCTCTGTTGGGCGACCTTATCGAAGATGTTCGACTCGGCTTCTTCTTCGCTTGGATGGTGGGGCATGTTGAGATGGGAACTGGTGGGGCTGATGGGGGATTGAACGGAGGTAAGCTTTCGAAGGTATGGCTTCTGGTAGTCTGTGATTCAGTCGTCGTAGAATCACGCAATGGTGGGTAAGGTAAGCGTTCTATTGTCGGGCGATGACCGTGATGCTTCGAAACTACATCATGACGTTGCGTGTTGCGTGTTGCGTGTTGCATACTACAGTATTGTATGGGGAAAAACGATGATCCGTTTCCCTCTGCTTATGTAAGGCGACGGCTGCATCAATCTCCAATCGCTGCCAAGCTTTTGGTCACTCTACGTAGTACTGGTCACTCTACTGGTCACTGCAGGTTACATCCAGGCCGGATCCCTAGAAGAGACTCGTAATACTAATACACCTTTCAGCTGATAAGGATAAGTTGACTGAAGCCAGTGCTGTCACCTGCAAGACATTACCATCGTTACAGTAAGAAATCGCAAAGTAAAGTCGGAAGATTCACAGCTTCCAGCTTGGCACCACCAGGCGCCTTCAGGTGACGAGCAACTAGTTAGAGCCAACACGATGCACAACTCAAGTTCAAGTTCTCCAGTGTATTAATAGTGCATTCACATTCACATTCACATTCCCATTCCCATTCATAGTGCATTCTACCTTCAATACCTTCAAAAGTATGCGACCACCCAGATTCGTAGCTCCCGCTATCCAATCGAGCATTGTTGTGGTCTTGTTCATCCTGGGCAAGCCATAGAAGATGCCGTCTCTCCTTAGCGACGCAGACAAAGAGACCGTTAAACGAACTGTCCCGAAAGCCTCGAACAAGATCCAGGCCGTTGCGGTGGCCAGGTTATACGTGGCGTATCCCGACAGGTCGAGATGGACGTACACGGGCTTGCAGGGAGCAGCGGTCCTCTCGAACGACACGGTGGGAAATACTTTCTGGATTAAGCTGGTGGACATATCGGTACGCTCCCGCAGGCTGGAAAGGCTGAATGCGACCATGCTGATGCTCTAGGACTCAGACCTCCAACAGAGGCGTCATATGGGACCAGGAGATTTACGACACATTCGCCTATAACCAAGATCGAACCTTCTTCCACTCCTTCGAGCTTGAAGAATGCCTTGCCGGCCTGTCGTTCGTGGACGAGAAGGAAGCGAAGAAATTCAAGCAGAAGATGGATGATCGGGAGAAGAATGCCACCAAGGCGACCAAGGCACAACCTTTTGGTTCGAATGCTGCTGGTGGAGCAATTCCACGAATGAACGGAAGCAAGACTCACAGTCGACTGGGTGGATTTGGGAGTCTTCTTCACCCTCACAGAAACTCCTCGGCTCCCACTGTAACGCAAGCCCAGTCTGCTGTATCGCCGAGCGAACCTGTCTATGATGGCCCCAGTAGCCGTCGAAATAGCTCCGGCATTGACCTTTCGGACCCTACCTGGAAAGGGATGCTTGATGAACTATTGGAGATGGGCATCACGAGGGACCAAATTGAGCAGAACGCGGACTTCATCAAAGCATACGTGGCGCAAAAACAGGCGACGGAAGGCATAGATAGTACTCCAGATACTGTGCAGGCGAGAAGCCAGGTTGCACCACCTCCTCCACCTCCTCCGCCGCCACCTGCTGGACCACCCAAGCTGAGTCCTCAGAATACCGGTGCTGCATCTTCCAATCGAAGAGGGCCACCTCCAGCACCTCCGCCGTCGCGCAGACCAGTAGGAGGCCGGCAACCATCGCCGCCAACACCACATAGAGACGACTCTCCGCCACCCCCTCCCTCCCCTCCCTTAATATCGCAACTCAGGTTCTCCGCGCTCCACCTCCGCTAGCTGATGCAGGCAAGTTTGCGGGTTCGGGAGGCCCACCTCTACCTGTCCGCGTACGAGCTTCATCTGGAGCTACCAACTCCGGTCCGCCTCCTCCACCACGACCACCCAAAACTGCCATGGAAGATGAGCAGCCTGCCACGGCTTTCCGCGTTCCGCCCCCCTTTACGGGAGAGCGTAAATCATCTGCACCTCCGCCACCGCCCCCAAGCAGAGGACCTGTACCTCCACCGCCGCCGAGCCGAGATCCAGGAGCCGCGATTGCC